GAGTACTTGGGGCAGTTGGAGGGGGGCGGGTGTCCACTTACAATCCCGCACGTCTACCCAGCTCCCCATGACATTGAGATCATCTTTCGACTTTTTGCCCAACTGCCACTCGTAAAAAGTGCCTGCAAGACAAGTACATATTAGCTGGAATGCTAGGTCGGGCAAATTTTGGATTAAAGAAGGCGAAACAAGACGTCTGAAACAGGTACAGGTCTGCCTCGATTCGGGGATATGACTGACTGCATGACGTGTTTAGCTGGTCTGCGGACTCGCATTCATGAATAGGCGGTCCAAAGACCATGGGCGGATTGAGAGCCACGCCGTCAAACTGTGGTGTGCGATCCTTGAAGAATTGCCAAAAGGTCCTTTCAGCGAGCACCTTACTGGCTGACAAGTGAAGTGTTAATACATGTTTCGAGCTAGACAGTGGTACCAAAGTTGTGTCACTTACCTCTGTATTTCTCCATGGCGGGTGCTCCTTTTCCGTGCAACCTGCACGTTTCGACGCTCGCTTCATTCCAGTCTTTTTCGGTAAATAGAATGGGTCTGTTACCCTTAATTTAGCCCATCGTCCTTATAGGCCCAGCAATCTCGAGTCATAACTCACCCGCTTGACGGTTTCCGCGAAGGATCCGTAATGGCAGCATTTGACCTATGATATCTCGATATGAACCCAGGATCTGACAGCATACAGATTTGCTTTCAGGACTCACGATGTTACTACAATGCGCTTCACACCGGGGCTATTCAAGGTCAGAAGTTGGAAGTTTGTTGTGACTGGTAATGGAGAAACATACCAATGCTTATCAAGGGATTCCAATATTCCCACCGTTCCTTGGACGGCGGGAACAAACAGTTCATCTAAATCATTGGCATTGGTATGGAAGGGGCTATCCACCATGAGCATACGTGCATCTCTTGTGGGAAATCTTGGATGTGCTGCAGTCGCATACATACCTTGCCATGTGAGCGACCGCATCAACACCTTTGACTGCCTCATCGAATGCTCCTGGCTACACAAGATGAGCTTATCATTGCTCTTGTTTTCCCCTTTTTCCGATACCAGTGCTTTCAACTTGTGAGCTTACCTCTGAGATATCCTCCACGATGCAGTAATCAAAAGAACCCGCCTTTTTCTTGAACAGATTCTTGAGATATTCTCCTTTGGCTTGGCTGCGAACGGTGCCACGAACGCGAAATCCCTCATCAAGAAAAACACCTATCGTGTGGCTATCATCGGGTCAGCTCGAAAACATGATGAGCAGCAACAGCTGGAACTGCCAACGATTTACGCCACAAGGTTGGAACTTACGCCGCGATGAATCCTGATGCCCCAGTGATGAGGACTAATCCTCCAGGCTGAACAACTGGCATACTTGTCTCAGGTATTCGTGATGGTTTTGGAGGAACGATGACTATAGTGTAAGTTTCTCGAGTTGGCGCGGAATCCTCGCTTTGTGGTTGCGTGAATGCTGTACGCCAAGGCCTAGTCCGGAGCGAGATTTTTTGAGTCGCTCTCCATCAACAATCGGCTTGCGACTCAGTCTTTCCTGGAATCCATCGCACACCCATCATAATCGCCGTACACAGAAAGACCGATTCACATTTCCCAAGTGGGACGTCACGTCTAACCTAGTGCGGCAAATGACCCAGGATGATTTGCAGGAGGTACTCGAAATGGATGGGACCGTGTAAAGATCATTTTGTAGTCCGTGATTGGACCACTAAAAGATTGCCTTGGCCGCTGTATCGGAGCCCTCCAATGGATAGCTCGGACCGATGTGCGGGGCCGCGCCTCTCCAGGGCTTATCAGTGAAAATACATACCCACTTTCCATCCCTGCTGCGTATATACCCATTTTATAATACAGACCAATCTTCTTTATTTTAACTTCTGGCATGTGAGGGATATGTATAGATACAAACGTTTTTTTGATTTCGTAATGAAAGACCAAGTTTGGATCACTAACACGGTTCAATCTGTCAAGGTCGGGTGTACTAAAAATGACACAGGCTACTAGACACCTCAATGGTTGGCCGAGGACGGTGTTATTCTTGGACCGTGTCGTGCGTTGTGCCTAGGTATGTAGTATGATGATGGTTGGCTAATCATAGAATCTACATATACCCTAGAGCATCTTCGGTATCCAAGACTTGATCAATGCAATAGAGCCACAAGCCGTTACTAGTTACTCAACGTTGATCAAACACTTTTTTTCCACCAGGATGTCTTGTCAACCAAAGTCCAACATTAGAGAGATCCCGACTATCATCAGTGTCGATCCATCGAAGCCACCTCTGACAGAGAAGAACATTCACACTCGATGGCACCCCGAAATTCCGTAAGTTGCCGCAAGTAATGCGCCACAAGGGACACGATTTGGGGCGTCCCAACTATAGTCTCTTTGGATTCCACGGCGCTTTCCTAGGCTAACACCGAGTCCGACAGCCCCATCGCCACAATACAGAGTGGAGACATCTTCAAGGTCGAATGCATGGACTTTTGCGGTAACGCCATTGCCAACGATGACTGTGCCGATGACATTCAAAACTATAATTGGCATCAGTAGGTCAACAGCACAGCGGACTCGCCGAATTGTCCAGAAAAAATGGACCCAGCTGACCTTTATCTCAGGGACCATCACCTATCCGGGCCCATTCGTGTCGAGACGGCCCAACCTGGTGATGTCCTCGCGATTGACATTTACGACGTGGTCCCCTTTCCCGATCGCATGTGGGGCTTCTCTGCCGTGGCTCCCGGCAAGGGACCGCTCGACCACAAGGAGACGCGGGTGGCCAAGTCCATCTGGGACTTTAACGGCATCAAGACAACCTCGCGCCACGTCGCCGGGGTCGAGTTTGCCGGCCGGCCTCACTGCGGAGTCTTTGGCACATGTCCTTCCTACGCGCTCATGGACGAGTGGAACCGCCGGGAAAAGGTCTTGAACGAGAGAGAGGGTCATGGAGAGGGCAGCACCTTTTTTGCCGAGCTTCCCAAGGAGTACGGCGCCTACGTTGGTCAAGATCTTCCAGAGGACCTCATGACCCGGATTCTAAAGGAGGGCGCGAGGACCAAGCCCGCTCGAGAGGTATGAACAGGAGCATTAATTTTTTATTGTGGACCGAGGACAGTAGCTAACTCGTACAGCACGGCGGTAACATTGACGCTGGCAACCTCGTCTCTGGTTCTCGAATCTACCTGCCCGTGTATATCGAGGGAGCCAACCTCTCCGTGGGTGATATCCACTTCAGTCTCGGCGACGGCGAGCCATCGTGCGCCATTGAAATGGCCGGCATCGCCACCCTCAAGGTTGAAGTCATCAAGAATGGCGTCGAGCTTTTTGACATGCGCGCCCGCATTGTCATCCCCAGCCCGACGGAAGTACAGTACCGCAGCCAAGTCATCTTTCATGGTCTTTCGGTCGATCCATACGGCGAGCAGCAAAAAGCCAATGCCACGGTGCGTCTTTTAATCGCTTTGACCTTTGGTCAGTGATGCTAATTGATTGTCAGACGAGTTATATGCACGCTGCCAACTCGGCAATGAACTACCTAGGCAAACTGGGTTATTCTCATGAGCAACTGCAAATGCTTTTGGCTGCAGCGCCTATCGAAGCCAAGGTACGTCTTCTGACCTCTTTTGCTATTATTTTCCCCACAACGCCATGCCCATCAACGATTCGCATCCTGCCTAGTGTTTCCTCCTTGAGACTCTCCATACTGACCCGATGAAGATCCTGGCTACGCCAAATTATCCACACGCCAATGTGTCGGTTGGCATTCCGATCGAGATCTTCGAGGACGACATTCGCCCTAGTGCCAACGGCTTGGTAAAGAAGGACAGGGGGTCGTGTGCTTACATGACTCCGGAGAAGGAAGCCGAGTGGAAGAAAACATTCCGCGCTCCGCCTAATTGCTACAGCACGTGCGAGGACCAGCCGTTGGCTACCAGGTTGAGATAAGATGATTGCCGTATGACATGACTAGTAGCATATCGCACACCAATGACTGGCGATAAAGTTAGGCCTGTAGATATAGATGTTTGGATGTCAGGAAAAAAGCAAGCGCCAAATGACTGCTATAAGATATTCTTGTTCTATCGAAATGTGACGACTCGTGCACCTCTAAGTAGAAGCATGGTTAATGCTTGAGCGGAGAAAATCGAGATCTTGGTATACTAGTATCGCCATTCTCAACGTCGACCTTGGCGCCTGCACTGAGAAGAAGGTGGAGACAGCAAAGTCTTGGGTGATGTAGTGAAGGGCCCCAATTAGCTTTCCTCTCCTCATTCACATGGAGCATTCTGTCATCAAACAGCCAGAATATGGGAGGAAACAACGGTATGGAAATGTCAGACCCTTGGAACGATTGTCGGTTTACGTCGGCGCCGCGATCAATGAGGAGACTTGCGATATCGTAATTGAAATAAGATAGAGCTCTTCCTAACGGAGTTATCCTGGTACCTTCGTTCCGATCTGGGTGTATTCCGAGATCCAGGAGTCGTTTGACTAGGGATATTGCTCCTGTCCCCACAGCAAAAAAGAGGATATCTGTAGGGTTCTGTATGATCCACTGAGTGCGACCAATCAATATTGATACATCGATGAGAACATGACCACATCTTGGCGCTTTAAATTGATGGCAGACTTCATCAAAGCTTCCCAAACGGCCAGAACTGTATGAGACTTGATGGAAAAAAAGTTCTTGAGAACTGAGATTTCGGCTGAGGCCGCGATCCAATCGAGGAGCTGTTTGAGCAACGGCGGTTCAGGTTCCTGACCGTTCGAAAGGATAAAGCAGTATTGCAGCAGCGAATCAAGCGTCAGGGCTCCACCAATGTGGACAGCCTGAAGTTGATGCCTGAGGCGGCTCAACCCTTGACTATCCAGATGATTCTCAGAGCGCCCAGGCTCGGATTGACCCGTGGGTGTGAGCGGCGCAAATAATGAATCATCAGGCATTGTAAAGTCAGAGTTGCAGGATCCACGTTCATTGATCCACAGATCAGTCCTCGTAGCTGAGAATTGGCTTGAGGTACTGGCAACCGGCGTCACTACATGCTAGGGTGAGAATAGCTTCTTTACATCACAACAGTTGCACACTTACTCAAATTTTGTAGAAGGCAGACGAAGCTTGTGAATGGGGAGCGAAGTCGTATGGCATTTATCAACTCAGTACGAATATTCACATCCATGACTTTGGAGATATCCAGGGGCACTGAGTATTCTGGAGTGCGAGCCAAAAGTGCAAATGTGCCAGACGATATGGGAGATATGCTGCGTGTATGGTCGCCTGGTATTGTCGCGAGGTGTCTTGGTTGCGGAGACGGCGTTCTAATCGTGATATTCCTGGGTAATTGCGGCGAGAGAGCTAAGCGGGAAGGTTAGACATGGGGACTTGCAATTCTCTGAACAAATAGTGACATACATTGACGAATCCTGGACCGGATGTGAGCTTTCTTGTTATACCTGCGAACCTCCCTCTCGATAGTGGAAGCTGGCAATAGCTTCTCCCCAAGGTAAACATGACTGGCTTTGCCAGCAAGCACCCGCCTCTCCACATGGTAACCAATTGGTCCCCAGTCTGATCGACTGATTTTCTTGGAAAACCCAAAATGTTTGAGTAAAACGGTTTCATATTGTTTTAGACTGAGAGACATGGTTAGCTGAGAAGGCATGGGAACATATAGGAGCACTGACGGCAATATGGGGAACCTATGATCTGCCTCCATCTGCCGCTTGACCTCTTTCAATGCTTGGTCTTGGGTAAGATACAAAAGACGCAGTGTCTCTTTGTGGTTATCCCACAGAGTGTAGTCTTTTGGCTCACCAGCGTATATGACACGCGGTCGCTCAGGTAGGGACAACGGGTGCCCCTGCGTAGAGGAAGACATGACGCGTGAGATGCGTGCGCCTCGTCTATACTGCACTGTGGTCTTGATTGTGGTAGAAAATGACTTAAAGGCGATTGTTGTAGTATCATCGAACCTCACATGAACTCTAGAGAGGGAAAAGTAGGGCGGGGAAAACTAATACTGAAAGACGACAGTATGTAGGGAAGCCGGGTACTTATCTCGAAATCTGTAGGCTGTGCAAAAGAGATCTGCGACGCATCGAAATTACTGCTGCAACGTCTTTGCCAATGCAGACGTATGATAGATGCAAGGCTCTACTATTTGGCGTGCATTGCCTCATCCGTCGCCACTTTGAGCTGGCTCAAAAGTCTGGGCACCGAGGCCATCCACTCAGATCAAGAATACGGGGTTCTCAAAACAAATGTCCAAAATCCATCCAATCAAAACTACCGTTCTTTTGCCTGCATAATGCTTAGCTGGGCGACACCTGCATTTGTCCAATTTCCAGCCAATCAAAAATGCAGCGCTTCCCAGTACATACATGGAACGATCGGCAGAGATTGCCTAGAAAACAGCCCCCGCGGGTCCTTGCAGAGACTCGCCTGGCTTTAATTCCTCTGTGTCCAAATTCCAACCAATCATAATATGACTCTCCTTCGGTGACTTGATGCTAATACAACAAACCTGCATGACTGTTCTCGAAAAGAATATCAAGTCAGAATGAAGGCTCTACATACTCTGCCATTTCATGGTAGATATAAGACCTCGAAGGTGTGGAGATCTCGACGTCGATATTGCAACATGATTAGGCTACTCATCACTCAACAAGATGGCAATAAACGTATTCTGTTGTGCCTGGACTAGCTCCAAAACGTACGTTGAAATCGGTACCACGCTTTCTTTTTCCATGTCGCTAACCAGACGCTTTATAGAGTCGTTCATCATCACAAGTACGGCGACAATCTAGACATGTGCAGTACGACTGCAACGACGGGCGGGGACACAAACACGAAGAAAGTCAAGAAGAGGCGCTCAAAAGCTAACAGGACGACATCAATCACTTGTGAACAAGCAACACAAGACCATGAGATCAGGGCTGTCGGCGCCCAGTTTACATAGTAAGTGAATAGTGACGTATTGGTCGTACAATCGTGAATGCTAACAGGGCAATGGTAGTTATGGGCCAAACTCGCCTGGTTCTTGCCATGACTTACCTGAGCTCGATACCAATATTTGCTTGGATAAAGAGGATGATCTCAAGTTCTCGAGTGACACCTACGATGGATGCTTTTAGGAAACAATCGCAGACTCGCGATGGACAAAATCCTCATTATTCACTACATCTTTGGTATCATTACATGACGTAAGGATTATAATGGTGGCAATGAAATTTCTCTATTGTTTTTAACCTGGCGGTTCGTCTTGTATGTGATCAATCATGAATCATACGCATCAGAGCAGGTCCAATTGAGTGTAAAGTATCAAACATAGCTATGGGCAAGGCAAGATCCTCGTAAATCTTCCACACATTGTCATCATCATTGCTAAAACTTGACTTGTACTCTTCGGCTAGTCCACAGTGAAGAATGGAACTGACTATTGGTTGTGCCGTGGCCGTGTATACAGCACTTTATGAGTCGCTGCAGCTCTTGCCGGACGTGTTCATCGCGGAAGAGGCGCGAGACAATGCGGCTACTGGGCAACCAATTTTCGGCCTTATTATGGCAAGTCCTGTCAAGTACGCGGTGATGGATGACTACAATAGGCGCATCAGCATGAGCTCTCCATGACTGGCACGTCTGAATAACAACACTGACGTCCGTTCGAGTCTAGATGTCACCACCACGGCCGATGGGACGCACCAGCACTGAAACATGACCGAGGACGGCGGCCCGCAAGATTGGAAAGAGAGTGTTTAGATGAAAGACCCGCCCCTCAAGCCAGAGCACGCCCATCTCCTCTACTCGCCGCCGCCGCCGGATCTCCCCGTTGTGAACAAAGATGTTCTAATCCTCGTGGCCGCTTGGGAGGGCAATATTGACCGTTACGCCGCCTGCAGCGCCCGCACATGATCCGCGGGGAAGACTGTAACGGGAGACGCCATAATGGAAACGCGGCTGGATAGCACGGGCGCGCGGCGCAATATTGCACGTGCCATCAACGCACGCTACGTCATGCCCAACGACGTTGCGCGCATCCGCACAGCTCCCGAGCGGCATCTCCCGTACATGATTTGGTATCCCCACCGGCCGCGTCGGCAGACCTTGCGCGAGATTGCGCGGCCCGGTCCGAGATGAAGCGCGCCGTGGTCCATGCCTGCATAGTGTGCGATTACCGTGACCTATGAGCCAGTTTGCGTCCGGAGCCGCACCCTGTTCTGTATCACGAGGCGAGACGAGGCAGTAGTTAGTCAGCCCTTTTACCGAGAGGATCTGGAGGCAAGGTCAGCAGAGCTGGGGATCGATCCGGAACGTGAGCTTACCGAGGCCGAGTCTGTAGAGGCCAGGGCTGTTGTCGAAAACAAGGAGCCGACTTCGACGTTTTTGCATGGGCTGGCGAGTGCCGGGTTCTATGGTGATGCGGACCTGAGTATGTTTGGCAGCGGCAAGATAACCTTTTTTTTTTTTTTTTTGGCGCCATTGATGAAGCACGGGCGCATGCTAGGGAGGAGGAGGGTGGCTGGATGAAGATTAAACATCTGAGGAGCTTTCATCAACGGAACTAGATGAAAACAAGTGTCCAAAAGTTACAGCCAGCTGATTCATTCCAGACCAGGCAATCTCATATCAAAACTTGGCACCAACATTAAATCCACCCGGCAAAGTATCTGCATAGAACGGCAAGTAGACTGCTGACACAATGTCTATGGCTCACCCACTGCCACCCACTACCCTTTTGACGCCTCCTGAATGGTTGAGGCGTGCCTGGTTGACGTAATCGCGATCAAACGCTTTGTGGCTGGCCTTTCTGAGTGTTTCTCTCCCCTTTAAGCTTGCGTATCAATTGCGAAAGCAAAAAGATCACGAGGAGCCACTCTGACGGGGAACTCCGTGTCTGTAGAGAGTTTTGCAGCTCATCTGCCCTAGTCTCCCACCTCACATCCTTGTGCATGTCCTCCACGACCTTTTCTCTCCATTGAGAATATTTCCCTCGAAATAGCGACGCAATGTTCTCAAGATGAAACGCAATGAGCAAGGTAGCTACCCCGACAACCACTGACGTGATGATGAAGGAATTCAACGTGGCACGTTCTGACAGATTCGGAATGGCCCAAAGTGCCTGAGAGCAGAATGTCAAACAAGGTCTGTTTGTAGACTCGGAAGACTTACTGCGCAAAATGCCAAAGGCAGATAGAAAATGCTTACATATGTAAGAAGCATGACATTTTGTCCCAGATTTGTTGAGATTCTGCTTTCAGTAATCGCTGCCCAGGAGAATTCCTAGGACTGGTCAGCTCGAATGTAGATGGTATTGGCAATGCAACCTACAATTTGCAACAGCTCCTTGATCGTTGATTCTAGGTCAGTAAGCCGACCACCAATTTTATCTTGGAGATCAAGTAACAGCTCCCGAGCAGAATCACTATGTCTTGAATTTGCTCCTTTGGCAAGGATGTAGTCACGGGAAGTTTTAAGGTGACCCCGGAAGGCGAGTCGTAGATTTGCTAGTCTTTGTGCATCCTTTGCCAATCGACGCATCATCTCTGGACTTCTACCCTCTGCCTGAAGTTGATCGGATCGCTTCGATATTCATACATTAGCTTTTATAAATATGCATTGAGTTTGCTCTCCAGTCTTGTCTTTTCATTACTTACACATTGTACAAAACGCTCATCAACGAGATTGCATAGCTCGTACCATCTGCCCCTGAGGGTTTGTAGAAACTGCTGGAAAAGATCAATATCATCTTCTGGGATCCAGACGTCTAGCAACGTGCTCAAGAACAGTTCGGGTTGCATTGTTTCGCCTGCCTCGGCTGGCAGCGGGACTCTCCATCCAATAACAAGCCTTGGTATCCCGGGAAAACCGAAATGCTTTTGACTATCATGACTTGGAAATTGAAGCATGATCCATTTGTCTGACCCTTGGTCAATATTGATCTGCATCTTGTACGGTTCAGGTGGGAGAGATGGGAGTTGGAGGGGGGCGCTAGTCCATAACGCCTCGTCTCGATACACTCTAACAAGGGTGATTCAGCAATCATGTCCGGGCAAAAGCCTGAGCCGTGATGACCTACTTGATAGTCTTCTTCGCATTCGTGGGTGTCGTAGAAGAATTATCTTGGAGTAAACGTAGCTGTCCACTTCCATCTTGTAACACCGACAGTTCTGGAATATCAGAATGATTTCCAGCAAAGGTGTCAACCCACTCTTTGACTGAGATATTCCTGGAGGATGCTGAGTGTTTCAGTAGCAATACTGCAAAATCAGAGTCGCGGAGGCACAAAGCCAAGCGTAAAGGGGTCAAGCCTTCACTATTGACTCTTTCCACATCGTATCCATTCTCAAGCAAGACTCGGGCTGATGTCAGATCCTTAGCCTGTACCAAACAGTGTAATGTGATATCATCCTTCTTGATAAGAATCTGGGCCACTTCAGTATGTCCATTTACAAGAGCTCTCCAAAGCGCTGTGCGGCCCTCGTTATCTTTGATAGACAGGTTGCTCCGACCGATCAGTTGTCGCACCACTTCATCGTGGCCATTGGCTGCGGATATGGACAGAGCTGTCACGCCGTCTTTGTCTTGTAGGTCTACGGAGACGCCATGATGCAAGATTCTCTCCACCGTAATCGCGTGGCCGCACGACGTAGCCCACCATAGAGGTGTTCTTCCTGCCGCATCCGCAACATCAAGTCCAGGGCTAATAGCTGAAAGTAATTCTCGAACAACTTCCCAGTGACCTCTTGCTGCAGCAATGGATAGAGGATTTTGACCCATCCAATTCTTGCCTATAGATTTGATGTTTGGATCGGCGCCTTTACTAAGCAGTAGCTCAGTGATGCTTAAAAAACCACCTTCAGCAGCAAATGAAAGCGGCGTGCGTCCATGGTTCTCGCCACTCGTACATATGGAATTGACGCGTGCTTGGCGATCAAGTAGAATATGGACGATATCGTGATGCCCATACTTCGCTGCAAATGATAGCGATGTTTGGCCGTGCGTGTTGCATATGTCAAGTTGTACGTCGGCGTTGATCGCACTATCTACCACGGCCGATTGACCATATCGAGCTCCCCATAAAAGCCATGAATGTATGTTGTACCCGGATGATGGGGTAATTCCATTATGCATACACTCCACGATATCTTTGTATTTGTTGATAAGAGATCCTTCAGGCGGGCGCGTTGTTCCTCCAGGTACTCGCCCATGGATTTGGTCAAGTATGAGCTGAACAAATTCATTATAATCAGCCGAATCAGTGAATCTCAAGGGCATTCGTTCCACTGAACATATCGCATCTGGGTCGGCATTGTTTTGAATTAGGAATTTGGCGATTTGAGCATTCCCACTCTTGGCAGCGACGTACAAGGGGGTTTCCTCAAACGCAACTTGAAGATTCGGATCTGCGCGATGTTGAACCAGAAACTCGACGATTTCAAAATTCTCATTCTCAACGGCGATAGACAAGGCAGTTTGGCCAGAACGGTCTATAAGATTTGGATCTGCGCCGCGTTGAACCAGAAATTTGACGATTTCCATGCGTCCCTTGACAACAGCAATGAGAAGAGGAGTTTGCTCAGTATCATGGTTGACAGAGTCAAGAATTGCGCCCTTCCCAACCAGGAACTGAAGGATCTTCATGTATCCTTTCTCTGCAGCTAAGAATAACGAGATTGAGCCAGCACTTGACTTGAGATCTGCACCGTTCTCAGCCAGAAACTCAACGACTTCAAAACGTCCACTTTTAACAGCAAGTGACAGCGGTGTCATGCCGCTGTTATCTGGTCTGTCTGAACTTGCACCTAGTCCAGCGACGAACTTGACAACCTCAAGATGTCCATATTCAGCGGCTAATGACAACGGTGTTTGGCCACTCTTATCTGGTCTGTCCGAACTTGCACCTAGTCCAGCTAGGAACTTGACAACCTCAAGATGTCCATATTTAGCGGCTAATGAAAACGGTGTTTGATCGTGATTGTTTGAAGCGTCTGGATTTGCGCCTTCTTCAATGAGCAACTTAACAACATCAAGATGTCCGCTTTGACTGGCGAATGATAATGCGGAGCCATATGCGCTTGAATGGTTCGGATCTGCGCCCTTTCTGATCAGGAATTCGATAATTTCAAGATGTCCAGATCTGGCAGCTGATGACAAAGGCGTGCCATATCCGTGCTTGTGACCGTTCGGATCTGCGCCTTTTTCAACCAGGAACTTGACAATTCTAAAATGTCCATGTTCAGCAGCTAAAAATAAAGGCGTATGAAAGGCATAGTCGTGACAGTTCGGATCTGCGCCCTTTTCAACCAGGAACTTGACAATGTCAAGATGTCCAAATTTAGCAGCTGATGACAAAGGCGTAAATGCGACAAACTCGTTGTCACGTTCTACATTTGCGCCCTTTTCAACCATGAGCTTGACAATGTCAAGATGTCCTTTTGCAGACGCCTCAGCCAACAATTTGAACCCGCGGCTATTATCGACTCTGGCGCCGTGTGAAACGAGGAGTCTCACCATATCATAGCTACGGGCTTCGGTTGCCCTATCATACATATAGTCAAGGCCTTTAGCTACCCATTCGAGCGCGGGGCTGTCAGACGCCAAGTCAGCATTGACTCCTCTGCTGAGAAGAAGCTCGACAACGTCGATATGCCCATTTTTGGCTGCTTTCACCACGGGCCCCTCGCCATCACCACGGCCAACAATATCCGCAGTTACATTTGCACCTCTTTCAAGAAGTGAATTCACGAGCTCCATAGAGCCAGCCTCCGCAGCGCAGGACAATGCCGTCATCTTCGTCCCTTCCTTCGTTGCATCATCCCAGTCGACTTCATCTAGCGACCCCTCCCAATCGTTCAGAATCAAACGTGCTTTTCCAAATTCTTTTTCCCTGATAGCACGATTAAAGGCCGCTGTATTTAGTCGTGTCATGTTTGATGCGAGCCTTTGGCTTGTGTTGTTTTTTTTTTTTTTTTTGGAGGTTATTGCGCAAGGACGTGATTGAGTATCCGTTGGAATTTGAGGGATCGGGCCGCCTGCGAGTGACTCGGATAGTGTTTAATAATGAATACCAGCTCAAGATGCCTCTTTCACTCGTCGCATCTGGCTACCTTTTTGTCGCGAGAAAGCTGATCGTTCAATAATGTCATGAGCTGAACTTCCCCTCTTTACGCATTTTCCAGCGTGGTACCAACATTGTTCTCATAGGCTGACATCTCGCATGTATGCTGCATGGGTGCCTGATTACAATAGGGCTCAGGCGGCTTATGCCCCTCTCCCACAAAACCAAGGCGGCTGGGATGATGGCACTCCTCACTTATGGTTGGTGAGGAACAAAATAATCCATATCAGTAGGGGCGTGGCATGGGTGGGTAGGTATGTACATTAAGTATCTCTGGCGAGCGAGGCTGATTTTTGGGTCCTGGGATACCTAGGTACACACTAGTGTGGCGAAGGTCCTGGGGTTGGCCCGGGAATTCCAGGACTGCGTGCAGCGCAACCTGCCAAATGAGAATCCCGCTTCACGCACAGGAATGCAACCCACATCAACTACCAAGTTCAACACATTTTTCTGCCTGTATCATTTGTTCCTTTGATTTCTCAGTCAAGGTGTTGTTGCTTGCGTGTATATTTCTACACTAGCCTGGACTTGGAGCGGACCTCCCTCCTTTACGGCATGGCTTAGCGGCATAAATCGATCGATATCTCACCCAAGGTGCATGCATACTGCGAAAGCACGGAACCGAAGTGGATATAATCGAAATCTTTGAAAAAGTTGTTACAACAACGTTTCCTCCTTGAACGTTGCAAATGCGCAACCATTCGACGCCTTACCCATTCTGATTCGTTCATTTCAGCTTTACTGTTGTGAATATTTATGATGGATATTTTGTTCAAGACCGATGCCAGAGAAATGCGGTCATGAGAAACGTGTAATACGTCAAGGAATATCGCATCATGCTTCCAATGACTTAATCTCGCTTAATCTGAGGAAATGGATGCGAGATATGCTCAATGTCATTTCTTTTTTTCGCAGAATGATTTAATTACATATCTTTCGTATACTCATGACTAGGTCTAAAAGATAATATCAAGTATGCAGCTGTCCAAGTCTAAAACATTAAAGCGACTAGACCGAGAACACCAACAACACCAGCAGGTATTCTCTTGCGAATCGCACCACTGGTATCGGTCGAGCTAGAAGAGCTAGGCGAGCTCGAAGTTGTCGTACCCGTAGCCGACCCAGAAGACTCGGTAGTGGTCGCAGACGTCGTAGTCGATTCCACAGCAGTGGTGCTAGAAGTCGTTGTTGCAACAGTAATAGTCGTAGAAGGCGTGGAGGACGACCCGCTGCTACTGGCATCAATAGTAAAAGATGTGGCGCCCGTGTACGACTGATAGACATCAATGGTCAGGTCGCTGGCGACAATGTGGTGAGTACCGCTGACGCGATCCTTGTCGGAATACACCGTCAAGAGCAGTCCGCCGTCATCGGCGCGGTCGACCGTGACCTTGTACGTGCCGCACTGCGTCTCGGGGACCGCGGGCAGAGTGCCGTTGGCGCTTGTCCCGGGCACGTCGCAGCCCACGCCGAATTCAGGATTGTTGCTGGATACAATCTTGCCCAGTCCGTAACTGTATCGTGTCAACGGTCAGTTTCTACGTGGCGACTGGTTAGGGTGGGTCAGGAAGGACATACTCGCAGTAGTCCTGCTCTTTCATACACGACGCGGTGAAACCGCTTATCTCGAACTCTATATCGGTCGATTGGCGAGAATTGATGTTGGCTGCCAAGGCCAAGGGCAGCAGAATGGCGGCAATTGCAGACTTCATTGTTGGCGAGCTAAATTAGACGGGTGTACAGGGTATGCAACCTATGAACGAGCGAATGATTGGGGCTCAAGAAACGAGTGTTTTCCTTGGTAGATCTCACTTGCAGAAGAGATGAGACATCGCGAGCCGCTCGCCTATTTATTTCCTCAGGTTTCTTCCAGTCTAGCTTTTAGGCAGCATCAAATAAATATTGTTTGTACACGTGATTTTCCAGTCTCTGCGGCACAGGCGGAAACCGGCACCCATACGGACGATACATACATACCTAGGCGTTATTTGGCGAATTGACCAGTCCCAGTTTGGAGGTTTACAAGGGGCTTTCCCCCAGCCCTGCGTCCTTTAATATTCTAGATCAAAATTGGCAGCATTGAAAAGGAACAGAGCCAAGAAGGACGATTCCATGTCCAGCGGCCCGGTATTACTGGGGTTTAATAAGGTTAATTGCTAGCGTGCTATACGACCCTTGGCTAGTGGGTTGAGCTATTCAGGGGCCTGCTATCCAGTCCCTGTTCAGCGCGATGAGCTGGCGGTACGTAGATCGGGGATCATAATCCTGCAAATTTGGGAAAGGCGGAAAAGCAGGAATAAAGCTCAAACGGACGAGAAATCGTTGTGTAGGTAATATAAAGACAAATAAGCAAGTCATAATGCATTATACCAAATGTTGTTGAGTTCATGGTTATGTAATCGAGGTCGTATTTTTGCGGTTGCATCACCGCCCTTTCGACCACTATAGTCCCAATCATGCATGTGGTCCGCCTATTGTCATGACTAAGACCAAAATTGGCAGTGAGTCGACGCGCTCCATTTGATAGATCACATAATTCTGCCACGCAAACATTGTACACGTATGGATCATATCATTACTCTTTTTGAATCGGATATTCTAAATATTTCCAATCCATCCTCGGCTGTGTCTGTAAGGGGTTGTGCGGGGTTGACCTGGGCGAGAGGGGTTCGAATCGTTGGCAACTTGGGCCAGGCTAGCATTTATTCAGAGCTTCATATTACCATCATCCTTTTATATACAGCTTATAGAACAAGAAACATTAATTATTAAAGTAACTTAACAAACCCAAGTCAATCATCATGGTCAACCAACAAGCTCAAGAAGCTATTCAGAAGAACTTGGACGGCGTCACGGGCGACGCCGCCACAGGCATCCCCGGCCTTGTGTTCGTGGCCGTGGGCAAGGACGGCCAACAAATCGCCGCCGTGTCCTCGGGCAAAAAGGGCATTGCGCACGACGCGCCCATGGACCTGGACACGGTGTTTTGGCTCGCGAGCTGTACCAAGCTGCTCGCCGCCATTGCCTGTATGCAGGCCGTCGAAGAGGGCGCGGTCAAGCTCGACGATGCCGAGTTTGTCTATCAGCACTGTCCTGAGCTCCAAAAAGTCCAGGTGATTGGGGATGACGGAAAACTACACCCGAAGAAGACGGATATTACGCTTCGCATGCTTCTCAGTCATACTAGCGGCTTTGCGTATGAATTGTAAGAACCTCCTTCTCTTATAAGTGAAAGGACCAAATTATTCACAATCACACCAGCTTCAACACCAAACTCCGCGACTTTGGCCGCCCCATCGGCTACGACGTTTTCCACGGCGACGAGCGCGACATTCTGCGCATGCCACTGGTTCACGAGCCCGGCACAACGTGGGAATATGGCGTGGGCATCGACTGGGCAGGCCTGGTCCTCGAGCGCGCGACGGGCACCCGGCTCAACGACTGGATCCAGACGCGCATCATGCAGCCTCTCGGCCTGAGCGGCATCAACATGTTCCCCACCGACGACATGAAGCGCGACCTGGCGTACATGCACCAAAAGTGGCCCGGGAGCAGCAGCAGCCAGAGCTCCGCCGGCGCCGAGGAGAGGGACCACATGTACCGCGAGCCCCTCCTGGCCGAGACCGAGGCCGACAAGGCGCGGCTGTTGCACAGCGGCGGCGCGGGCGCCTTTGGGCGGCCCCGGGATTACGTGCAGGTCCTGGTCGCGCTGCTCAATGATGGCACGCACCCCAATGGTGCGCAGATTCTCAAGAGGGAAACGGTCGAGGACATGTGGAAGAATCAGGTTCCCGACCTGCCCAACTTTGCCCGGCAGGGCATACCCGCGGCCAAGAGCGAACAGACGAACCCGATTCCCGAGCTCTATCCTCAAGAAGGTAATGTGAAAAGTCTCCAGAAATGGAAAATAAAAAGTCTTGTGATTGACATGTTTTTTCCAGGCAATCCGCCTCAAGGTCATGGCATCAGCTTCATGCTCACAATGGAGCCCGGCATGACGGGACGCGGAAAAGACACGGCCTGGTGGGCAGGCATTGCCAACCTGTTCTGGTGGTGCGACCGCGAAAAGGGCGTCGCAGGTATGATTGCCAGTCAAGTCATGCCATTTGCTGATGGAAATGTCCTTGGGCAGTGGATTGTAAATGAGGGCGAGGTCTATAAGCACTACAAGTCATGAACTTGAAATGCTTCAATGGGGTGCCCGGCGGACATTTTTTCTATAATGAATAGAGGGGTAAAACGCGCCAGAGCGGTCGATTTAATAGTTGAGGCACCCCTAATCCGGGTGCAGGCCACTGAAGGAGGTTGTGGGTAATGCGGGGAGAATTTTCACTTGCCGCTTGTTTGTGCGCGCTTCAATCAACTTGCTTTTTAAACTTCATGCACCAGTAACGTAAAGGGAATTGATTTTGTTTTTTGAACTTGATTATGAAATTATCCTTTTCTAGATGTGGTATAAATGAAAACAATCGCTAAATGATTCTACATGACGCCCAGAAATTTTATATGCCAATTTTCTTGTTGTAACAGTTTATAGTGTGTCGCCCAATTCGACCACTGACAAATTCGACTTTCCAGGCTTTTCTTTAGTAAACAGTTCTTTCATACTGAGATTGTATGTACTGGAAGAGGCAGATAGCCAACCACCACGTCTGGTATCTTCCGATGTGAGGGAGATCCAGGATTCGGGGGTAATACGAGATACAGGTCTAGACCAGCTGGCGTAAGGAGACTTGGCCTCCTTGGTGAACCAGAGGTCAGCCGAGCGAATGGAAGGTGTGGCAGCGCCACCGGGGTTGGTGCGGGCGCGGTGAGCCGGGCTGCGCAGCTTGCCGATCCAAAGCATCTGTTCGTGCTCGCGGAGGTAACGGTCCGAGGAGAAGTTGTTGAACACGTTCTGGCGACCCAGCATACCGAGGGCACGACGCGACTCGCGCTTGGCGTACATGCGCTCCGAGACCTTCTTGACGGATTCGGGCGAGGGCACGGGGTACTCGAGGACGGGCACCTCATCACCTGGGGCATCGTCGGCGTGCTCGGCCCAGCGACCGAGCAGCGCCAGAATGTTGACCTGAGCACGAGCCAAGGACTCGGAGTCGTTGGGTGGTACGACCTCACTGAAACGGTTGCCAGTGGCACGATCAGTGACGACACAGTATGATGCACCGACATCGGTACAGACGACGGGCACACCAGTCAAGGCAGCTTCACCCATGGCAAGCGGAAGACCCTCGGAGATGGAAGAGTTCAGGAACAGCCAGGCATCCTGAAGGACGACGGACGGGCTACCAAGACCCTTGAGGATGACGTGGTCCTGCAAGTTCTTGGCGGCGATGAGCTCCTGACATTCTGTAGCAATGGTGGCAGCACGTTCCTGGTCACCGTAAATGTGTAGTCGGTAGTCTCTGAAGCCCCACTTGTTCACAATGAGATCCGTGGCCATGATGGCGTTCTTGATATCCTTGGCGTACTGGACGTGCGACAACATGACCACAGTAGGCTGGTCAGTCTTGATCTCCTTGGTGGGTTCGAACTTTTCCATGTTGCAGATACCGTTGACGACAGGGTCAATCTTGCGCTTAAAGGTGCGGCGATGCTCAATGGCACCCTCGGCGGTACCGAGTTCCTCCTCCCAGCCGGGGTTGAAGTAGTCACAGCAAGGGAGAACGACATCGGCGTGGTGCTCGAGAAGAACACAGCTGAGATGGGTAAGCTGGATGAGGGAGCTGTTGACAAAGGGAGCATCGAAAGACACGGCGGAACTCATAAAGGTGGTGAACTCTCTGAAGCTGATACAGTGATCCCAAATGTGCAGAGAAACGTTTCTCTTTTGCTTGCACACGATACCGTAGGTAGCACCCGTAAAGTGGTGAGAGGCTTGGAAAACGTCGGGAATGTGCTCAGGGACAGGCAGGGAAATGATGAAGAGGTAACGGCACCACAGGTTCAGAGCATCGTCGAGCTGCTTGATAGTAGGCATCTCAAACTCCCACCAGCTGGAAATGTTGAGAGCATCGGTGACATCCTCGCTCAACCACAGCTCGCGCCACTTTTCCTTGACAACGGGGTGACTCCAGACATCGTTCCAGTTGCGCGAGGTCTCAAAGTAGGTGTTGAGGTTGAGGAGAGCGGTAGTAGCCTCCTCGACGTGCTCGCGAGTAAGGTTGATTGTGCGGGAACATTTGACCAAGCTAGAGAGGATCGGCAGGAAGTTTCTAATGATGTCGTCCGTGTGCGTGTCGAATGAACGCTGCACGACAGCCGTGTCAAGACTGCTTTCCAAAACACCGTGAATGGGGTTGAGAAAGTCCAAACCCCACAGGGGCAAGATGGTCAGAGACTGGACGTTGCGTTCAATCTGGAATCGAGGTACACCATAATCGTGAGCGGATTCAGCCAGGACGTGCCACTTGATGGTCTTGAGATCGTTGACCATATCTCTGCGGCACGCGGAAACACCACCAGGGTCGTTGGGCCAGGTAGAGGTATCCATGCAGAGAACGTGAAGATCATATTCGCCGTCAATGAGCTGAGAAGACAAGTGCCGGGTGTTGATGCGGGACTCTCCACCTTGACCAAAGGAGTACAAATCGCTCATCTTGAAGGCAATGTGAACCCAGGAACTGATCTGAGGGTCGACGTCGACTCTGGCCATGATGGTATCGGCCTGCTCATCAATGTAGGTCTTGGCAGCCTCGAGACGTCCAAAGTCACGACGTCTCCAGTAGGGGCGCATGATGCGATCAGCACGCAGGAGCTTCTCGTCGAGCCAACGGGCACTGATAGCATCAACCTCGCGACCATCCTTCCAGGCCTTCCAGAGTTGGGTACGGGCAACAGCAGTAGGGATAGGGTAGCGCTTGACATTGAGACCGAGCATTCGCGAGACGGGGTTGGTCTTGATCGAGGAGAAGGAGATCAGGGGGTTCTCACTCAGGAAGCTGCAGTTCTCGGGCTTCTTGAGGACGTGGAACCAATCCTCCTCAATCATGGCAGGAGTGTCAATGGGCTTACCATTGAGAGTGACGGAGACCTCGGGATGGAACTTGTGCTCAAAATCCCAGGACGCGTGGTATGTATCCTCGCCTTGGATAAAGGTTGCCTCGGTCACGACAGAGAAGGGAATCCACTGGTCCAACTTCTTCTGGGGGTTGCGAGGAGGCATACTCCAGAGGACCTTGATGGTGATGTGGGGAAATGTATACTCGGCCCAGAGGAGCTCATCCTCGTGCTTGGCATTCTTGCGGTACCAGAACTTCCAGTTAACACGATTCTCGCCTCTCATGGCAGAACCACTTGCAATGTAGCCACGGTGATCGTACTGAACAATTTCACCGTCCAAGTCTCCTCGGATGCATTCACGTTGGAGAGGAAGCTTGGAGGAAGGAGTGTCGTAGTCGTATCGGTAGACGTTTGCGACTTGACCCTTCTTGTAAATTTCTCTTTCCTGCAGCACAAGCTTGTTGTTGTACGTGTTGACAGCCTTGAGATTCTTCGACTCGGTTGGTTCAGAATCGTGCTTGCCAGCGTACTGTGCGACACGGAGCGTGCCATCAGCTTGAGTGCTCCAGAACCAACTTGACGGACCAGAGAAAGTCTCAGTGACGATACGGTTCTTCTCGAGAACAGTTGTCATGCCTCGCATCAGCTGCTCAAGCTTGGAAACATGCTCGTGGCGGTGGAAGAGGACAGGTGGCACAATAATGGTCTGAAGGATTCGGCAGTAAGACCAGATGGTGTTGAGGAAAACCATAATGGGCCAGCGCACAACAGGGTGGGCATCGCGGAGAACAAAGTCCAATTCTCTTTGGTACTCGATATCGGCGGTGAGGGAAATGATCAAGAACTTGATGCAGAGGTTGAGGCCGCGGAAGAAGGTGGAAACGACCTTCTTGGGGTAGGCAAAGACAGACTTCTTCTCGGGCACAACAGGCGCTCCAAACAGCTTCTTGGCATCACTGGGAGTAATGTACTCGGACTCTTCCCTGTCAAATCCTCGGCTCTCGACAGCCTTGGCATATGCCAAAACGCTCTTGGTGAGAGCAGCACCGAGATCGCATCTAGCAATGTGAGAGTCAATGTCCCGAGGGTCCTGAGAGTTGATCTTGGTAGCAATCCAGTTCTCGACTTCATTGGTGAAAGTACCAACGCTGCCGCAGCAGCGCTTCAGCAAGAAGCTTCGGACAGACTCGGGAAGTGTCTCCCACTCCCGTTCGCAATCAATGCCCAACAGGACGTAGCGGAGAAGGGTGGTCTCACCGGCAGCCAGGACACGAGCGCGTTCCAAGGGGCACACCTCAAGCTGGCGCTTGACACCCTCTGGAATCGAGAGTTCATGGCTGCTAGAGTGATCGGTCACCAGGAGCTCAGTAAGAGTTGCCTCGCCACGCGTCATGCCAAGTTGGAGCTCCGAGAAAGAGTTGACCACTGCCTCGGCAATGACTCTCCAGTGGCGCTGCACATTCAGGGTCCATTCATCGTTGACTCGGTCAGGACCAAGGATGACAATGATGTGAATGACATCTCCGGCCTTGCGGCTGATTGATCGCACCTTGGGGTCTCCAGCTGCCATGTGGCGGGACGAGACAAGCTCAATGACCACATCTCCAGCCAGCCAGCTCTGAGCAACGCATGCGAGGTATCTCTGAGCAGATTGGAAGGAGGCCTTGAGGACTGGAGGGGTTCTTGATCTCTCCTGAAGACTGAGCAACTCGAGAATACGCTTGCCAGGGTGCTTGGCAGGATCCAGGGTGTATCGGTCTTCAGGGTCCAGAGAGGTGAAGGACTGGAAGAGTTGCTTCAGTGTCGTCTGAGACAGATCGGGCTGGGGCTCGAGGCTGCTTGCAGAGTAGGTGATTACCAGAGAGGAAGTGTCATCAGTCTTGAGCGACCTGTACTTGGTCTTCCAGTCAATAAAGGTAGGCATTCCAATGTTGGAGATCCAGAGAGAGTAGATGCAGGCGGCCCAGGTAGCGACAGCGAGAGAAGCGACACCGCTGTATGCCCACTCTGGCAGCTTAAGGTGGAGAGCGATACCAATGGGCAGACCAATGATGGAAGCAAAGGCAAGGGGCTTGGCACCATCCATGCCGCAGAAGATCTTGTTGTACTGATACCACAGCAAACCGGAGTATGCTCCGATATAAGCCATAAACATGATGGCATCGTCCTTGGAAGACTGAAAGACCCACATGAGACAGGCAAAGAGGGAAGCGCCCCACAGGTGAAGGAAGAAGAACTTGCAAAGCGAACGCCAGTAAAGTCTGCGTCTGGCAAGGATGTCGTCCAAGTTGGCCTGCTTGAGCGACTCGAGAGAGGTAATAGGCTTGTTGATCTTCTCGTTGGCGGCAGTCCAGAGAGGCTGCGACACGGTATCGAGGGCGACAGCGCCAAAGAGGTAGTAGCAGAGACCAAAGCCAACTCCCAGGCGGAAGACTTCGCTGCTGGCAGCCGACAGACCAACCAAATTGCCTCCAGTCACAAGAGCTGCCCACTTGTCCAAAAGTGCAACAACAAAGTAGAGCAGACCGGACCAGATATCCTTTCCAGTCGATCTCCAGTGGAGGAAAGCACTGTGAAGTTTGAGACCCTTTTGCATGTTTGTCATGTTCTCCATACCAGCCTTGAGCGTCAAGTTCCAGGTAGTACTGTAGGGGAGAGGCATCCATGATCGCTTGTGTCTGCAGTACCAGCGCATCAAGAACATGGTCGAGTTGTAACCATCGGCCAGCTTCTTGATGAGAGGGTCCTTGGTGGACTTTGTAAAGAACCACTTGTTGACCTCCTTCAGGACTACACCGTGAATGGCAGTACGAGCCATTGGCATGACCTGGTTGTCGCCAAGGCCGTCAAGCTTGTGTGCCTCCGAGCCGAGATGCTCTCGGTACCAGCTAATGACTTCGGAGTCCTTGACGAAAGGAATCTTGAGGTACCAGGAGCTCCACTGAGAGATGACTTCTCTGGCTCTCCAGAGAAGGATCAACAAGAAGCCGCTGAGAACAGGCAGGTAGACTGTAATGTCGTTGTCGACCGCCATACTGACAATGGGGGAGATGAACAAGATGGGAATGCATGTAATAATGGTTGTTCGTCCCGACAAGAACTCGGAGCCTGGCATCTGGTAGATGGACAGAGCGTTCAAGGCCAACATGTACAGGGAAAGCATGATGAAGTAGAACAGGAAGATGAGTGCCGCGGTGGTGGTCTGAGACGAGATGACAATGATGAAACCAATGATGGCACCCAGAATGCAGACGGCGACACCAGCAGCGAAGCGGGTCAGGATGAACAAGTTCATGGCGGGGAAGCCATTGGCGTAGAAGTAGTAGCTACCACCAGAGCAGATCCATTGACCAAACGCACCGCTGAGCAGGAGAGCAAACATGAGCGCTCTGGTCGCCATTGTCTTCTCTTCCGAAGTCATAAAGGTCGTCAGATACAGTCCACGACCAATGGTAGTCAGGAGCAAAACGTCGATGAGAGCAGGCACAGCAAAGATACCGAAAAAGGTGACGCGGTATGTAAAGGAGACCTTTTCCTCGCCACCCTCGGGGTCGATATCAGCTTGCATGGCAGCGTATGCAGTGGGAAGCTCAGTGAAGACATCGTCTCGCCTGGGGGGTTGGTACTTGGAGTAGTAGGATCGGTACCGTTCGGCAATGATCTTTCCGATAGCTCTAGGCGTCATGTCAAAGAAGGAGTCGCAGCGCGATCCAAGAGCAAAGTTCTCGGCGAAACAGGCAGCCTGGTCAGATGCGTGGTTGGGGTAGACGTTTCGATCCATAACCTCGAGATAGACCTCGTCCAGGGCCAGCTTGCGAAAGGCGGAGAAGACGGCAAGCGCTAGAATATCGGCTCCAGCGTCGATTACATCAGCGTGGAATAGGCGCTGCATGACATTGCTCAGACGCGAGTAGATATCGCTTTCAACTTCGATGAGAACAGAGTACAGGCGGGTATCAACATCCTGAAACAGGCGAATCGCTTCAGCAGTGTCAGGAACGTGGCATCCCTTCTCAGCGAGCCAGTTGACACGAGAGGTAACCATGTCCTCAATCGAGACATCGCCGTTCAGATAAGCAACAGAGTTGAGAGCACGCTGCTGGGCGAGCATGGGAGTATCCAATAGCTGGTACTCCATGCAGTCGCAAATTGAGGCAAAGAACTTGGACTTGGCCTTGTCGGATTGCATACGCATGAGCAGCTGGACAGTCTCGGCAGGAGAGAGCTGCTGGAGATCAGATATGATGCGTTCGGGCAGTTTCCAGGTAGGAGATAGTTTGCCATTTCGGTCAGCCATGGACTGCTCAGCCATGAAGCACTCGATCCGCGAGCATTGGCGGCTGGACAGGAAGGTGTGGAGAATTGTGGCAGCGCGGTCCTTGGCCTTGTTGGAAAGATACAGGACAACGCGGTCTGACTCTGGTTCTACGTCGTACAGACCCCAGTGTTGCGTACCGGCGTCAGTCTGGAAGCCAGAGTGAAGACCGGAAAAGACCTGAATGCGTGGGTTCTCGGGCTGGGCAATGGATGCGCTCAACAACTCAATCAACGCGGTGACAGCCTGCGAGGCAGTGGGGGAGAGGCGTTCGCTTCCGTGGAGACCTTGAATTTCTGCGAGGGCCATTTCCAACTCGGAGCCCTCAACCTTTGCAAGGAGATCCAACTCCTTGAGCTTGGCCTGGCCACGACGAAGCTCATCAAAGTCGGCAAAGTTGGCCTCGTGGCCCAATTGGAAGCAACCAAGGCCGGTTCCAGCCTCGTCCTTGAAAACTGCCAGACGAGCAGTCTTCACGTCAAGTACCGATGCCGGCGCATTACGTCGGGAAACTGTACTCTCGAGACTTGCAGGCCTCAGCTTGTTCGGGGCTGACAGTTGTAATCTTGCAGAAATATCTGGGATGAAATCACGGAGGCTTTCGTAGAGCTCTTCGTGATTTTGAGAAGTGTGGGCAATGGTATCATTGACTCGCCATGTGTCGTGAGCCTTCATGTTTTCCTCGTTCTTCAGCCACATCAAGGCGCCGAGAGGCTTTGCCTCGAGAGAGCGAGCTGCCGCGATGTCGGCGTTGAACATTGAGTCATTGTGGCCAACCCAGCAGAGTGCACTGTTGAAAACACACCAATTGTAAGTTCTCGTGGCAACAGCGTACTGAATCTCGGCCTCGTCCTCAACAGTCTCCCACATGATGAGGAGGAGTCCATGGGCGGCGCGCTGAGCCGCGACCGCACGCATGCAAGTTCTCATTTCGTTCATCTGGAAAAAGTTCTGTCGGTCGCCATCGGGTCGCATGGTTCCGTTTCGGTAAATGACACCACGGATAAAGTTCATATCAGTCGCGGTAGCCTCCTCCTCGGAGAGATACTCGGGGTAAGAAAGCTCAAGCCAGAGCTCCGAGTTCAATGTGCTGACGAATCGAGCCAACTCGGAAACGACAGCGGGGTGGAAGTGCTTGCGGAAGTTTGCCAGAAGAATTCCGGTAAAAGGACCGGTAGCGGCATTTCGCAAGGTCTGGATGACCGTCTCCAGATTTCGGATAACGGTCTCGCTGCTAATACTCGCATCTGTTGCGACAACAGCCGATACGTCCACGCGAGCCAAAATCTCCTTGGCAGTTGAAGGGTATGACGACAAAGTGTCAACAACACCAGGTTGCGATGGGTCTACAACGAGAACCTGCCATTTTGACAAGATCTTCTGTTGTGCTAGCGTAGGCGGCGAGGTGAATCCGCCCAAAAATACACCAAATGTCTTGAGTTCCTCCTCTTCAGCGGACTTTGCCAAAGAAGCTGATTTTGTGGGATAGTCCTTTCGCATCCGCTGAAGGTATCGAGCAACCGGTCGAGAAACTGCGGTCATCCGCCCGCCCTGAATTCATTAGTGACACTCGCGTAATAGAGTGATAATTCAACTTACGGATGGCCGCCTCATGAAATACCGGATAACATTGAAAATAATATAACCAGATCCGAGGACAAAGGTGGCAAGAAGGAAGGCGGCAATGAGCTGATCCCACCAGGAATCAGTCATATCATGCCAGCCAACCGCCGACAGACCCAGGAAGCTGAGCCCCATCTTGCTGGCTCTTGTCTTGCTGGCTTGACAAGTCGCAGATGGATTGCAATGATTAAGCGAACGTGTTCATCTGGGGAACCTTTTTTCAAAATGTGTAAAAAGTTGGGGGGGATGAGCTGGGTATAGATGTAACAGCGTTTCGCCGGGAGCTATGTGGTGTGATAAGAGGTCTCCAATAAACAGAGTATTAGAAATCCACTACTTGTTCACGCCACACAAGACAGACGGATGGATCGTAGTGGGAACCACTTTATCAATGCCTATGGCAAGACGACAATGTATCTTGGGCGGCCTGATATGTAGCAGCTTTCTGGCTCTAGGCGGGACTAGAGCCTCGTATCATCACGTCTAGGCCGCAGGTAACAAAAAATTTGGGAACGAGACCAGCTTCAGCTCTGTTCTCGCAAGTTGAAGCTAGATTAGATCGGGTGCTGGTGCGAGCTCTCGATATAGAAGCAGACCTGAGGCTGGCTGGACCCTGCAAGGGTTTTTACGGTATTACCACCGCAGTGGTAGCCAAACAAAGTTGTCATAATACGACATGATCGACCGGGGGAGGGCTGCGCGGACGGTCCGTTCGCCCATACTGTCCAGATGCCTTGGCCGATGGGCCCTCATCGCATGTCATAGCATCGAGACTCACTTTGTGCACTGCATTAGCTGGCGCCCCTCTGACGGATCGTTTTAATTCCTAGGTTAGCTCGTATCGTGGGCCTTTCGTGGCGAGCTCCGGTGGGTGAGCTGAAGCTTCGTATTAACTAATGACACTAGCCTCCGGCTCTATCGTCGATGGTGTCGCGACTCAACTCTGTCTACCCCTGACGTTTGTTGTCTCCAGTCTGTTCTAGCCGCACTGCCGTTACTGGCAAGTGCCTGGCGTGCTGTCTGGCCGTCAGCCCGGGCCTCGAGAGTGCGTGAGCGTGTGCCGCGCTGATGTGCTGACACGAAAAAGAAGAAAGGGTGCGCATAGACGTTGGACCCAATAAAAATGGGCATTTACAATCCGATATCGTATAGTAGTTTCAGCGAGGTCCGAAAACTAGACTATATCCAGACTTGGTCAAACGCCACCAGGGTTCGGACCCGACCTCAGCCCGGATTAAACAGGCCCGTACGGTACGGATCTGTCAGGCCCTGCCTGTCGGATTAAAAATGCTACTCACTTATCGGAATCAGGAAAAAACACGGCCAAATTTCCATTGGCCGCCCACCGTGCAACCCATGCCATGATGCGGCGCAATGACCAGGACCCTGGAATTTGGAAGATGAGCAGCAAGCATTGGCATGCAGCCTGGTAGGTATGCATCTCATCCGGCCGGCTCAATCCAGAGCTGCCAAGCTGGTTGCTTCGGAAGGAAGCGAAACTCTGAAGTTTCTTTTCGTCTTCTTTGGCCATTCATTGAGCTTCCAGAGGCTGCACAGTCGCATTCTGTTTGGATTAGTGTTTGCACCAACCGTCACCTTGCCGTGTTGTCCTTCCCCTCAAAGCTCTTTTGCGGGGGTGGGAAGCAGCAAGTTTAAGCATGAAGAAAAAAATCTGGAAAAAAGAGAGAGTGGAAAGGGCGGAGCAGGGGGTGAGGTGATGGCGCATGCACAAAAAAGAATGAATGACGCGGAATCGTGTCATGGAGCTCAAGCGGTGCCTGAGCCAATCCTTGGGTGCATCGATCCAGTCCATTGGTTTTGCGCTAGATCGGCCTATTCAACCAGTCATAACGGCTCCTTCCACATGGATTTGCAGGGATCCCCACTACGATATCTTTGCTAAACCCACCCCACGACTCGTCTTGATCAGAGCTTGGGAAAAATCTCCGCTGGCTGGGGATGAGGTGTGTGAGAGAAGAAGAAAATTTTAAAGAAAGAAAAAAGAGAGTTTGACCAGAAGTGGCCTCCCACCTTTCCTCTTTTTCAGCCTTTGGGAGGGTCCCAGGAGTAAAAGCCAAGCAGGCGAGGCAGGCAGCTCAAGTCAGCTCTTCGGCCGTTCCTGGCTGCGGCTTTGATGGGTATCCATATCTTTTTATGCCTAGCATTTGCTAGCACATGAGCAATGCAAGAGAATCGGGCTTGGCGGTGAAAAAAGGAGCTTCCCAAGCAATAAAAGAGGCAAGAGTCAAGAGTCAAGATCACGGGGGCTGCCCTGACTTGTCAGTTTTTGATCATTTTTTGGGGCACCCTGTCATGTTGGCGTTCATGGTGATACGGCGGTTAATCTGAGGGACCCAAAAGGCTGAAAAAGGGATCCAATAGGCGCGCGCGTTGCCTCGTTGGCTCAACGCCCACTGACAAGTTGTCATATACTGCTTGCGTACTCAAGGGACACGCGCCCCTCTCTACTGCATCTTCACCTTGCCTTTTCTTACTCGGGATCACGACGCCTGACCCCTTACTGACTTCGTCGTCGCCCACTGCCGCCCACTGCCGCCCACTGCCGCCCGCAGTTCAACCAATTAAGGCCCCTTGTGATCGAAAATCTCTGGCGGTTTGAATCGTGCCAACACTCCATTGATGATCAACGAGCGTTTCAGAAGAGTCAAGTAAGATTCATTCAAGATGAATTTGCAGGATAAGTTGCCAAAAGCATGGCGTCGCAAGAGATGGTTCTGGGGTTTATTAGGAGCCATTCTGCTCGTTGTGATTATTGTCATTGTTGTTCCAATCGCAGTGATCTTTTCAAGAAAAAACCACAAGACAACTTACGGCGCCATGCTCATCGTACCTCTTTACATCTATCCCACGGATGCCTCTACGTGGCAGCCGCTCTACAATGCGTAAGACTCTGATCTTATAACTTATAGACAAGAAATTTCACTAACATGGCCTTGAAGGGTTGAATCGAGGTCTTCGCTCAACTTTACCGTTGTTGTAAACCCTGCCAGCGGCCCGGGAACCGACTTGGTTCCGGATGAACAATACTATTCCGCCATCCAGAAGCTCAACTCGTACAGCAATGTTCAGACTGTGGGATATGTACGAACTGGGTACGCCACAAGAGACATTGACACTGTCATTGAAGAGGTCAAGACCTATGCCGGCTGGTCTTCAAACTCCACCTCCATTGCCATGAACGGTATCTTCTTTGACGAGTCTCCTCACGAGTATTCTGAAGATGCCGTCGAGTACATGAAGAACATTAGCTCCGAAGTCAAGGGCGCCGACGGTCTTTTCGGGGATAAGACGGTATGTACTCTCGGATATCAATAATCTTTTGTACCTCGGATGCTAATAACATACATTAGGTCATCCGAAACCCAGGCACTGTACCAGACTCCAGATACGCCGACGACAATGTCGACATCATCGTTGTATTCGAGGACAACTATGATGCATGGCAAAGCCGGAGTGCCGATGTCGAGGCCGCGCCTGATGACAGGAGCGAGAAGAGCATCATGATCAACTCGGTTCCGGAAATGAGCGATGATGACATGAAGACTTTTGTAAACGATGTTGCCAGTCTTGGAGAACACTTGTTCATCACGAGCAACGACGCAAACTTTTACGAGTCTTGGGCTTCGGATTGGAGCAACTTTGTCGATGCCACACAGTCGACGAATTAGTCAACTGGAGGAAACTGCTGGGAACTGTTGGGACGTCTGGGACGATCTGATTTACCTCATCTATTTTTCTATCATACCCATTATATTTCTCTTCTAGAAGGCATTGCATGCCAAAATACAGTTCCAATTTCATAAAATCAAAAACCAAGCCAGAAAATCATTGCTTCCATCTATAGTGCCATTGTAATTTGAAAACTCCGCTCCATCCGAGACTCATTTCTCAGATTGGTCAACCGCCGAGATAAAGTCTTGCCAGCTTGGGCCAAAGCTCTCATAAAAGTCATCCACCAAGTCAGTAGCAAAGACATACTGACCTCGCTTGCATAATTCGTGCACAGCATCCCGTATCTTCTCGCGCGGAATACCGGAGATCTGGTAGATGGACCGAGCACGATCAAGAGGAAGCTCGGCCAATCTCTTCTGCACACCTTCGCCAATGTATAACTGGTGAGGCTCCTCAGAGATGCATACGAGGTCGGGATTACCAAACGAGCTAAGGTCGCCCTCAGGAGGTGTGCCTGGATTGTGGACGACCTAGTAAGCCATGGTCGGACAATTAGCTTTTCGACTATTTTTGGCTGACTGCAGAAGCGAGCTGGGTTACGTGACGCGGAAATAAGTGACGAAATGGGCGTGCATAATATTGAACAAGATAGCAAGAAACGTTCATGCAGAGGAAAGGGGTGGCAAAAAAAGCAGCAGTAGTGTAGAGTGTGAACCAAAAGTAAAGGTGGGAAGCTAGCACATACCGTTCGATCTCCCATCAGACCATTCACGTGCTTGATGTATAGGCGAAGGGCATCAAGGTATTCAGATCGCTCCTTGGAGACGTGATTGGGTGTCTCGTCGACGTAGATACCTTGCACATGAAGACCTGGGATGTTGTGGCCAACCTCCCAGTCAGCAAACTGCCGGATCTCTGCCATGCTCTCGCGCAGAGGCTTCCGGCAGTAGTCGATGCGAACGTAACCGACGGTGCGGACGTTGGCAAAGGCATTCAGGCGCGGCACCTCGCGCACATAGTCGTGACCGGGAAGCGGCAGGTCGCCAGGCCCACTATTGGGATTGACTACGACGAGGAAGTTGGTATCAGGGTGAGCTGCGATACTGTTTGTTCCGTGCGGACACTTGCAAGTCAGCCCATGTGGGTCTCGTCGACTATGGTTTCAGTCGTGTGGTTTTTTTCTTCTTTCGACCCAAGCAGAGGCCCTCGGCCCTTCACTTCAGCTCGGAGAGACGCGGAGATGGTAGGGGAGCAAGCAGAGAGCAGATGTCAGACCGTGTGAAAAACAAGACCGGAAAAAAAAAACTTGGAGCTTGCAAGACAGATCATGAACAGATCTGCTCATCAACAGCTCTAGGTTCCGGTCGACTCATCCTCCGGGGTGAAGATCTTGACAAACAGGGCAAGGAATGGAAGTTACGCACGCATCATAGAGAGGTTGCCAAGTGGTATTCGTCAGCGGATAATAGTACAAGGGCATCACCACCCAGGCCTTGCTTGAATTGGTCGTGGACATGATGGATTTTCTTGGGGATCTGGACTTTGTCTGAAGCTTCTTGGGTGGGTTTTCTCTGGCGAGTATTCACGGAGTGTCCCTTTGGGTGGATTACTTCTAGCCAGCAGCAGGTAAAAGACTCCAAACAGAAACGGGCGATAAATTGCTTGCTTCAGCTGTGCGCTTTGAAGCTCCGGAACTCATTTCCTCTTGGGATATTTAAGCAGTGTACAGTTTTGCTGCTAGCAGGAAAAAACGCAGCAATCCAGAAGCACCTAGTGCTAGTTGGCCCCCGCGGCGCCGAGTGCTGATTTCCACCGAGTGGGCGCCTAGCCCGTCCGCTGGCGAGCAGCTGGGCTGGAGGACTGGAACCTGGGCGGGGCACTGGGGCAATGGGGCTTCAGCAGGCTCCAGCGGGCTCCAGGCGTCTGGTCTGGCGCTTCAGTCAGTGTCCACGACATGGTGCAAGGCTCGAGCTTTGTTTCCTTTCTTGTTCCCTTTTTTCTTCCCTTCCCTCTTTTTAACCTCTAGCTGTACCCCCTTTTTTAAGTGTAGCGCCCCCCATACCCGCCGCATACCAGCCCATCCATACGCCCCCCCACGGAGACGCTTAGAATAGTAGCTTCTTACGAGGGCTCCACTATCTCAACCTCTATACGAGCCTCCAATTGTTTGGTGGTGCAAATCGGGTGCCTCGAGAGAGAATGGCACAACGTTGCAACCCTCGAGCTTTCTCATTCGTTCGCCTCGCATTTTTTTTACATTTTCGATTATACGCGGTTTCAACCAAGTTTTTGAACACGATTGATATTATAGCGTTTCTTAATGTTTGGAACTTATTCCAAGCGTCAGACGGCCTCCCTCTCCCGCACAACCTGGCGATAGCCTCTCTAAACTCACACACTCGTTCTCTCCCTCTCCCTCTCTCCCACTCATCTCCCGCACTTGGTGCTATTATTTCCTTCTATTTCTGAACTCCACAACGTGCACTCGGCATTGGGCTTTAGACGGCTCCAAAAAGGCAAAGCTGGTAGTCGAGACCGTCGTACTAAGTCCCGAGCCTATGAGTTCCAACCTAGCTGACATTTGGCTCCGGTTCATTTTTCGATAGATTCGGCCTTGTACATGTCGTGGGCTCTATCTCGAACCTGCTAAGCTTTTTTTTTTCTTCCTTCCCCCTTCCCGCTACTCTGTCTTCCTTTCCTGAAACGTAAATGATGAAATCTCCACGACCAACAGACGGTCATTAAGCTTGAGAGAGGGTCACTGCGCATAGGCTGGCTCGATCTAAGGTGTCATTGCTCTGACTCCCTGGGCTGGTCTGGATTTCTGAAGAAGTTTTTTTATCTTGCTTTCAGCTGGCTTCTGTCTCGGTCAAACTTTCACAAGTTTCAGAAGCACATCTATCCACATAATAAGTAATTCAAGACAAAAGAAGCTCCCTCTCCCTCGATCGAGTCTCTTGTCAAAATCGATGCCACTATTGTATATCCGTTTACGCCAAAAAACTCCACAGTTGAGATGAGTTCAATTCCTTCGTCCTCGGAGTCTTCGCCGAAGCTTCGGTCTCACTCACCAGTCCATTTCCCCTCTACGCCTGCCACAGAGGTAGAGCTCGATCACTTTCATGGCGGCTTCGATGATGTTGTGTTCCGAGCAAGAGCAAATCAGTATGTCCTGGTCACTGGTGGACTAGGTTTCATTGGCAGCCATACATCCGTAGAGATTCTCAAGGAGGGTTATAATGTCATCATCATCGACGATCTCAGCAACAGCCGACAGGATGCCCTCCAGGGCATCAACACCATAGCACAACGCCACTTCAAACACTTGCCCAACCGCAAGTGTCCCAAGGTTGAACTTCACTCCATTAATTACCGCGATGACGCGGCCATGAGGGATATCCTCGACGCACACTCATACAAGAGCCCCTCTGGTGTGATCCAGCGGTCCAACATTGTTGGTGTCATTCACTTTGCAGCATACAAGGCTGTCGAGGAGAGCATTCGCTTCCCCCTCAAGTACTATCGCAACAACATCAATGGTCTCGTCGACTTCACAACCTTGCTGGAGGAGTACTCCATCAAGACATTCATCTTCTCTTCCTCGGCCGCCATCTACGGCTCCTTGGCCGAGGCTGGTGTACCTCTACGTGAGGAGAACTGTGTTCAGCAGTGCGAGCAGGGCCGCGAGGAACCTGGCTATGAGAACCTACCACAGGCGGGCTGCATTGACATCACCAACCCCTATGGTCGCTCCAAGTTCTTTGGCGAGGCCGTCCTGTCGGACCTTGTCCGGTCCGACCCTTCATGGAACATTGTCGTCCTGAGGTACTTCAACCCCGTCGGCTGCGATGCCTCGGGCCTGCTCGCCGAGGACCCTCGGGGCCCGCCCTCGAACCTCCTGCCCGTCGTGACCCAGGTCATGACTGGCAAGCGCGACGTCATCAAGATCTTTGGCGGCGACTGGAACACGGCCGACGGCACTGCCATTCGCGACTTTATCCACGTCTCGGACCTGGCCCGCGGCCACACCGCCGCCCTGTCCGCGTGCCGTCACGGTGCCATTCTGGACGGATACCGTACCTACAACCTCGGCGCCGGCCAGGGCAACACTGTCCTCGAGGTGGTCCACGCCATGGAGGCCGCCTCTGGCCGCTCCATTCCCTATGAGATTGTTGACCGACGCGCCGGCGACGTCGAGTACAGCGTCGCGGCCGTCAGCCGTGCCTACAAGGAGCTGGGCTGGGAGACCAAGGAAACCCTGGATACAGCCTGCCGCGATATTTGCAATCGTTTGAACATTGGTCCGTGAGACACCAAAAAAGATACATGGGAATTAATAATTTTTGGACCGAGGTCATTCACTATAGGGAAAACTTTAGACGTTAGGCGCACAAGGGGGGCAACATAGGTATGATCTGTTTTACTGTATCTGTCGACAAAAGGTGGCGTTGGGGAGTACGTCTGAGGTGTGCTCGACGACACAAATTGAATAAGCGAGCATATAATTTAGCATAAATCAAACCATTCCTTTCATTCGAGTCCACAAAATTTCTCTCTTGATTCCCCGGCATTTGCTCTACAACATGATTCCTGAGGTAACCAATACTCATCATGGTGGTTGTTCCAAGCACCGAGCTCATGCGCTGCAAACTAGCCTCACGTAGTACAGACGCCATCCAATCACGCCTTCTTGAGAAGTATATACCAAAGTCGGCCAAAAGCCGCTCCTAGTGGCTACACTACTCCAACATGAACTTGCAGCAGAGGTCATATGTCGATCAACTCGGAACGACATCATGATGGAATGTTGAATCTCTCTTAATCAGCGTCACGCGGCGGGTTGCTGGCGGGTGATGCAGGTAATAATATCGCGACAACTCACGGGGGCATCATCATATTACTCAACACTCGAGTTCGCCGAATTCTCTCTGAATAATGATGGCTCAAAGTTTGCTATAAATAGTGACACACCCTCCTTTTGGCCGAGTGGGTGTGAGATCTACAATTGTGGTTGATCACGAACAAAAAGACGCAAGTCCGTCGTGGTTGATCTTCTCAAAGAAGCTCATGCCCTGTTTCGCTGATCATGAACAAGGGAAAATAAAAGCTCAAGACCGTCTCGGTGATGATGCAGGTAAAGCTCCGACCCCATGTGATAATCAAGCGCGTTACAGGCACATGTCAAATTGAGTACGGTCCAGGTCATGTTAGAAAAACAAATAGATCATGGATATGAAATTGAATACAATCTGATATAATGTGGCGATATCTTCAAAAGCATGGAGTAAGTGACGAAGATATTACCTAGGTATAGTGCTGCTAAGACATGTGCAAGAAGCCAAAAAAAAAGGTATGAGCTCAGCCTAGTCTTGGCATCATTTCCACACATGTGCACTTCTTGGCGACCCTTCTGATTTTATTTTCACTTCCTATTTTCCCCTTTTTAGGGGTCCAGGATTTAAGCGTCATGTCTACTGTCTTGGTGGGCTGAGAGATGAGAGAGATTGAAACTATCACTGAAGCTATGCGAGTCGTTGGGCGGGTTGCGAGAAGCTACCGTTCCTTCTATGGCGCAATGTGGCGTCAGTTGTAATATCAGCTTGAGCGTTCCGAGCTGTGGTTGGTTTGAAGCACGGACCATGTACGCCATAGTGTGAAAAAAAAATAGGGTGCTGACTATTTTTTTTTCTCCTTTGCCATCTGGCCTGGATTCAATGATCTGCTCGACCATCTTGCGTAGCTCCTGGCACTAGAAAGATGGACACTCGGATCTTACCGTTAAAGCTTGGGCACCGCAGACCTACCGCAAGAGGTAGCCCGTACGAGCAAGTTGATCCTGCGGTGCGGCTAAAGGGATTTTTCCTTTCCACCACGTTGGATTCGTCTCGTGGCAAATACTCTTATTCTTCTTTGCCCTTCCCACTCGGCCGTGAATTTTATTCCCTGGGTTGTACCTGCTTGAATGGATTATAACCGTCAGTCTTCCCAGCCCCCTTGATATTTATGCCTCGAGCCGCTTCGAGACGTTACGCTATAGAAGAAACCTTCCTCGTTACACCATAGGACAGTGCGTAAAAGTGATACGCCCCAACTGATATCACATTTTTGATTTCCTCATCAACGGGACTAATGGGCATGTGAACTGAGCTACTGGGGCGACGAAATGTGAGCTGAACGTTGCCTCACCGCACTTGGTGCTAGTGTGTCCCCAGTCTCATTACGTACGCAGAGTGGATTGATACAGAGTGGAGGGAATGGATACCTTTCTTCAGGTGGAAACAGCCTTATCAACGTCTTCCTATTATCCTATCTCCCCGCATCGGCTCTTACATAAGCCACAGCAGTTCGGCTTCCAAAGATTAATTTCAAGAACCGCATAGTTGTGAGTCCTCGAAGAGGTAATATCAAAGCGTGAGGCTTTCTCCTGTCTTGAGTAGTGTCCCCGAAAAGGATATGAACAAAGGTCGGGTTGTGACCGTAGAGAAATTCAGGAAAGTGCGTGTAAAGATGAATAATGTTTTCATTGAAATCATCCGTAAATCTTTTTTATGATAGGCAAGACAAATTAAGCAAGAAAACACTGTCTCTACCTACTACTATTTCCTGTGTTCAGATCCGCACATTCGGTTTTGGTTTTGGCTTTCAAAAGTAAAAGAAAAAGGTCTTATACAGCATTTTGCGGTGAATTTTTCTGATCCTTCAATTTAATCGTTCCGTCAAAGGGCACGCCTTCTCGTCCGTTGAGCGCGGTCAAGCTGCAATCTAGCCCAGTGTGACAGCTGCTGATCCGTTGCCGAGTTCGTGGCGACATGGAATACCGATTGCACGTGGATTTGGAGACTCGCCGAGGCGTCCGGATGCTTTCGTTTAAAGACTTGGTCAACAAAGCGAGGGATAAAGGGAGCACAGGCTACAATGAAACCTGCCATCAACTCACCACAACTAGATGGGAAGTCAATGTTTCAGTCTGATGATATAATTTGAAAGCATGACGAGACTCACTTCCAGTTGCCCATTGGCATGGTGGCCCAAGTGGCATCTATAATGTGTACCAGCTTGATTCCATAGTAGAACCGAAAGGTGGCTGCAATCATGGCGCTATTGACATGTGAGTATCTTGAAAATAGTAGCGCTCTTGGATAACATACAAGATGCCAATGGCAAAGACCCAGCCAGCGAGGAGCTTTTTCTTGAGGGGAAGATGTAGGTTCCCCATACCAAACATGGGAATGATCAGAATAGACAGGTCAGAGGCCATGTTCAGGTCTGCAGCGACAGACTAACACTATACATGGTAAATTGCGTCAGCAAATGCCTCTTTGAGTGTATAAATGAGTTTGGATCATCTCCCTTCGACTCGTTAGATTATTCTGTCTTGTAGCAACATTCTGTTCTTTTGAGACCCCGAGAGCACGTGAAGTAACACTGGGAGTTTCTTGCGATCAAGTGCGAGATGCAGCGACTGTCCCCTTTGTGGAGATGTATCCTCTTCCGTAGGTCGCAGGCAAAGACAAACGTCAGGCCCACGGCGGCGTAGAGAAAGTTGGCCCATATCAACATGATGATGATCAGATGGAATTTGCTCTTGCGGTCATGTGCAAAAAATACCCTCTTGAGTTGATGAAGCACAACGTACTTTATCGAAAACATTGTAATGCAATAAAATATCAAGACCAAGTTCTCATACTGTTCATAACATTAGCATCAATATACTGGCATGTTCCCTCTAAAGAGCAACTCACCTTGGCTGCCCGTGGATACATGGCTATCGACACGTTCCACTGTTGAGACATTTATTAGTGTGTGGTGTTCAGGAGGAACATTTGTCACCAATAGTGGCATTGATGGTGAGTGCAGACTCATCGCTACATCAAACCCGAACACCACATCTGGTAAATAATTCTTCAACATCCACGTCATTCGTCTATTCTCTGTGTAGTCTCTTTCTCTTGACGTGACGTAGACATGTTTTGAAGTCGTGATGGGGCTGAAAAGGCTGACCTGATCCGTCCCATCTCCATACGCGGTCGCGAGCATCGACATGGAATTATGTACGGCAAAGGCCGCCTGCTTCACGTCACTTCACCGCACAGGTGTTTGGCATCTTAGTTTTTACGAAAACTCAACGTACGGCAACAAATAGCAGAATCCCTATACTGTGAGTCAACTGGCAATTATTTTTCAATCAAAGACAGCCTTTTGTCCATATAGTACATACAATCTTCAACATGTAACTGCTTCATCAGTATGCGCACATAAGTTCGCATAAAGACGAAAATAAATGCAACGCCAAGGGAAACTCCACCAACTACGAATCGAAGATGTCTGAGTGAAAAGGGGTCAACCAAGTTGTAGCTTTCACCCTCGGGCGCCTTCATGGCTGGAGTAGTCTGATCTGAACTCATTTTGGTGTAGTAAAGACAAATTGCACGACCAAGAATCTGGAATCTGGACAGGACAATGATAATGACTAGTGATAAGAAAGTCTTAAGACGAAACCAGTTAGAAATCAGACTCGAGGTAGTGCAGTTTGCCGTCGCAACCAGTGAGCGTAATCACGTAGCCGGAGTAGGTGAATACGTGAAGGCAAGTTTCGAGGACCGATCTGTCGTTCTTCCGTCCGGTATCAGATATCTCAACCAGAGCAAGAGCTTTTCAATCACAACGTAGTCACTTAGTGCCTAGCATAGTGCCAACCTTGGCAAGCATATTCGCAGTCATAGCACTGCCAATAAGGACTTCCCTCCTACATCAATCAAGCTATACTACACCATACAGAATCGTTTACTACGTCGATTCTTGTGGCAAGTATGGCAACCATACTGCTTCTTCTTATAGTCCCATCGTAACCTCCCGTACTATGATAGGAGTTTATTAAAACTACATTCGTCTACCAGAGCTATCCACCACTGGTAACCGGCCTTGATTCTTAAATTATAGATTCCAGCCTTTTAACCAGGAGGTCAACACTTCCTTGTCGATAGCAGGGATCTCGACCTTGGAAATCTCCCTGGCGCGACTCGTTGCTATGTTGATGGTGTCGGTACCGTCACCTAGTGTCCTATACCAGTCGAGCATCTTGAGCGCAGGCAATCTACTCGCATCTTCAGAGCTCGGAGAGTCGATGCTCTCAAGCTGGCTAACCCAATCTCTCAGAGGGACAATCTGAGTGATTCCAAACGTCTCTCGCACGATATCTACAAGCAGGCTCCAAGGCTGGGGTTTATCAGAGCAGACATTGAACACTTGGACGTCGGCTTGGCCATCCGCAATCATGAATCCTCGCAGCATGGCAGCAACAGTATCTACGGGAATCCAGTCAATCGGAACTACCGTGCCCGGGAAGCTGCCCAGATTCTTGGCAGAGCGTACGATGGCAGATATCCACTGCTGATCAGCCCAAACACCCGTGGAGGCTTTGCTCGGGCCACCGACCTGCCCAACACGAACGATGGAGACTGGTACTCCAGTTTGCCGGTTGGCCGTGATAAGTATGCGCTCGGCTGCCAATTTGGATTGAGCGTAGCCCGTGTTCAAAGCAGCCCGGGCGTCTTCAACAGGCGCTTCGGGAATGAAGGTCTCGTTGGCGAGATTCTCGACGGATGATAACGAGCTGATGAAGATGATTCTGAGCTTGCCTTTGCTCGAAATGGACAAGTCGACGAGGTCTCGGGCTGCCCGCAAAAAGGGCTCGAATGATCGAATCGCAATGCCAAAATCAAGCCTCCAAGAGTTATAGACGATCGCATCTACTTCATTCGCAACGAGGTCATATTGGTCTTGACTGAGCCCGAGGAGTGGCTTGCCGAGTTCAACCTTCAGGTAGGTGAGCTTGTTCAAAAACGGCTCCAAGGCGCCGTCGAGAGCAACCAGGGCGGCGTTCTGTTTCTCCTTTGCATTGACACTGCGATTCAAACAGTAGACCTTGGCAATATCAACGTCTTTCAGCAGAGCCGCAACTGTGTAAGACCCCAAATAGCCGGTTGAACCAATGATAGCGACTGTCGAGATCTTTCCAGAATTGGATTGTTTCGCCAGCCTGCTCGGCAGTCCACTCGTGTGTCGTGCCACTGCATTGTCAATATCGAGTATCTTTTGGGCTTGTGCATCTTCCAAAGGCAAAACATTGTCATTGAGGAACGCCACGAGCACTTTGGACAGATCAGTCAGCGATGCGTTGCGGAATATGACACGCGGTGATAACCATGCAAACGACGTTGAGGTTTGTGCTTGTAAGTTGCGCTTGAGGCTCGCGGTAATTTCCAGAGTCTGCACCGAGTCGAGGCCATACGCAAAGAAATCCTCATCTTCCCCAATAGTTGATGCCGGCGGGAAGGATGGAGCAAGGATCAATCGAAGGAAATTCAGTAGCTTGGCTGGCTCGTAGACCGTCTTGACCGTCGACTCTAGGCTGACATTGACCATCTGTGGCTGTGGGGGCGTAGCCGAGTATGCAGCCTCGATTTCGCTCTCATAGGAGCGCTCCGTGACTTTGCGCACGATAGTGTTCTTTGCAGTTCTTGCGAAAGGCTTTTCGGATGTGGCGCAGATAACCTTCCCTGGAGCGACACGACCCGGTCCGGGGATTCGCGCGTTGGCTTCCTCGATCCGGGGTCGGAGTGTTTGTAAGAAGCTCTCTGTCGCACTTTTTTCCAAGGATTCCTTTGGTTCCACAAGAAGAGCGGTCTGATTCCTCTCGTTGCCCACAAGCAATGCGCCCAGGACCGAGGGATGGCCTTGAATATATTGCTCCAGAGGTATAGGGTTGACCTTTTCGCCGTTGGCCAAGACGATAATGTCGTCCCTGCGTCCAAAGTACTTGTACAAATTTGGTTTTGTGGGGTGCTTGACAAAAAGATCCTTGGTATGGTAGGGACTGACGCCTGGCAAATTATGGTACAGAGGGCACATGTCCTTGTTGGTCTCATCTGCCAGGATGACTAGCTCATATGTGCCCTCGTGAGAATCATACAACTGCATCTCATGTTTCATTGCGAGTTCATGATACATCCAGTCCTCACGAGGCTTGTGGAGCTCGGGCAGAGGGAAAGTCTCCGTTGAGCCAATCCAGTTGAAAAGCTCGACGGCAGTGCTGGCTTTGTCTCCAACAGCTTCTGCAGCAGGCGCACCAGCAACGGCGGCAAACTTGAGACTTCTCAAGAAGTCCATGCCATCAGGATCACTAGTAAGTTGAATTGTGTTAGCTTCTCAACCTTGTCTCAGTTATGTAGAAATTTCAACCAAATTCTTGAGCGACAGCTCAGAGGGAGGGCAAAGATTTCCCGAGACAACAATATGGGATCAGGAAAGAAAATAGACTACTAGAAATTCTGCAAGAATTAACCAAGAGAAAATATAAACTTTAGTACTTACTGGAGAATTGCTTGCAGCAAGGCGGGAACAACCATGACACCTTTGAGCTCTTGCTGCCGGGCCATCTCCTTGAGCATGGCAACATCGGGAGCAATGTGTGGTGGGCCCAGTACGAATGTGACATTTCTGAAGATGCCGAGACCTATCAATGATGAGTACAGTCGAGCCAATAGTCGCCAAAGCATAAAAGCTTACTCGTAAAGAACCAGAACCCTCCCAGCTGCAAGCTTATCAGTCACAAGAACCAAGACGAAGTGAACAGGAATGAACTCACGTGGAAGAAGGGCAAGATCAAGAACATGCGCGTTTCCTCTTCAAAGGCGAAAAATGTGGTATCCCTCTTCTTTCGCCCAGGCGGAGCTGGAACATTGTGCTCGTAATCTACTGCAGCAAAGCTTCCATGGGTCATGGTAATTGGCTTGGGCATACCTGCTCCATACTTAGTCCGGGGCTCATCTACGCCTGAAATCCGTCATGGAACTATCAACCACTCACCAGTTGAACCAGACGAATGCAAAACGGCGATCGGGTCATTTCTAGCATCGTCAAAACTCTTGGAGAATAGATAGCGCGGTGGATCACTATCTAGCATCTCTTGAAGAGAGGGCAGTGTCTCGGTGCGAATCGAAGGAGCCAAATCTTGCAGTGGTTTGATCAAGGGAGCGAGTTCTTGAGCAAACAGGACCTTTGTGCTGCCAGTCTGTTCCATCAACGATTGATTGACCACTGCAGAGTTGCGAGGAGAAGGAATGAGCATCTGAAATGTATTAGTGAGTCTGCATAGAAAAGTTTGCAGTATTCACTTGCCTTGTACCCTGCTTTCACGGCCGCCAAGAAAGTGACGGGACCGCGAAGCTCCGAGAGTCCTATATAAGTGATTGTCTCAAAGCTATCGCTCTTGCCAAACTTATTCTCGATCCATGCGGCCATGTAATCGATACAACGACCAAAGTCTGCCATTGTAAAGTCCAAGAAGCCATCCCTGACGTCTGCTGTCTTTGGGTACGAAGTGTAAACTCTGGTCGGGTTTGAGTCACGAAGCTCGTCCACAACGTGGGGGAGGAGCCTCCGCCCGTAAGAGTTGGTGCCATTCGTCGTCATTCTGATTTGATAGATGCCACAAAGTAGGTGGTTGGACAATGAATGGTCGAGAAAGGGCAACTACATATATATGAACGAGATCTCAAGTGAAACTTGAAGGGGCATTGCATGTAATAATATGGTCAGGGCAGGCCAGCTTGCCCTAACAACAAAATACCCCAGAGCAGTACGTATGTGTTTTCGTGTCAGATGCATCGCCGTTTTTGTGACAATGCCGGCCGGCGGTGGAGCCTGAGCAGATCACGTATGCCAGTGCCGTCTGCCCCTCAACCTGACCTGCACTGCCTGATACTGTAGATCTGACCAACAGAGCCAACAGAGCCAACAGAGCCAACAGAGCCAATAATAGCGGGTGAGCGGGGTGGCCGTTGACAGGGTATAGTGGAGCGAGGGGTGAATATGGGGCACTACTGCCACTGAGCCGTAGAAATACAGGACGCTAGACCATATTCATTCGAGGGATATGATGACTGACCCAAGTTGATCCTGGCGAACGCTGATGATTTGTGGCGACAAGCGTTATGTTCATGATTAGCAGTGTCATGTTAGCTACGGAGTATTTCCTAACATACACTAGATACTAACCTACATGTGTAACCTAGTTGATAGGGCTACAGGGCTACAGGGCTACAGGGCTTGTTTCTTTTAGTGGCAGTGCCTGGCCCGCACTTGAGTAGGTAGAAACACACGATGTACACTGGTTGAATTGCTCAGGGCTCTTTCCTCTCGCTTACTCCCACTATACGATAAGCAAGTTCACCATATCTTCTAGTGCTGCTGACTGCATCTGCCATCGTCACATGGGGTCATTTCGTCCGGATCATTAGAGTTTATTGACTTTTATTTGACATGAAATCAGCTCCCGAATTTCAATGGCCAAGTTGACAAGGCGAGTGGCCCTGCCAAGACTACATACACCCTTGCAGGTTGGGTGTGACCAGGTCTTGACCACTGATCCAAACACACCTATATGCTTACCTACTCATTTTCTGTGTATCATGGTAAATCTGAGACTTTTTATTGAGATATCTGTCTTTCCTGCAGCAAGCCACTTCCAAAGTCTTACGACTACCATGAAGTTGGATTATAGTGTAATCTCGAGGTGAAACTCCTGCTTGCGCCTGCTCACCAAGATATATACCAGTCTTGTTTTGCCTTTGGGCGACGAGAGGAATCAGACAGTTCTCCTTGTGGAACCAAAAGGAACCTTGGACAAAGGTGCAACAGGGAGTTCTTACACACACTCTGGCCATTATTTACGGGGCGGCGCAATGGGCAAACATGATGACTTGATCCGAATGCGACAGATCAAGTCTAGTCCCGAGTCTGTATAGTGGGATTCGGATACCTTGCTGAAGGACTTGTACCACGGGTGAAATGTGTCTACCGAAAGCACCAAATGGGCTGTCGGGGCTTGATTTTCTGCCCCAAGTGCCGGGAGACGGTGCTAAGCATTGCGCCGAGGGAACGCCACTGCACCTGATGATTGGGGGCCTCGGAGCAGTTTACGTGCGCCACATTTACTTGCGCTTTGTGCTAAGCCCAAAATAGTATTTGTAGGTCTTGGCACTCGACTTGGAGCATCCCCATGTAAGATGGACATTCGTCACGCCTCGAGTTATCACTGACGATCAAGTCACTAGGTCAAGCAAATGGATCTGAAATCATTCAATAAGATCATTCGTAAGAGGTGCAGCCTAAGTGTCAGACGGGATTCATTGAGCCGTCTAGGACAAGGTCGAGTCGTGCTATTGTGACTGTGTTGTTAGATCGCGTTGCTTTGAGGGAGCCTTGATATCTCGAGTCTCGACTATAAGACTGCTTACCTCGCACCCGTTACGAGTTGTCAAGTCATGAATTATAATGCTCAACAATTGTTCACTCGGCGCATTAATATTGAGAACTTTTCGTCTATTATCATTCAAGCAGCTGCGTTTCCGCACTCTTTACCTATAATAACGATACTTTGTTCAGTCGCGCAGACAGGCAATCCAAGTATCCAGCTCAAATAAACATGGATTCCTCGTGCAACGAATGCATCAAGGTATGCTTACACATTGAAACAGCTGTTCAAGCCATACAGTGCTCATCGAATTCAAGGGCTCCATCCATAAAGGCCAACCTGTGGGCCAAGAAGAAGTCATCCATGGCCTCAACACGTATGTGACTGGCAATCGTACCAGCGCCCGAGGCATCATTGTCATGTACACGGATGTATTTGGCCTGGCGCTGCCCAACAACAAGCTCATTGCCGACGCCCTGGCCAAGAGCGGCGAGTGGCTAGTGTACATGCCCGATTTCTTCAAGGGCGACCCCGTCCCGCTCAAGATGGCGGACCTCTTGATCCCCGTCGACGCGGCCAACCAGTCTACGCTCTGCAAATATACCGGTCTGCTGGCCAGCGCCCCATCCTTTGTCCTGTGGATGACACGGCACAAGGCGGGACCGACCGACAAGACGTGTATGGACTTTTTGCGGTCGCTGCGGCGCGCCACGCCCAGAACCCAGAAAATCGGAATGGTTGGCTTCTGCTGGGGAGGCAGGTACGCGATTCGCGCCGGCCTTACGAGTAATATGCTGGAGATGGACGGCGCCGAAAAGGTCCCCTTGGTGGATGCGGTCGTGGCTTTACACCCGAGCAACATGATCCTGCCGGACGATGTGGCGGCGCTCTCGGTCCCAGTCAGCTACGGCTGGGGGCAGGAGGACACGCAAGTCAGTATTGAGATGAAAGGCAAGATTGAAAAAATTCACGCATCAGCAGCGGTGCCCGAGATGGAACACAAGGTTTACAAGCCTGGACGGCATGGATTTGCGGTCCGCGGAAACCCAGATGATCCGCAGGAGAGGGCGTGCTTGGAAGATTCCATTACTCAGATCTTGACGTGGTTCGGAAAGTGGTTATAAAGATGGAAATGGGGGAATATAGATTAGACAAGTTTATTAGAGCTGAAATTATTGGCGTTATCGAAACATGTTGTATCAGTATCCATTCTTAGGGACGTTCACGTCCACATCATCGTGAGATGAATTGGAAGTCGTGAGACTGAGCGGATTTCCCTATGAGAGCTGTGATGAAATTCGATCAGATCATGCCAGTCTCATATGCGACCTAGCGGCACGACACCCCGGCATCCATGCACTAGAAATTGGCAGAATAGTTGATCAAGACTTGTACAATCGATATGGCCTGACTCATCTTTAAAGCCATCCGCAATCTCTGCCTTGCACCCTGAATAGCATCTATTTCGAAAGTCTTGTCGCGGAACTGGGAGCCGCATGCTGTCACTCGAAGGATTTTCTTCGGAAACAAAGTTGATGCCTAGCCCTAGGTAAATAGTCGGATATAAGGCTCCAGACGAAGGGGCCTAGCCAGGTGAAAACAGCTAGAATCTCCGCTGCCAAGCGACCAAAATAGTATTGGCCTTGCCTAGGTCCTCTTAGCTGAGAATCAAACAAATTTGCAGGGAGACGTATCCTCCACAGGCCAGGACTCTGTATAAAGAGATGGATTCGACTGTCGGTGGCATTCTTTATCCATGCCAAGTTGAAAATTCTCTTGATTTACAAAGCGCGTCATAAAAATAGCATTGACGTAAATCTTCAGCATCGTACAAGAGATCAGCAGACCCAGACGCTCGGCTCAATGGTGGACTGTCTAAGCCCAAAAAATTAAGCTTACCTTTTAGCGTGTATATCGGCCGTTCTAGCACCTTGACTGGTGATACCATTGTGCCAATTTCCAGTGTCTTGGCGACTATTCCCCTGCTCTGCCCCTGCGGCACAGCACGAGGGAAAAGGGCATGAACTCGACGTATTATACCAGGTGCAGACCAGCGCCAAACAACAATAGCATTCCTTCTCTCTCTCTCTCCTGTTTACGTCTCGTTCGCTTCCTGTCGTTTCCCCCTCATCGTCGCTCGTTGTTGCTCATCCTCTGTCTTCTCCAATGAGGACGTCCATTCTTTTCGCCGTAGCAGCAGCGGCGGGAGCCTCTGCTCAGATACGGTTACCCTTTTCCCGTCAATCATATCCTAGACAGCCTTCTACGCAGAAACGAACAGTGACGGCAGAGCTATTTAGCGCCGACTCACGATATGTAGTAAACGCCACCGTCGGAACGCCACCACAACATGTCTCTTTCCAGCTCACCCTATCCTCTGACCAATCATGGGTCCCGGATGCGCAATATTGCAACACGGACAGCTACTACTCGTATTACTCCAAGTATGAGGGTTGCATTGGGGGCTCATACAATCATAATGTATCGTCAACCTATGTGAACGGCGATGAAGACGACGATACTTTCTACGTGTATGACCTCAGCGACAGATATGCATACGGCAAAACAATGAACGAAACGATTGGCTTTGCCGGTGGCCAAAATGTCTCCAATCTCAACCTGGGACGCGCTTCCGAGGCTGATACATGGGGAGGTGTCATGGCTCTCGGTTACAACGGCACCTATTCATATAACCCTAATATTCTTGACCGGATGCTGGCCTTGGGCTTCATAAACTCGACGTCCTATAGCTTGTGGGTTGACCAAGAGGATGCCGAGACTGGCCATGTGCTCTTTGGTGCCATTGACACGTCGGCCATTGATGGGACGCTCAAGCGATTCAGCGTCGACCGGTCACACTATGACGAGTCGAGTTATAGCTGGAGTTATACCAACACCTTTTCTGCCAGCATCGTGGGACTCAACTCCAGTTCATCGTCGGATGGCAGCTTTGCGCCGGTCATCTCAAACACCTCGGCGCTGCCCCTGGTCACCCTTGACCCTACCTCGTCACTCTCTGTCGTCCCGGAGGAAGTAGCTCATGCCATCTGGGACTTGACTGGTGCTCATTATGATGAGCTTCTGGATATTGCCATCATCCCTTGCTCCTCCCGCGACACCCTTACCGAGGAACTAGCCATCCAGCTCAGCAGTCTTGACGAGGGCCCCGTCTTCAATGTCCCACTGTCCGACTTGGTCATGGCCGACAACAGCCTGTCTGACATTATTGATTACTACTACTATTATTCCACCGATGAAGAAACAGACTATAGCGACTATTGCCTCTTTGGTGTACAAATGACAAACGACTCGTCGTATACGTACAGCAGATATGAGGACAACTGGGTGCTGGGCGGTGGGATGCTGAAGCGTCAGTACATGGTCTTTGATTTAGCCAATGAGGACGTCGCCATGGCTCCCATCAAATTTGGGGGTAGTGATGGCTCCGACTCGAGTGACACTGTCATCGCCTTTTCCATGTACGGTGCCAAGATTCCAGAGTCGACTGGCGAAGACAGCAAATGTTATGCGGACGACGAAGAATGCAATGGATCCTCGAGTGGCAGTGGTCGTTCAGGCAGCAGTAGCAGCTCCAGCTCCAGTGATAGTGACGGTTGGAACGAACAGTCTGACTACATTGGCTTGATCGTTGGCTTCAGCATTCTGGGTGCTGTCATGTTGGGAATAGCCATCTGGGGTATCGTCAAGTGTTGCCGGGATAATAACCGCCATGGAACGGATGCATTGGCTGCAGACAAGGAGACGGCCTCCCCAGAGACTGCCCCGGCTGCCGCATCACCAGCGACTCAGCAGGTGGCTCATAATACTACGGCGCCGGCCGTCTAAACAGGCACGTTTTAATTTATAATACAATAATTAGAAATAAACATGATTCACGAAATTTGTGTGTCCATGCCGCCTACTCTGGAATGTGATCTTTGGCAGTTTTAAAATCAGCCATTCTGCTCTTTATTTTGATAATGTACTACGGTTACGCAGAGGGCAAACTATTAAACACCTTCAACGCGAGAGAATGGGGGGAAAATAGTATCAGTAACAGTTTCTCTTTGGTACTCTATAGTGCACGATCATCTTTGGCGGCTATACTAGAGGTATTATACATTAACTCAACTCGCCAGCTTCCAGACTACAACTCCAGCGCCTGGTATTTCTCCATCACTACCAATGATCAATTGCGCGTCTCCAATACTAGGAGGCGACACGGGAGACGTCCCGTAGTTGAATGCCCACACAAGGTCACCTCTCCTCAGTAACCTGAGCGAAGACCCCAGGTCATTGGCCTTGTCCGCCGTCCGGCCCAAAAGATCCGTGATGTTTGCAGAAGCCGCCACATCACCTAGATAAGAGACCAAGAGATCGCTGGACGGCTTGAACGCAAGATAGTGCCACCCGTCCTTTTCGCACGCGGCCGGTTTTCCCGGGCGATGCGGCGACGTGTAGGAAATGGTGGCGTTGCTGGTAAGATTGGCCCGCTCGCACGAGATCCATTCCTCTCGCCCGTCGATGCTGTAGTTGGCGCCATTGTACAAGACGCCGCTGCCGGCGTAGCTGGGGGGCGTCTCGACGCGAGTGACACGCAGAGGGAGGCGGTCGCCCAGCACGCCATCTCCGGGGTTCAGACCAGGCGTATTAGCAAACTCTGCAGTCTTGGATCCAGTGTGTGGTCCGAATATCACGGGCCCGTCAAATGACTTTAGGGCGGATTGGAATGCCTCGGGGACGATTGGTAGACTGGGCGCCACGACCATTCGGTAGCCGTCGAGAGGTTGGTCGGGCCCAATCACATCAATTGACAGCCCCAGTCGGCGAAGCGCAGAGTAAAAGATGTAGATCAGATCAAAATATGATACAACCGTGTCCGTATACCCGGCGCTCTTGACGTCCCAACTGCCGCTATATGGCTCAATCTGCCAAGTCCAGAAGGAAGCATAGTCAAAGATAAAGGCAACATCGGCCTGGGCTTCTTCTTGAGTTACTTCTTGTCTCAGAGTCGGTAGCTGCTCCTGTACCAGTTGCTGCACCTCGAGGAGGCCATCATCAGCCACATAGTCAGAGGTGTGCAGCCCAGAGAGCGTCTGCTCCTGGGCGTACGGGACCTGGCGCCAGCGAAAGTAGTTGACCATGCTGCCGGATGCGGCAAAAGTCTCGAGCGTCCACAGCTGCACCATGCCCTCCCAGGGGCTGACGCGATACTGGCCCCAGTTGAGCACGCCGGGCTCCATCTCCATGACTCCGTACGGTCCCGACGTGGTGTTGTAAGCGGCCCCCGCAACGCCTCGGTAGAGACCGTGGTGAAACGCCTGCCAGTCGGGAAGACCGGTGCGTAGCGTGTCAAAGAGCTCTTGCGAAGAGAGCCACGAAAAGGTGCTCGGCCCATTGAGTGCGTACTGGTCAAACGTTGCCAGATCAATGCCCGTCTCCCGTGCAAACTTGTAGTGGTCAAAGTCGGTGAATGCCATCATGAAGTTGGTGGTAATGGCCTGTCCGGGCGCGTATTGCCTGAGAATGGCAACCTGCTCCTTGGCAAAGTCAATGACCATGTCGGACGAAAAGGTGTACCAGTCCAGCGTGTGGAGCTCATTGTTGGTATAAATCTCCAAAAAGGGCGGCTGGACAGCCTCAAAACTCTCGTACTGGCTAGACCAGAATACTCGGCCTTGCGCCTGGTTCAGGCTCTCAATGGTGCCGTACTTTTCCTGCAGCCATATCCGGAAACGCGCAATGGCATTATGATCATAGCTCCTAGTGGTGTCGTGGCAGCCCAATTCATTGTCGATTTGCCAGGCCACCACGGCCGAGTGATTTCCATAGTGTTCGGCCAACTTCTGCGTGATCTTTTGGCTCAGATTCCGATAATCATAAGAGGAAAAACTATAGTGGCGGCGCGAACCGAATATCAAGGTAGTGTTGGTGCGGTCAACAAAGTTGACGTCGTACTTTTGAGTCAGCCAATTTGGAGGCGACGCCGTAGGAGTTCCCACGATTGCTTTCAACCCATACTTTTGGAATAACTCGAGTGTCTTGTCGAGGACCGTAAAGTTGTATTGTCCTTCGATGGGTTCCAGGAGAGCCCAGTCAAACTCATTGACGCGAACGTAGGAAATGTTATTGTCTCTCATCTGAGATATGTCCGACTCCCACGAAGATTCGGGCCATTGAGAGGGATAATAGTCGACGGCAAGATGCAGCCCGTCTGGCCATCGGTTTTGTGAAGGAAGTGTAATACTGCTTCTGGCCTGGGGTAAATGATTATACTTGGCAATGCTGCCGACCGCGGCCGACAGGACAAGCCCAATAACCTTTTTTAAAGATGCCATGGCCGCAATCGAACGTAATCAAGTCTCCTACCTGGAGGCTCTCTCCGTGAACAGGAACGGCGTCCGGCGCACCTCTCAAATACCATTGCAAGACCTCGCTTGGAAGATCAAAAGTCCTCGTCTCGAGGTCCACCCTGGATCTTCATAATAGTTTGATTGATCCATCAACAAATGAGCGAATTAGTCGAGCCAAGTACCATGTCGATACCCACATCGCAACTGCTTCTTCCCCGCAAACCAACGGCCCATGATGATTTACCCCATCTCTCCTCGCTACATTCGGCTCGCGGGATACACTTGCGGGGTCCCCAAAGTACGCATCATGGCATCATGCCTCTACGGAGAGGCTGGGGTTTATACTTGATCCCTGTGTAGATTTGTCTTGGCGTCTTTGTCAACGGGTATTCACCGGCAACCTTTGTCCACTATAACTTCTCCACCTAGTCATTTTCAATGCTCAGTCTTGTTTACTAATTGGTGCGCTTATAACCCAAATGCCACTATGATATTCAATCCCGACGCTTGGCATACGCTCCTACTTTGGTATTGACCGTTTATGCAAAGAGGTATACTACAGCACGAAGAAGTCTCCACAAGAGACTGCTGAAAATCTAAAGCCAGCTCTGCCAATCTATGATAATCTCGATCCAAAAAAGAAAACATCACCAACACCTATTACATGTAAATCAAGCAAACTCGGGTGCATCGCTGAGATTCCTGGTCTCGATGAAAAAGGACAAGAACCAGTGCCCAAATCTAGCCACCGGGATCGTGTACGAGAACAATCTGAGAAAGATGCGGTCGATGAGTCTGGAAAGGTTCAGGGGCTGCAGAAACATTGTCAGCAAGAGCACGTAGGCAAAAAAAAGGGGGTGGATATCGTCTTACCACAAAATTCGCGCCTCCGCTCTTCTTTACCCATCCAAAGGCGCGAGGAATCATTCCCGTCTCGTACTGGTTCACTGCCGCCTCAAAGTCTTTGTACTCGAGGCCCTGCGGTGTCGAGGCTTTCTCGGCCAGTCCGCGGATGAGAGGTAGCATGTCTGCCGTGTCGTGCATGGCCTGCTGACCGCCCATTCCTCTGCGACATGTTAGTATCAAAGTTGATTGTGACAAGACGTGTCTCATAGTCATACCTGTTGGGGAGCATGGGGTGGATGGCGTCACCCATCATCCAGACGTGGGCATTACCCGCAGTCGGCGTCTTGGGAGAAGCGACTTCTCGGCGCCAGTTGATTGACGGCTTGGATCCCACCCTGGGGCTCAAGATGAACATTTCTCGTCCGTAACAGAGCTTCAATAGCTGTTGACTGCATTTCACCATCATCATTAGCAAACATGCTTCCTGTACACCCCGGGGCAGCAGACGTGGCGAGGCGGGCTTACTGCTTGGGAGACCAGTCCGAGTATACTCTTGCTATGGCCTCCCAACGCTGGTCCAAGGTCATGGTCTCTAGAGCATCCGACATGCTCTCGGGCCAGCACAGCGACATCATACACGATGAGTGTTCTTGGTCAAGCTTTGCCGTATCACCAGTATCACGCTTGCTGCTGTAATCTTTTGGAAGATAGGCTGAGAAAATGGTCGTCAGTGACGGTAAGTTGCAGGACAAGGAGCAGCGCATACCGCAAAAGTACATGAGTTTGCCATCCTGAAGAGTCGCGATTGGTGACGCGAGGAGTTCTTCGTCGACAGTGTTGTACAGGCTCAAAGGTAGATCGCATTTTGTGAGTAGTGCTCTGATTTTCTCCACCGGTTTGATATTGTTCAAGCCCACCATTTCATTGACCTGGCAATCAGTCAGCTTCCTTGAAGACAATCATTCTCGGTGTAGCGCATCACCTTTGAACGATTACCATCGGCACCGATCAACAGATCGCATGTGTCCGTCGAGCCATCATCAAAGGAAACTTGCACCAACTCCTTGTCCCCTTCATGGATGATTTGGAAATCCACAAATTTCTTGCCATAGTGAAGTTTGCCGAGCTTGGTAATCGGGTCGGCCAAGACGTCGCGCAACACGATGCGATCTATCGGCACCGACTTGCTATAAGTCGGCAATTGATTCAGGTCCAGGAACTTGCGAAACGACTTGTCAAACAGGATGGGGACCTTGGAGTTGGGACCAATGTGTTTGACCACGGCGGCGAGATGCTCGGGCTGGAGACAGGCCCTCATGCCAATCAGCGCATTCTCGCCAAAGCGAATCTGATATCCAGCCCTCTTGGAATCCTGTGCGTCTCGCTCGTACACGGCAAATTCAATGCCATGCTTTGCGAGCCCGTTGGCCAGCAACGAGCCCGAGAGACCTGAGCCAATGATGATGACCTTGAATGAGCCCATGTCTCGGAACGAATTGAAAGTTCCCTACTTTGAACCGAAATTCAAGGCCTCGTTGGACCCGGGACCAGTGGTGGAAGTAATACCATGGCTTATGTATTTTACAGAGCACATGCGACCGGAATTCGTCATTGTCTGCAAGCTCTAGGACCATCGATTTACCGGCTATCTGACCGAACAAGATTACGCATTCGTCTGTCGTGGGTACACTTTTATCTGAAAATGTCGTGCTGCACGGTCGTTTGGGTATACCCACCTGCCAGGTAGGGCAGCTGATTGCGTATACATCACCAGCGGAGCTTTCCCTCACGGTCTTGATCCGTTATCTGTCGCATTATATAACCCCTGTCGACCGACCAATGGAGATGGCCATTTACTCAGTGAGGATTAATGCAGTTCCGCTTACTAAGTCTTTTGCATCGGAATTCACATTGAAGGCGAAAATATCTGGTCATTAATATAGTTCAAATATATTGTATTTTCCGGCTCAAAGACGTTCTGTCAGTCGGCTCGGCTCGGTAGAGATGCATCCATGAGCAACCCATTAAAATCGTATATATAGCCTTGCAACTTCCAAAGTCTTAGTTGCAAGTCAGTGGTTCTCCTTCCGGCCAGCATAAAAATAGATCCGTCCTGCAATACTCCTCCTTGCATCTTGACCTTGTCTGCCAATTCCTGTCCAAGCAACATGGGCATGTTGTGCACGACGAGGCTTACTTTACCCTTCTCGGAGCTAAGATCGAATGTTGAAAATGGTCCTGGTTTGACTTGCTCGCTGTCATGTCCAAACCAGAGCACGGCGCCCTTGTGTTTAAATTTGACGTCGTCCCAGCCAAAACACTTGACAATGTAGTAGCGTTTGTCCGTTTCGCACATCATCGAAAGGTACAATATGTCCTGGACAACTTGCTCGCGCATCTGTTGTAACACGAACTGGTCCATATCTTCCCGCCAGATAGCTTTTGCTCCCAGAGGCTTGAACTTTGAGTTGCTGGAGCCAAAAAATTTACGGTAAAATTCCGAGTTGCCACCCTCTGGCGCAGTATTGCGGCGGCTCTTCTTAACTGGTGCCATCGATTTGATAACATCTTGGCGCGCTAATACATAGGTAGAAGGGCCTGCACTTGTGCTTTCTGGTGGTTCGTTCGACTGTGTTGCTGATGATACCGCGTCTTGTGGCCCTGGTAAATCGACTGGTTTGACGCTTAGGTCCACTGCTGCTTCTGCCACTCCACCCATATCGTCTTCTATTGTGACTTCTGCGACTGCATCATCGGCCTCGGCTGCAGCGTCCTCGGCAGGAGGCTGATGCAGGGCAAGGCTCTTCGACACCCACCACGGTTTGCCAGTCTCGGGATGTAGGACGACATTGAAATCTTGCAGGAAGAATGAGGGCAAGCGGAGTCTTGTCATGCTATCGTATCGGACAGGAGTAGCAAGCGCTTGAGCTATAGTGGTGTCAGGGAGAGCGCGAGAGAAGGTTGCTTGGGAGTGAATCAAATGCGCTTACCAAATGGATTTTTCTGGAATCTCCTCTCAAAGACATTTCTGAGTTTCCCAGGCTTGGGCTTCTGCTGTTTGAAACGGTCTCTTGCCTCCCAAAAAGTTGGATCCATCACAGGCGACAAGGGAAGATCGCCCACGGCTGTCTTGACTGTCTTGCCATCTGGATCGATGCTAAAGCTCTCGGATCGTTCGTTCGTCGCATCATGGTCATGTTGAGGCGGTTGTGTCGCCGAGCTGTATAGTCGTATGAATTCATGTCGACAGGTAGCACTGCTACGTCGCAGCGCTGCACATTGTCTCATAACCGCATATGGCTGGTAGAATCGTAGAGTGAATGCGCTGAAGGAAGCTTTTCAAAAACTTTTGGCGTCAATTGAAGGCCATCGCAGGCGTCAATCTGATAAGAAGCAGGAATGACGCAAATCTCGGCAGGGTGCATTAGTCTAGCGGATGCGAAGCTCCAACGCCCAGGGCTCGCAGGGCTCCGTTTCCATGCCCAGATTCAGCGGGTCAGGGCGCTAAATAGCCAAAAGTCAGAACCCCACGCAGCCAGTGAACCACGACATCGGAGCCAGCTACTAGGTATTTGTCTGCTTGCCTTACTTACCTAGCTTCTGCTTTCTTACCTGCGACCAACTACGCCTTGTCTTGACGAGCTCGTAGTTCACCACTTCAAGCCGCAGAACACTGCCAAGCACAGACTCGTGTCTACGTGATAAGTCTGACAAGATGATCTGCCAACGCGCAATCTGGCGCCAGTGCCGACAGGTCGCGTCTCGTCAAGTTCGCAACTTCTCTCAATTTCCTGGCGGGCCTAGCTACCCTCCCTCGGCCGCCATCCCGCTGCCATACATCACAGAGGTTTCAGTAAGCTCCGGAAGCCATTGCAACCTATCTATATGCTGACAGTCAAGTCTGGGGGATGGAAAACATGTAGGATTCTTACTGCGACTACTCTCACTCGAACCGCCGGCTGACCGAGACATTTCCAGATGACATATTTTCAAAACTCCTTCAAGTACGCTGCTGCACCAATCACCAGCTGAGCCTCGTCCACTGACACATGATTAGGAGCGCATAATCTGTCTCAATGGCCCTGTTGACGATACAGTATCGGCTTCTATAGTGGCGCAACTTCTATGGCTCGAGTCCGACAACCCCGACAAGCCCATCACCATGTACATTCACTCCCCGGGAGGCTCAGTCGTTGCTGGCCTTTCAATCTACGATACCATGACCTACATTCGATCTCCTGTTTCCACAGTATGTCTCGGCCAGGCCGCTTCCATGGGCTCTCTATTGCTGGCTGGCGGAGAAAAGGGCAAGCGATATGCGCTTCCGCACAGTAGCATCATGGTTCACCAGCCATTGGGAGGGACACAGGGACAGGCCAGTGATATTCTCATCTATGCCAATCAGATACAGCGGACGAGAGAGCAGCTCAACGAGATCTTCCGGAAACACCTGAATCAGGCGCATGGTACGGACAAGTATGGGCCAAAGGATATGGAAGAGATGATGGACCGCGACAGATATCTCAGCGCACAAGAGGCGAAAGATATTGGTATTATCGACGAGATCCTTACACGGAGGCCTTCAGAGAAGAAGGAGGGCGATAAAGACGGACCAGAAAAGTCGTAAGCTTTGGTGGTAAATTACACACTTGAGCAGAACACGACAAATGGGCGATTACTGATGCCGTTACGCTGCGAAAGGAAATTGGTGGGTTTGCTGAAAAGCACGGAGTAACTGCCGTCTATACCTCACATTGTTAGCAAGCTGCAAGATAATGGAGAATCAAGTTTGGGAATTGTCTGTATATTCCATATGACAACTACCATATACACCAAACTCTCAACTCGCAACTCCGCCTCAATGGCTTTTCTTCCATACCCTCGGCGTGAAAAGCAGTGTGTGGGCACATGAGAGGCTTCTCGGCGCTCGACCGCAGGACCTCACTATCATAGAACTTGATGGCTAGTACTTCTTCCGCCTTCTGCTCGCTGATATAACACCACCTGTGAGAGCTGATGTCGCCCTCTTCTGGCGGCTTTACCAGAACATTTTCATTATAATACTCTTTGACACACCCAGGCCTGTGCTTGTAAGACCGCGGCAGCGCAACGTACTGAAGGTCGAGCCCGCGAGTGTCCATGACCGCCAGCGGATCCCTGTATACAGTCTCCCAAGGCCGCCAGATACTGAACATGGCGTACCGCGGTCCAGTGTAGCCCGTCCCATCCCATTCCCAGTGGCCCCCTTTCCCATTAACACCGTCGGTGCCGTCGGGAGTAAGTCCGGATTCTCGCATGGCCGCGTCCTCTGCAGAAATGATTTCTTCACGGAGCCTGAAGAACTCGTCTCTCTCGGCCTGGGTAGTGCCAACCTCGGTGTCCGTCTCGGCAAACCACTGCGGCGTCATGGCGCGAAAGTGCGCCCGGGCGGCCGCCGGGGTGTAATCCGAGTGCGCCAGGAAAAAGGGCGCCAGGCTCTTGCCCTTGGGCCGCGGGTTCTTGGGATCGACGTGATGGTCCTCCTGGGCCGACGAAACGTCGCGCAGGGTGTGATTGATGATGACGGCGGAGCGGAGCTGGAATCGCTCCTTGAGCAGCGAGACCATGGCGGGAAAGTACTGCGAGCTCATGACGCTGGCGTCGTGGACCGAGGCGTGCGAGGCCTCGATTGGGAGCGGCTGGTGCAGGATTTGGAAACCATGGGTTTCGTGCTGGTAGCTGGACAGAGGCTCCACAAGACTCCTCAGGTCCACGACGGGGAGGTCTCGGGAGGTGGTGTCTGTGGAGGTGCCATTGAAAATGGACAGGTCGTCCAGTTCTGGTCTTGTGTCTAGGGAGTAGTAGTTGAAAGATGCATTTTTGATACGGTGGGATTGCTTTAGGTTTCCATGTTCAGCAGTGTCGGATGGAAGCGTCAGAGTCGTGGTGGACATGATGTGCACTATTCTTTAGAGAGATACAATTTTGACTTGAAGCTATCTAGATGAATTCACAATGATATATAAAGTGAAAGCCATGAGTCGAATTGCCAAGAGTCTTGGTGCAAAGACTTGGCGTTGATATAAACACATTGGGTCCGGAGCCGATGCGCTATCTGGGGTTGCAGATCAATGTGCAGATGTGGTTAATGCTTACTGACGTGCGCCCCGGACAAAGGGCAGTACATGACCATTCGGTGGCGTTGCTCGCAAGCTAGAGAATAGTAAAAGTGACAGGTGCTACAACTATCAGCACTAAATCCGGCCTGGAAGCGCGAACGGATCCGGGTTGACGTAGTACGGGAGCCGGAACGGAACTTCTGACCAATTACTCTCACCTGGGCAAGAGTAAAGGGTGCGCCAACCTTCTGTATGTTTTTCTTTTTCTTTTTCCAAAACTATGTCGTGTTACAAGCAACGCAAGGCAAGCTGCGAAGATATGCGTATTCTCTTTGCCAGTTATCGATGAAAGCCTATGGAAATCAATTGATCCTCTAGGATACCCCTTTAATCTTCAAACTCGGACGAAACCGTCATATAAACTGTCTTCCTTCACACACTTTCAAATTCAATGGTGACTTGCCGCATCTGAAAAAAAAAAAAAAAAAAAAAAAATTTAAACACAAGACGCGGGGTTAGTTCAATCTAGAGTACATGTGCACCCGCCCGCCAGAACACTTCATTGCTCATCTATTTCACGCCAGGTCTGAAAGCAGATGCTATGTTGATTCGGCATCTCTTGTGCACTCTGCCGCTGTAGATTGCATAACCTGTGAGTTCCTTAGTGAAAGTATTCCTTGATTTTCAGGAGATGTGATTGATCATTTGTGTATAACTTACATTGCAGATCGCGGTCGACAACTCTGATCACCATAGTATAGTTCACCTTATAGTGTCTTGTGCCAACGATCCTGCCGTTGGGGTTTGCCACCGGCTCAATCGGCTGGATTAAACCTTGGTCCCGGAGGAAAGTGAAATCCACAACAATTTCACCAACCTTTTCAGCACCTGGTATTCGTCAGTTACGATATTTCCAGAACGCTTATTCGAAATAGACGAGAATAACCTTGATTCATTTCATGGGAGAGCCTGTAGTGAGACCGTGGGGCACGGTCAATGACATAGAGCTCTTCTTTGCATATCAGATCGCGAACTGGCCAGCAATCAAAAGTATGGAAACAAAGAAACGGTCTACACGTCCAGATTGGAGGAACTTCAGATCCCTGCAGATGTTAATTCAGAATTCATGAGCTACCCGTGATCAAGCCGACGTACCATGCTCAGAACCCAGTCTATCGTTCTTTTCACATATGGCAGTCCGTCGTGCCGGTCATAAGAGGGTTTCACACCCTTATGTTCGTCCGGATAGTCTCCAAACGGCTCAGTGCGTAGGATACCGTAGCTAGATCGCGCTAATCTGCGTGGTCCCTGCTCCTTGTTAAAGGCACGTAATACTGCTCCTGATGCCACGGCGGTAATGCTAAGAACCGTCAGCGCTACAAGAGAAAGAATCAATCCAGCGTTTCTTTAGGTAAACATACGTGTTTGCCGAGCTCGGTGACTTTGTCAGCTTTATTGTGTGTCCAGTACGCTGGGTCAAATCTGCCAGACGCCTTCTGATGAATTCCTGGAGGGATTTCGAGGCAGCAAAACCTCCTTGAAGGATTACTTTCTGTTGAAATCAGGTAAGCTCAAGAAATACCAGACTTGGTCTTTCAATCAATGATCACGAACCTCCACTCTACAACCTTTTTGCAAAGCTCTGTTGATCTGATCTTCCATGACAGTGGCAATGCCTTCGAGCAGGGTACGAAATAGACCTTTGATGGTTATCCTTCATAGGGCTGATTAACACAAAGCTTCCCAGCTTGATGCCAAACGTACTCACATCGGAAGTTCCATGCCCCCATGAGAGAAATGCTTGACAGGATTATGGCGAAGCCGCGAGGACACGTCGAACTTCCGACGCCATTTATTTATCCTCGAATCGTAGATGTTGAAGTTCCTCTTGATTCTATACTCGAACTCGTTGATCGTGATCTTCTCGATGATTCCCTCGATAGTTTCGCGGCTGTTGTCTCTTTCGTGCGCGTCTTCGAGATACTCTTCGTCCTTCAGAATGTCATGAAGCAGTCTTTTGAAACCTTCATTGAGGTAACTTGAACCATACAACCCGCCTTTTACAAATTCAGTCTCAGATCAAGTCAAAAGGCTCATGATGACTCACCACCGGGCTCAACTACCTCTCGGGTCAGTCGCAAGGGTGTTGTTCTGCTGATCGTGTAGGTGTTGGCATCTACAGTACCGCCACCTTTAATCGTATCATTATCTTAGTTTCGGCATAGTGCGTGCTACGCATAAGTGTCAACATACCTGCATCCAACAGCACAAATGTATCGCCAGCCTGGACATTGAAGCGGTCAGCATAGTGATTTGAACAGAGTGTGGCTGGTATGTTTTTATCACCTGGATGTCCGGATCGCTTGCCAAGACATAGGTAGCAGCAGCTTCTGGCTCTGAGACGATGAACAAGTTCTCAATGCTGTTGTTCTGTGCATCAACTCCACCGAAATTTGTCCTCTCCATGGCAATAGCCATAGCCGTCTGCATGTCACGGCATGCCTTCTGGCTCCAGATTGCCGGCACACATAATACCATCTCTTTCCTCCAATTGTCATCAAAGCCTTCTTGGAGAAGTTCTGATTTCGTATGCTGAAGAAGACAGGTCAAAAAGTCGGCAATAACCTGCAGTGGTCCCTTGATGATCTTTTTCTTTTTCAGCAACGTAAGCGTTTCTCTCAACTCGGCTCGGATATAATCAGTGTCTGGACTCTGGTCGAGTAAAAGTTTGAATCGATTCAACAGCTTTTTGTTCGGGTCGTTGTGCACTGCCGATGTGCGACGATCATCATGGACATCATAGCCCCATCCCATTGAAACATCATTGCCCTCTTCATCCACATCCATCGGGGACACAGGTGCATCTGAGCTAGAGCTATTTTCTTCATTTGTCAAGTCGTCCATCCGTTCTTCACTGCTCGGGTTGTCCGCACGGGAGGTATCGCGGCAGGTCTGATTCAACGTGTAAAGGATTTCGGTCGGAACCTGCTTGCTCATGGGGTCATCGTTGTTGTTGTCGAAATCATTAGGATAATTTTGAATTGTTTTGATTCTGTCCAGTGGTAGGTACTCTGTGGCGTCATCCTCTTCGAGAGCTACATAAGAAACACATGAAAACGTCGTACCGAAATCGACAGCAATGATCAGTCTTCTCGAGCTCGGATGGTCAGAATCGTCATTGAGCAACTCGACAGAGACCTCATCAGGGGCAATATCTTGATACAAAGTGCCTTGGGATTCTTGTCTCAAAGTTGCAGTCGACTCTCGTGAGGAGGCAGCCATTGTGCAAGACTTGCGGGAAAGGATACCAGCCCATCAATGATGAATATGGCCATCGGCGGCCTGATCTTTTTCTACTTTTCAAGAGAGGCAACCCCCGACTAGGGCAAATATGGCCCCCCGTTTCAGGACAGGAAGCATGAGGCCAATCGCTTCGACTGACTCGTAGCTGCGGTGAGTATCTGCATGCTGAAGCCAATCATCGGCCTTTGTTGGTGCAGAACATACTCCAGGCAGCACAGCCGCTTTGAATAACCCCCTGGAGGTACAGATATCGGCCCGCAAGTGCGGGAGGCTCGAATTGGAATAGGCCGCCCGAAGGGAGGTCCCTTGGCGGGCCGCCTCGGTATATATACCGTTGATACCCCACTAGCCGGGGGAGGTTTCATTTCACAGCAACTTCGCCAGACTGCAACAAAAAATGGTCGGAACGTCCAGGTCATCTCAAAGTGGAAGCCACCAACGTCTCTGGGATGAGGAATATGTCATTCAGCTAGAGGCGTGGTTGGATTACTGCCTGCTATGGGGGATCGATTTTAAATCGAGCATCATCAGTCATCTCGAGGCGCAAACTCACAGGACTTTCACACTACAGCAGGTGCACAGAAGGCTTACACTGGAATGGAATCACCTAGGACATGCCGATTCTGACAGTGTCGATGATTTGTATAGACAAGGCACTGCGTGTCTTGCCTATTTGACTGATTCCGAGAGGGCAGTCATTGAGAGGGCGGTCAACGATCTTGGGCCCCCGAAAACCGAGAGTCTATTAAAAGACACGTCCAGCACGCTCCGATCGAATTTAGGAAGTGTTCCGATTGACCATCAGTCATCTCATGACTCGACACAGCCAAATGTTCCTGTTGTTGCCACAACAAGTACCGCAGAGGACCGGCTTTCAGACACAAGCAGCGACTTGTCAGATTATGATGAAAGATATCTCCAGGAAGACTTTTTGAAACCCCAGTCTATCCGAGGCAATAGCATGCCATTTGAGCCTAGGAAGGTCGGAACTGAAGTTTCTCGGACATCTTCGCCTTTATTCCTCCAAGTACAACTGACAGAGCCCACAGAGGCTCAGAACGTAGGATTTCCCGAAGTCAAGACCGAGGTTTCTACCACGGACCGATTTCTCTCAACGCGCGCCTCTCCGACATCAGTAGGGAATCCAGAACCCGAGATCGCTACAATTGAGCAAGAACTCTCAAAAGTCAAGGAAAAATTGCGCGCAAGCGAAAGCAAAGTCAATACGTTACAAAACCAGGTGTTCGACATGACCGACCGCCTGTATCGGGCGCAGATCGAGATGGAAGAGCTGCAGCATCGTAATCGCGCAGCAGTCGATCACAGGGACGACGCCGGTTGGCCTGTAATTCTACAAGAAGAAAATACTGCCCTAAGGAAGCATGTTCTCGCGATGCAGGCTAGCAGAGAGGATATTAAGAAATTCGAGTGCAACGGCTTAGGGCCTAGCGACACCAACGTCGAGAAACAGTTATCGGATTTATGCAGCAATATTCGAGACGCTTGCAATTCATTTGGCCCCGATGAAGTCGTGGTTGATGAGCCTTTGAGAGAAACAGAGTTTGACCCAATGAGCTTTATAGTGTCCAATTGGGCTGAGACAGCCTCTGGGCATGATCTTTCGCGACTTCTTCGGCAAAGCTCCGAGCTTGGGGTATACAGATCGGACGTTCTCAGGTCTCTTGTGGCAGCTGGAATATGCAAGCTCGTATTTGAGTCTCCAGTCTCTCATCTCTCGATTACTGAATCGCCTATACTTAGGCATTACCGAAAGCAACTTCTAAGTCGAGGTAAATTTTCCCAACTCACTGTTACATTGGATTTGGCTGATAAAGAAGACTTTAGATGGTCCTAAATCACTACTGCAACTAGATCTTTTGGCTTTTAAGTCACTAAAATCTGATGAGACTTTTGAATCGTGTGTCGTCAACGAAAGAGCAAACGGCATCTCAGGCTATATGTGTCGTGCTATCCAGATTGCTCTAGCACCAGTGACTGCAACTAGTTCTACAGAGTCGCAGCCATCGTCGAATGCAATCATCACAGATGATGAAGTTGTAGTCGATACGTTACCGATGACCTTACTTGAGCGAGCCATCCAGTGTGCCATCCGGCTCAGGTTGGATCTACTACTGTCTGGTAAGTATTACCATTGGGTTTTCTTCAAGCCCGGGACCAATTTTGACTTCAAGACAATGAGTACGAACTCGACTCCCAACAACCGAAGTTATGTCTACACGAAGAAAAATAAATCTCGGAAGCGCCAGCGCAGCAGTGATGACTTGAGAGTCGGTGGACCTATCAAGTTATGCATCTTCCCGGCGCTGTATGAAGATGACTCTGCAAAGCATCTTACCAGTGATTGTGGATTGTTGTTTTGGGACAGTTTCGACATGCGGCAACATTCTTCAGTAGACTTGCAAGGTTCAAGATTGATTTCGCCTGCTGTTGTGTTAGTATGAAGTCATGGGTTGATGGCATATGTTAGATTGAATGACAAGGAACTGTCTTGCAAAGTATACGTCCTCATGAGCCGGCCAATAGTTGCGATTCTAGCTGTGTGCGTGAGATATCTTCTGTAAAGACTTTTAGCCATAACTTGGTTGCTTGTCAAGGTCCTCGTCGAAGGGCGACACATCTAGCTCGAATAATTCAGAACAAATTTGTGGGCTGGCTATTCAACGAGGGCATAAAAAAAAGGATGCACCAGGTTTGTACTAGTCCTTAGTGACTTTTTAATCTATGTTGTAGCAATATCGCATATATGAAGAAAGCTTGCGATCACCAATGATAGGCTTTGGATGGACTGCCTAAAATTCGGTATGTAAACATTCTAGGACACCCACTCGAGCTCAAGCTTACCTGAGAGTAGCATAGCTCTTGGTCTCAATTTGGCAACTTGCGGGGCTTGTTTGCTTATCTACTACTGTGTATGTGCGGAGTCTCTCTCTTCTTTTTTTTTTTGGGAAAAGGATCTAGTGCAGACATAGTATACGGGAGAAAAGTAACTTATTTAATCTTACATTAATGGGAATACGAACAGTACGCGATCTATCAAATCGTCGTATATTATAAAGTAAGAGTTGGGAAAACAAGAACGGTACGAGCGTTCATCACTGTTTATGCGCGTCTACATGGTACTAAAGACTCAATTAAACGTTTGTAAAAGGTCCAAACTAGGGCAATTTTAGGTTCACAAGTTTCACAAGTTGGACTATAAGAACTACAAGAGCTTACCTAAAAATATATAGTTTGCTAACACTAAAACACAATAATCAATGCCCAAACAGAGGTCACCGGGATGGACGGCCATTCATTTTGATTGTTTGTGAGAAACTCAGAAACGAACTGAACGGCATTCAAAGTGACAACCAATGAATGCGTTTGACGCTAATGCAGGAAACCTTTTGGGCGAGTCGTCGTGCTGCGCCGTACTGCCGAAATTACCGGTGGGTGTCAAGAGTTCGGCTCGGACCAGTTCAGGGTATCAATCATCAACTATCTGCACCTATGTTAGACTCACCCACCAGGGCTGCAGGGAACTTTTACTTGTGCATTTAAACTTTGTTACGCAAAGCCTTGGGAACCTTTCTGCGATCCCCTGGCACCGAAAGAGGTCACCTACGGCATAGGGCTGCCATCAGTCAGGCCACCCAGCCCCCTTGTGGATAAGGGGCCATATCACCTACCGCTTGCCTGGGTATGGCAGAACCATGGGGGCGCCCACGGCCCATCGCACCGTGGCCAGTCAGGGACGGCCCGAACTGCAGTGGACGGGTTGTGCCAGTCTCTGAACATGGCCCCAAGACACGCATGCATAGTGCCGAGGAGTGGCTGGCCATGGCCCCCGTTATTAAGAAGCTCTACGTCGAGGAGCATCGCAAGTTGAACGATGTCATGGTCATAATGGAGCGGCAATATGGATTCAAGGCCACGTGGGTTTGACCAAGAAGAGAATATGTTCGACATGTACAATTTCGTGACTGACTGTGGTACCCGAGTATCAGTGAGCAGATGTATAAGAAAAGGTTCACGGCGTGGGGGCTATCCAAGAATAGGAAGCGTGTGCCTCGTGCTGCGACAGGACCTGATGGGTTAAAGGTGCAGCAATATAACCGCACAGGTCTCATGCGCACGACTGCTCCCGGCGAGTACTTCCTCACACTGGACAAGGAGTTGTTAGGCCACTATCCTGCCGAGACCGCCCTCTATAGCGTCGCGGCCTGGGCAAACGGAAACTTTGATGGCACACACTGGTTGCAGACCAATAAACAGCTGAGCCTCTGGTCAGCATCTGCAAACGGCCCGGCCACGTATCCCAGCACACAAATGTTCCAAGATATTGCCCTATCTCAGGCCTTGTTGGAGCGCCGGCAGGGTCGACTGGCTGGACTCGCCGTCCGCAAGGCGTTTTGGCAGCTCGAAGAGGTCATCAAGATTGGCGACCCGGCACTGCTGAGAAACCTGGTGGATATCGTCTTCCAAATGATCCAAATGAAACATGATACTCTGCTACGAATGCTGCTATCTCAGCTGACGAGCCTTGCTAATCACCATCTTCCATCGCTCCACCCGCTGGTCCAGTTCTTTCGGCAAATTGACAAAAGCAACAACGATCTTGCTATTCTGATCAAAATGGCATTCCGATGCTTTGTGGAGAACTTTCACCAGCGCATGAATGATAACTTCTATTGGATGTACGACAACTGGGTCTGGGACTCGAGCATCAGAATCATCGACTCGGACCCCGAAGGAGACTACAAGCGCATCATGGAAGCATTTCAAGCCCTTGCTCTAAACACCGAGGCCGTCGAGTCTTCCCAGGTGTTGAGATCACACCTTGGCTTTCTCACCAAAACGAGACTGATGAGAAGCGACGGCTTTGAAAAGACGTCGGCCACTGACGTTTTGAAAATCCTCAATCAAGAGGAAGACGAGCTGGATGCGGCAGCAATACCCAAAGACCCGAGAGTGCATGTGTACATGCGCACTGCTGCAATCAAACGCGCCATTGACAAGCAGGACTGGGACAAGGTCAGTGAAACCATGCAATCTAATATTAAACGCTTGGAGATGATATATGGGTTCGAAAGTCGGGAAGTGATTCGAGAACTCTGGTCATTGGAAAAGGTCATGAGGAAAGCTGGCAACGTGGAAGAAGCAGACAAGATTGAAAAGGATGCTCTGAGGCGGATCGGCGTATACTTGTCTGAAGTCCCAGGGTATATGCAATAGTCAACTTATAATCATGATTTAAAAAAGTAGGCAGAGCAATGGGTATATAGTACCTTGTGTATATACCCATGTAGCTTTGGGTATATACCGGGCTCCCAGTCACGGAGGCGTCTGTTTGATTGATACAATGGCGCTGGCGAGACGCTTATAATAATGAATATCACAACGCAAAATTACTCGCGATCCATTGAAATGGCATGTTTCCTCCGGCTTCATTCCACCAGAACTGAATCATCTTCTGTCCATCTGCGGACCATGTACATAAGGAATACCCGACATGCGTACCTAGGCTTTCGCGGGCCGGAGCTTTGGTGGGGTTTCCGTCAAAGTTGAACATTCGGAGCCCGAACAGGTACATTATGGACGGTACAGTACCACGGAAATAAACGATATTAAGCACATGTTGTACTGACGGATAGTGACTGCTTACATTATTTTTCGTTGTTGCGGGCAGTCAGCAAACTGTGGCGGAGGTTTTGGTCCTTGTGGCTCAACTGTTTTTGAGCTGAGATGAGCTGAACTCTAGCTGAATCGTCACTTCTAGGTTTTAGTGATCTGCGTACTAAAAGTTACACCTCACGGGTGGGCAGGAGCTAAGACGCGTCATTGTGAGCGGAACGGCACGATCAGCTTTCCTGTCATCAACGTTTCAATTATTCCTTCATCCACCTAGGCCAAAGGACGTCGCTTGTCTTGACATGCAATAATTTTGTCTAATTTGAACACCCTCTACCCTACTTGTTCTTCTCTTCCTTGTCGGCTTGTGGATTCTGCAGCTCCTAGGTATTTGACAAGGATTCCTCCTACAAACGACCCCGCGAAAGCTCTCAAAGGTGAACTACTACTGCAGCTAGGAGACATGGCAGTGAACGGCGAACCTCAATCTCAGTCTCGCGCCAGTCGCGCCTATTCCTTTGGCCAGCGTCAGGTCGATCGCGTAATCAGTCCACAGAGCCGAGAGAGGTCCTACGATGCGGTGAACCAGTTTGCTACAACCAGGCCCATTCTATTCGTAGGTATATCCCTGCTCGCCGTACCACCGATTCGGGAGCTTTCCCCCCAGCGTCTCGAGAGCGCCTGCTAATCTGCTTGTACGTTTCCAGGCCTTTATTGTCTCGCAGATACTCTTTTCCACTCTGCCTCTCGCCCTCTTCATCTCCTTCTCGCTCTCGACCGCCGCCTTTGCCATTGCCTCCGCGACCCTCTTCTCCGTCTTCTGGATTGGCGTCGGCCTTTTGGTTCTTTGCCCGATTCTGTTCATCACCTCGGGCATCGCCATCCTTGTTTGGGCATGGGCTATCGTGACATTTCTCGTGGGCCGTAAAGTCTACCAGATGCTCCCGGTCAGCATGCAGGGCGACATGCAGGTCAAGATGCCCAATGGCAAAAAGGTCATCTTCCAAAAGGAGCGAAGCAACGATTCCAACGGCCTAGGCTTTGATAACATCGACATCAAGGAGGAGATTGCGGAGGTCAAGGAGTAGGTTCTTGGCGAGGTCATGTTGGTCTTGTTCAAGATGGGAATGTTTCTCATACAAGAAGGAGCAAAAGGCTGGCTTTGGAGATGGCACTGGTGGTAATAGTTACCTAACACGACTGATTCTGAACCGCAGATTTGATAATTAGACATGGCGAGCATGGCGTTGAAAAAGTCGGGCACGAGGAAATCTTTACTGAAAGAGTTTGGACTGACGTTCAATGCAGGTAATAAGCTGTACACTAAAGAGGCAAAAAGAATCCATTCATATACGGCATGGGTATAGTCCCACGCGAGTCTTGGCATCAAGGTGTCCACCATAAAGCAAGAGACCGATTCTGCCTTGGACTAGATCTGTACTTTCTTCTCAGTCGTGGTTGATGCATATGACGCCTTGTCCTCGTCTACTTTCATCTGCCTGAGATCAATGGTCGAATTTGACCAAGCCCTGGCCAGTCTGAACGTCTTTGGAAACCAGCTGGGCTCTTCACCGGTTGTAATCATATGGACAAGCGCCTCGGCACTGCGGAATGCCATGGCCATGCCATGCCCATTCATGCCAACTGACATCCACAGTCCCTTCTGGCCAGGAGCCTCTCCAACAAGCGGATACGTATCAGGTGTATAGCATGTAATGCCGGACCAGTCCCTCATATGGGCACCTTCCTCTCCCCAAGCCTCACTGCCAAAATAATTGGCGGCGGCGTGCCGGAGGTACTCTGCAATCTTTGGGTTGACCTTGGAGTCATCAGTGACCCCTTTCTCCCTGGACGGTGAGAGGAAACGACCTCCTCCGTAGAGAATATCGCCAGCGCCGCGAAGATGAGGGGCACGAGTATGGAAGTAGTCACCGGAATGCGCATCATTCAAGCAAATATTCATGTGCATGGCTGGGTTGTCTGCGACCTTGCTTCCTGGTCGAATGGCCGTCACTTGACTCCGGCTGGGCCACATGAAGCCCGTCCGAGCCAAACCAATATGCAGGCTGTTGGTGAAAGCATTGGTGGCCAGAATAACTTGTTTGGTCTTGACATCACCACGACTCGTCTTGACTGTCCATGTAGAGGCAAGGTCGTCGCGTCGTGGCGATTCGATAATCTCGTGCACGGGGGTGTTTGTCTGCAAGTTGAGACCTTTGGCCAGACTGAGCTCCAACATCTTACACACGAGCAAATATGGGTTCTGCGTGTGAGCTGGGTAAGTCACGGCGCCGACGACATTGGGAATACCGACGCGTCGACTGGCCGCCTCGCCTTCAAACACCTCCTTCAACCCGGTGGGCGCGTCGTCCGGTCTCCGCTGTTGCACCTCTCGGCGAAGCTCCAAGACGGCCTTGATCTCGGCCCACGCCGCCTCCGTCAGGTACACGTCGGCCGTGTCGAGGTCCTCAAAGTCGCAGTCGACCTGGTGCTCGCGGACAAAAGCGGCCACGTCTGCTACATTTTGTTCCTCGAGTCGCGCAAACTTGAGCGCCTCGTCCTCGCCAAACGCCTGGGCGTAGCGCTGGTAGTTGAGCCACCAGCCGGCGCGGCAGAGCCCGCCGTTGCGGCCCGAGGCGCCCGAGGCCGCGGTCCGGGCTTCGAGCATGAGGATGGATGCAGAAGGGTCGCGGGCGTACAGCTTGTACGCTGCGGCGGCGCCCGTGATGCCGGAGCCGATAATGACGTAGTCGAGTGCATCGGATGGAAGCTCCGGTGTGGTCCGGTGCTCGGCGATCCGGTGAGGTGGGATTTGCCAGTATGAAGTGGTGGGATTTGGGACTGGGAGGCCCGGGTGCAAGTTGCCGCCGCCCATTTCTTTTTTCTTTTTTGTGTTTTAGTCTGTTGGCAAACTATAGATTGTGACAGTTCGTTATCCGGCAATCCATTGAGAATATTGGAAAACACTGAAAGAGATACTTTCATGATTATATAAAAGTCATGATCCAGGCATCAATATAGCTGCGGACAAAAGCTCCGGAGTTGAGGACCTATAGCATGAGTATTCAACGCAATCTATCCCTTTCCGGCGTGGCGCGAATGCTTTTGGGAGCACATTTATTCACGTCTTCATGTCGCATGCATATATGTCAGCAAATGCCACGTCATGGTTGATGGTATCAAAAACATCTTGCAGCCCCTTCGCTAATATCATTGGTCAAATGGTTATGACCTTGCAGGCCACTACATACCGACACATTGTACGTTTGGTGATGAGGGCCCGTCGGTTAGATCATATCATATCATGTTTGGTTCAATCTTATTCTCCCGCATTGTGAGACTGAAAAAAGAAAACGAAAAACAAATCTCTACCCATACTCTCTGCCTGATTAGTATCCTTTGGTGCTTGACAACTATGACGCTATAGGCGTCGATTAAGACAGAATCCTAGTATTGAATTATACAAATTAGGCAGCAGGAGACACTGCCATGCTCATGGTATCATTAATGGTTGTCGATTACGCGGCACATTTTGACAGTTGATTACGGTTTGTGGCACAAGAGGAGTTCAACGATATTTTTTCTTCGGAGCTTTTTGAAGACTTCGAGACCAAACTAAGACTGCGACAGAGCTGTCGAGATAGAGGTTGAGATGAAATCAGGTCCAGTGATTTACTAGCCAGGTGTTCCCATCTGCCACAACCCCTCGAGCCTAGATGTTGGTGTTGGAAAGATTAAATTACTCTTCTATGGCACTTCTAATTATCACGACATGTTACCAACTATCAGAGTTGGTGTCTTAATTATATACTCATCCAGACATATGCCCCGAGCCCCATGCCCAGAAAGATGACGGTGAGAATGCCGGCACCGGCCTTATCCGCGGTGGTGATCTCGGCTAGGGCCTCAAAGTGGCTGTCGAGGTCGGACCCGGCATTGGGGTCACCTTTACTCGTGCCGCCCGTGGTGTTGGTCAGGATGCCCGTCTCGGGCGTCGGCAGGAGACTGATGAGCGAGGCGAGGACGCTCATCTGCTGGCACGCCCCCGTCGTGCCGTCGTACGACCCAGACGACCATTTGAAGCCGCACATTCGGCCATTGGTTCCGCCGGTGCACTGGTCCACAGCCGACTGCGCCGACGACTTGAGGATTGGGGTTATTTGTTCTGCCGTGTACGAGGCCAGGTAGGCTGTCGATTGTAGCCACCTGTGCAAGAATCCCTTGAACGACAACATGTCGGTCGTGCAGGTCCCTCCAAACTCGCAAGCCGGCTCTACAGCTGTGCCGTTGGGAAAGAAGAATTCCAGAGTCCTGGGTAGGAGCAAATCAATTTTTTCCTTCCAAGTATCCGCCTCGGTCTACACTGGTCAGCAAGAAATGGCCCCTTCATGTTTTCTCTCTCTCGGTGTGCAAGTAGACTTACCATGTTGTACAGGTGGGCTAGTCCTTGGATCATCAGGGCGGCATTGTATGAGAACTGCGCCTTATTGATGTCTTTGCAGTCCTCCTCCTCATGGCCACCATCATAGATGTTGCCCTCGGCGTCAATGTAATCAACACCTACCAGCATATCGTACGTCTCGCCTACCACGTTGGCCAGCGTATCATTCTGGAAGTAACGGGCCAGACGGGCTCCAATGTTAAAGTAGCACGAGTTTGCAATGGTGTTGATATAATCCCAGCCATTGTTGTACTGAATCGCTTGCCACCGCAGCAAGCCCGAACAGCTCCCCGTGTACGTGCGTCGGCCTGCGTCGGTCTGTTCGTTGAACACAGCCTGGGCCAATGCGAGCCAATCCAAATCCGTATCCGCGGCCGGGTCAGTGAAGCCAGTCTCGGCGGCGACGAGAGTTGCCAGTGCCCAGAATGCTTGATCATCGTTGCCCATGGACGCCGACCAGTTCTTTGGCATGAAATCATGTTGTTCGCCCGACTGATGCACCAAGGCTTGCATGATTGTGTCGTCGTATGATTTGTCGTCGGTATAGTAGCGGTAATCCAGCAGAGTGCCCCCTAACAAGCACAGATGTGAGCCATCTCTAGAGACAATGACGTGGAAAACTGCCTACACATTGCGCCTCCAATCCACCAGTAGTAGTCGCCATCAGGCGGAGGTCCCGGCAAGATACCAGGTGTCATTCCCGGCTGGTCTCCCACGTAAAAAGACAGCAAGTCCTCGGCGACTTGCGAGGCAGCTTGTTTGATGGATGCTATAGTCGTCGCGGCAGGTTAGCGCAAACCATAAAAAAACCATACCCTCCTTGCGCGCGGGTGGGCGCAGTCAGTAGCGGAACATGCCTTCATCGTCTAGGTTGACCTCGAGCGCAGCCAAGACTGGAGTGGAAGCCAAGAATAGGCCCTTCAGCGCCCACGAGGTGAAGCGTCGCGCCATTACGAAAAACAAGCTACTCTTGTCATTAAAAGAAGGTAAGAAAAGATCAAGTGTCTTGCTCTGGGGTTGCGACACGCCGTATTGGGGAACGACGAATGGCGAGGTCAGGAAACACGACCATTCTTGAAGCAACAAAAAGCAAACCAGACATTTTAACGAGCGAGCGAAATGGACAATTCACCAGGCGCGCGCTGACAGGTCGGGCGTGGCGAAGCAGAACCGGAAGCACAGGGTACCTGAATGCCAAGAATGAAAGCGAGCCAGACAATCCCGCGATGTGCATATTTTAATCTAATCCCACACAGACAGGTGAGTTGGTGCTTGCCCGTTTCTCACATGATAAGATAGCGAAGGATGCAAAACCGGGGGTTTGGGCAGAAAAAGAGTGAGGGGAAACCCAATGGAATGCTGTCATTTCGTACGCCTGTGAAGGATTCACAAGTAATTGCTCCTACTACACAGCCATGTTTCGTGAGTGGACATGATGAATTGAAATGGGCCTACAACAACCCGAATCAAGTCATTGATCAGCTTGAATTCAAAAGGTTCTTTACGAGCTACCGCTACATGTCGGCTTTCTCTCTTCTCAACGCGCCGGCACTCCAACCAAGAACTGACCTTGAGCGCAACGCCGCCGGTTGCATTGCGCTCATTCCAAGGCCCCCGGAGTAGCGTTGGAAATAGCCTGGGCATTCCCCGTATAAGCTTAACCTTGTCCTTTAGACCCAGTCGATCCACTGTACAGGCTGTGAGGGGGTAGATCATCGCAGTGTCGGTACCGAATAATAGTACGTACACTAGTCCTAAAACTCCGAGAAGACCATTGTCTGTCGATTTACAGATTATTGTCAAGAAACCTTTTAATATAGAATAAATTGCTTTGACTTTGGAGGGACTATAATTCCAGAGAGGGTTATGCGTTCAGCCTCGTTATATCCCGCTTCCCAGATGAGAGTTCCAGGCCGTCCATACTAGCACCAGCGTGAGTGGTAGGTCAACAGAAAAGGGATAGCGCATTGCCCAGGGTAAGGCGTTCATCTTTGAGTCGTGATGATGTTGCTACACGCATGTGTCGTTGACCAAATTGTACAATCAGTCACATTCTAGTAGTATCATATCATTTGTAAGAGGGATAAGCATTGCAACATTACCTTGTATACATTGCATATTAGACTCTAACTTCTGAAAGCTAGATTGTGTTTTCGATGGTGATGATTAGAGTTGCAGAATATACTACACCAATTGTGACTATTCTGAGCCGATTCCTTCTCGATTCAGACCATACACAAAGTCCCTTGTTTTACTCCCACTGCAAAAGTCACAATGTCAAATATCCAAATATCAATACTATGTATCCCCCTGCTTCTATGGCTTTGTATAGACTGTCGATGCACATGGGTTTTAGTTCATGCACGTACTTTGAATTCTGCGTTCCCTGGCTAGTCGCAAATCCTTGATGCTATGACTAACAACAACCCACTTCTTGCGCTTCTCTCGCCAACATCATCAACCTCGTCGCCGACCACGACTGAGAATTGTCTTTAAACTATTATCTTTCCAAAAGTGAATTGTACATAACATGTAATTAGAAGTCGTTATTTCAACAGCAAGTCATCACGTGATGCCCCATGGCGCAATTGGCTAGCGCGTCAGACTGTTATTCCTTCTCAGGAACATGGAATCTGGAGGCTCTGAGTTCGACCCTCAGTGGGGCAGCAACATTTCTTTTTTCCAATTCTCCCTCATACATTGAGAATATTCTTTTTGCTGCGAACTGCGGCTCTTGACATACTTTGTATATGGTTGATGAGGTATGTCATGTCGATGCTGTGTAACTCGTACATTGTTTATATATTCTGGCGCTATCTCGGGAATCGCACAATGTCCCAAGAGTAATCAATCCATTGCGATGGGTGAGTTGCAATTGACACCAAATTTGCGCAATTCCTCTCAACTGTTCTACATAATTGAACTGACCTGGGGGAGATTTGCATGGTATGTCTCTAACCAACGACAACGACAAATCTTCTCGACAATCTTGAGACGAATTATATACGTCCATAACAAGGGCATGTACTCGGCTTGCCAAAACAGGACAATAGAAATATCAAACAGATATGGCCATGTCTGAATGTTACTGTCGTTTACATGTGTCTCCGCTATCAAAAGGTCCTTGATCTGTTCTAGCCGGCGAGTCATGAAAGAAACAGAACCATTGAATGAGATCATCGCGGGAACATCAGTTTCGAATTCCCGAAAATTCAACCAGCCGCTAAACGCAAAGAAAAGGGTCCCCACAAGGCGTCAATCAAATCATCAGACAGACACACCGCCGTCGCTCTCGGGCTTGAACGCCCTTCTGCATCAACAAACTCTCTTTTGTCCTTGTATATACTGTACCTCCATTTCCACTCCGGGATGGACCTCCTCAAACTAGAGCCAAACACCATGGGCCGTGAAAAGAAAAAGGATTGTGAAGCGCCGTTGCCAGCTTGCCCACCTCTGCCGCTGGAAGTCTGGATTGACATCCTCGGGTACCTCACTGACAAGGCACATCTCCCAACCTCCTGGCAATCCTGCCGCCGCGTCAATCGACTACTCAAGACGGCGGCCGAAAAGGCCTACCTGTACGGGCGTATCCCAAAGTGCAAAGTCCACCTGCAAATCGGGCACCGAAGGATACCGCCCCGGCAGGGCAACTTTGTCGAGCGCCACCGGAGCGTCTCCGTGCCCCTCCGGTTTGACAAGATGTCCCCAGACGGGCAGCGGGTGTACTTTTGCGACCCGGACATGTCGCCGCCGCCGCACCACCGGGGGGACCTGGACGACTTTGCGGGCGATGCCCGCGTCGTGGCCGAGTGCCGGCGCAGCGGCTCCATGGCGCTGGCGATTGGGCGCCAGGCCCATGGCATCAGCACTTATGAACCGATGCTGAACATCCCCGAGGGAGAGATACCCGGGATCGCAATGGAAATCGATTACGAAAGACGCATAGTCTCGTATCTGTGGAAGCCGCTCCTCAGCACGTTTCTTTGCAATGCCCACGACGAAAGTCCGTACGTATTCTATGGTAAACATGGCAAGCAGATTCCTGGACGTGTTATACGAGGTATATAAACAGCGTTGAAAGCTTTCTTCTGGAGGGATTGGGGGGAGCGTTTCTTTTCTTACCAGTGATACCCCGGGATCTACATTGGCCATAGCATGATTTGCATTGGGAGGCGTACATTGGAGACTGGTTACAATATAGACATGTGCACACTCCTAGACATTTTAGATTTTTAGAAACTCAAGCTTCGGCAAAGCTCTACAGAGCCGATCTACATTCAATATATGTTCTTGGATTGAAAGCATGACGAAATTGCCCAACAAAACCAAGTACATGCAAATTACCTACCTAGATATATAGCAGAAGCAAAGGACACATTATTGTGCCGGAGGTACAAGTTACTGACGCGACCAGCACATCAGAAAGTCGTCCCTCCGAACTGTTCAATCAAATCATACCAACTCTTGTTTTCACGCAACCTGGTGGCACACGGGGCCACGAACCTCTTGTCGCAAAGACATCTGCTATGATGCACCTTGCTGAGACCCAAACAGCGTGGCGTCTTCTCGTAGATACATGTCTTGTCATCCACAAACCCGAGCGGCTGAAGATTGGAATGCTCATAGCATTTCTTGGAATCGTCGGGCTTTGCAGACTCTCTGCTGGATTGGAAATTCCTCGGCCTCGAGGCAATTTCATTGGGAGATGGAACAGCTTTTTTGCCGCCCTCGGGGCCATTGTCAGGCCTTGGTAGATCCTCGCTGAAACGGACTTTCCTTGGCTTTGAGACGATTTTCTTCGCAGGCGTCTTTATCAAGGGGGCAGCCTCATTCTCACCTGTAGGGACATTATTCTTACCTGCCAGTGCCATGGTCAAGAGACTCTTCATACGACCATCCTTCTTCATGACCGTCTCTTTGTGAAACGAAACCTGGACGTCTTTGCCCGTGAAAAACTCATCGTCGTCGGACTCGTTAATGGTCGTGGAATCATAGGAACTTGCCCAGTCGCTATCATCAACCAACGTCTCTTTCGAGCCATGAGCCAGATCCAGCATAAAGATTCTTTCCTCGGATGCTGGGAAGCGTACTGGTAGAGAGCCCATGGTGCAAAAGATGACTCCTGCTGGCTTGCAAAAGACAACGAGTATAACCAGGATTTACTTGGTCCACCAAACAAGACAAGCTATAACCCCGGCATTTATACTATCTGAAACAATGACCTTTATGCGTATGATGGACAAAGATATTGTTATTTAATCGTTTGTCGTGGAAACGCAAGACCACTTTGACATGGCGGCATTGTCTATGTAGAGAGCAATCCTTTCAAGACTGAATTTTCGCATAATCATTCAACGTACTGATGAACGCCTGAAATCAAAATGTAGTAATACACCCTATGTCTAGATGAGACCAAGAGTTCACGCGCAGTCCCCGAGTATTCCTCATTGGGAGTGAATATCATGCCCATTCCAGTCGAGAGCACCGACTTCAACCTATTGAACTCCTAAAAAATCATGCCAATTACGTGTTTTTTTCCTCTTCACAATTCCAGGAAATTAGACAGTCCCGCTAATGCTCAGTTCTCTAATTTCCTGCAGAACTTGCTCCACCCGTCCATCGAGTTGGCCATTGGCGTACTGGTCTCTCGTGTCAGCGTCGAGATACTGCTGTACTTGTGCCATTCGACTGTAGGCTTCGGCACAGAATCTCAACTGGATCTTGACGAGAGCCTCGAAGCTGGGGTCAAGATATGGCACTCTCAGGTCAATCAGTTGTGGGAGTTCGGACGAGAGTTGTTCATTCAGCTGTTCGTAGGCGGCTCGGGCAATTTCCATCTCCTTCTCCGTACGAGGGAGCTTGGTTACGTCCTTGTCGGGCTTCTCGGCCAACTTCTTGACCTTGGCACGCAGCGCATCGTAATCCAGTAGTTTGTGGCCGCGTTTCTTGATGCCTGTTACGAGCTTTAATCAGCATTTCTGCCTTGTAGGACTCAAGTAGGCAGTGCAAACTTACACTCATTCACGTCCGGAAAGTATGCGCAGAATCGATTTATCGGCTCGAGGACGGTGGTTCTAGATGAGGGTTAGACTTTTCTTGCACGAGAGCTGCGATCATGTCAAGCAATACCTGTAGGGTCCGTCCAGCGCCTTGATAGTCTCGGCATCGAGATCCTCCACTGCCTGCTTGTAGCTCCTGCTCACACCGTCCTTTGCGCCTGCATCTCCATAGAATGCGTCAATGGTTTCGGCGATACGCATCTGCGAGGCAGTCATGGCTCTGAGGGAGTCGAGATATCCTTTGGCTTCCTTCTGCAGGCGAAGCGAGGCAGCCTCCATTGTTCGGAATCGGCGCTCTTCCACCTCGTAGTCGCGGTCGTTTGTCTTTTCGACATGGCCCGTCTTCATCATAACCTGCGTCGTTGCGCGGTTGACATTCTTTTTGAAGCCTACGTTGTAAAATTCCGAGTCAGTTTACTGAAACATTTACACCCCAGTCGTGATTTCAAAGGCCACATAAATGGACGTACCTGCCCACGACATGTTTGCTGTGGTTGTATAGAGATTGGCCGGATTCGGGGGTTACGTTTGTGGCCAGGGAGTAATTCGCAAAGATTGGGTATCGTCGGAAAGCGTCAGGAATTCAGAGCGCTAAGCAAGAGGAACGCAAGAGAGTAATGTCGTAGAAAGCGCTGAGCAGTGTCGTCGCAAAAGGTCGTCGGCGGGACAGATGAGCGAAAATCAAGGGTTGCCTGATGCTTCAATCGTAATGCAAGTTTGGTCCGGTTCTTGGGCTGCGCTTCCTTTGGTGGGCTGTGAACATTCGAAGGGGGTGGGGCTCCATCAGTTACGTACACATGCTGCTCAGGCAAGTTTCCCGTGGCTGAGTAACAGCAGCCCAAAAGCCGATCACCCGAGTGTCCGGACCCTGGAGCGCTAAGAAGGCCACTAAGTCGGCAACGACGTCAGCGCTGGTAAAATCTTGTGCCGCACCTAGGCTTTCTATTGTAGCCAAAATCTTTCAGCCGACATGGTGCTGCAGGTGAACAAGCCCCGACGCATCTGTCAAGCACGATTTGAATACAAGCAGGATTCCTTCAACTCATGATAATCACGCACATGGGCTTAATTTGAAGTGGATTGCAACTCGACAACTTGAGGCGGCATGCCCCGTTACTGTAGAGTGCTTATTAGGGGCCTGCCGGTAGTACCGAGTACAAATTATAGTGCAGAGTACCTGGGTACCAGAGCGCGACGCGCACCCCAATTTGTAGCTGAAATTTCTGAATTGAAACCATTTACGAAATATTGAACTTCAATATCAGAAAATTTATTCTAGGCTCGGAAACACCAGATCATCCCAATGGCGCCGCCACGTTTTCTTATTTGTTCCCTTGGCAATCCTCTACCTGCTTACAACTCACTGCATTCTGCTGGCCACTTTGCGCTTCAATCCTTTCAGAGATTCTTGGCACCTACGCAGCCACCATGGACGCAAGCCAAGCGCGGTGGTCTTGAATGTTTAGAATCCCACAGCGCATCTTACAGTTTGATGCAGAGTCCGACGCTCATGAACTCCTCCGGGCCATGGGTAGCCAACGTCTGGCAGGAAATGTTGAAGAAGGAAGGGCTGGAGACGCGTGACCTCGGCTTGGTCGTAGTATACGATGAGCTGGAAGACCCTCTGGGCTATACTCGACTCCGGTCATGGAACACCAGTCACCGCGGTCACAATGGCCTCAAGAGCACCAAGGCTCAATTGAAGAAAGAAAAATACCCCGGAGCGAGATGGTTTCGCATTTCTATTGGAATCGACAGACCGTCTAGCAGGGAGCGCAACGTGGTTGCCGATTATGTCTCGAGAAAGATGACAGACGAGCAGCGAGAGATCATTCAAGACAACACAGGTCCTCGGATATCGGCCTGCCTTGGAAAGCTACAAGAGGGTTGGAAACATTGAGAAAGACGTGGCAGTTCTCCAACATGATCAGTGCCCGTCGAAGAGCTTCGAGAGACACGATCCAAAGCTATATCAACCTCAAATTTTCGCAAACAGCAAGATGTATTTCGCACACCGCCCTATTTTACATCGTTGACGCCAACCAGCAAGCTCGAGCAGTATCATCTCGGTCTCTGCCTGCTGCATTACGGTCAAATTGTGGTATATCCAGGTTCACCAAAGCCCCAACGCATCGGTCGCAAGGTACATCGTATATGGGTGCGACGTATATGGCTATGAATTTTTTAATTGCCCTTCAGAGCGGCCGTCCTCTCTTCGACGCTAACACCATGAGCCAGCGGGCCATCATCAATGACCGTAGCCCGGCGCACGTCACGGGCTGTCATGGAAGTAGTGTAGGGGTTCGCCCTGTGCATTGATTGCCTGCGCCAAGATCAGCAAGATGACGATGGTAGCAGAAGTAAGGACCCTTGTGCTTACCTGTTGTCCCACCAAACCATGTCTCCTCCTTCCAGCCATTCCATGCTGAAAACGTACTGCAGTTGCCCGTCAATTGCTGCCTTTGTGCTTGGACTTGTTGGAAGATTACCCACCTTTGGTTGTGTGCAGTGATCCATGAGCTCCCAGATCAGTTTCTGGCTTTCCTCGAGGGAGCGCCCCACGATCAATTTGGCATGCGCAGCTAGATATAACGTCTTCTGGCCGTTCGGCGCAGTTTGCACCAGTCGATGGTACGCAGGTGGCTTCGAGGCCAGTTCGTGGGGTAAAGGATTACTAAATGTCTCTGGCGCTGCCAATTTTCTCGAATGCCACAGGTCATGTTCGACGATAAGTCCTTCGAGTTCGTCCTTCTTGGACTGTGGGAGGTCGGCATACGCTCGCCGCATGTCGGCAAAGTGCGTCCAGGAACCGCCCTTGACTGGATTGCCGTGAGAGAGGAGGAGCGAGTATTTTGATCGTTGTTGGTGATAAGACGAGTCTGTATGCCATAGCGCATTGCCGAGACTATGTTGCCATCTCCGCTGATCTGGTTGGACCAGCGTGCCATCCAAGTTGATGCTGGTCCGTGTCAGGTTGCGTCTTTGCAGCTTAAAATAGACATGAGAAGGGAAACACCTACTTTCCTACGTCCCAGAGGAACGGCTCCCCAATGCGATCATTCTCTCTGCCATAAAAGAAAGGGTTGATTTCTTGCTCTCCTAGTTGTTGAGAAAAGGCAATGTGTCTTTCATTGTCGAGGCCGGTTTTGCGAAAGATGAGGACAGCATAGCGATCCTGCACTCTTACGAGCTGTATGCGTTATTGAGTACTACAGCCCTGGTCGTTTGGAAGCGGTGCACTGTACCTGGTCCACCGTATCTTTCGACAGTGGCTGGCTCCAATCAACTCCCGATACTTCAGCCCCAAAGACCGAGTTGTCGGATACCAAGACCGGCTTAATGACGAGATGGCCATCCTTGACTTCAGGTGCGCCTCGTAGCCGCAGCGTACCTGACTCGGTCGCGGGGCACGTGTTTTCGTAGGTTCTGGTGAGGCTAGCCAAAGACATTGCAGCAGCGGTCATGGTCACGATTGATCGATAAGCTCTTGTCGTCTGTGAACTGAGGCTTGGATCCCGGACACTTATCTATTCGGCTTTTGCGTGGCTGAAAGTGCCTATAGCAAGTTTTGTGGCCCCCAAAAAAACCCGACGCCGGGGCTTCCTATACACAGGACAAGCGAGCGGCACGACTGCCGAGCGGGCCGATGGAGGGACGGACCGGCGGCCGACGCCGAAAGATGCAGCCGACACGTAGTTTACACTAGCACGACGATTACACATTTCTTTGCTTCTCACGGTAACGAATAACAAGATCATCTCGGATTGTTAGTCTCTCACATTGTCAAATCGTTTGGTCTGCATCTCATCACCATGTCTAACCAGGTCATCATCACCGCTGGTCCCTACCAGTTCCTGGCCGTCTTTGAATCCGATGCTCCGAAGACGGTTCAGATGTTTCGGGACTTGATGCCGTACCGACAACAGCTGATTCACGTACGATGGAGCGGCGAGGGTCTCTGGGTGCCGCTCGGAGAAAAGGATTTCGGATTATCCTTTGAGAATCACACGTCACACCCCTCTTCGGGACAAATCTTGCTGTATCCCGGCGGTTACTCGGAGACGGAATTATTATTCTGCTACGGCGGCGTCTCGTTTGCCAGCAAAATGGGCCCCTTGGCCGCCAATCATTTCCTGACCATTGTCGAGGGCAACGAGAATCTCAGGGCACTAGGAGAGTTGGTGCTATGGAAAGGCGCGCAGAATGTTTTGTTTGAGCTTGCAGATGACAAGAAGTACGTCACCTCTCATCAATTCCTCTTATTGCATTGACTTATTTCAATCATAGAATCAGCGAGTTCCGTAAAGCTCGTGAAGCACCCTCTCGAGCCAAACTATAAAAATGAGGAGGTTTCGTCCATCTATCACAGATCACCGTGGACCCCAGCTGTCGGCAAAATTCGACGATGGCTGCATAAAATCGTCTTCATAGACGCTGGGCCACTCGTACACGGTGTCGTCCATCAGATCAAACAGCGACTGAATGGCGGGATCCAGCGTGTCCTGGGCAATCGGCGCAGCCTGGCTGCTGCTCTCGTCATCCAGCACAATCGAGGCGGCGTCGCGGATAACGGCCTCGTAGCCGCCGCCCGACCGGAACTCGGGGCCTTTGGATTCGCATTCAAAGATTTCAATGGCGAACTTGGTGAGGCGCGCCAAAAGAGAGTGCGATCGCGGTTTGGCGGGGGCGCGGGAGGCGGAGCTCTCGGCTGTGGGGATACTGAGGATGTGGAGGTCATCTAGGAAGAGAGAACAAAAAAGTTAGATTCGAAAACTATCTTTGGGCTTGAGTGGATGTAGTCTATTACCGTCAATGGTTCTTCTTATGTAGCAAAGAACTAAAAAGGTCAGGGCAAATGTAGAAGATATCCAAGTAGCGTCGACCGCATGGTGCAAACTCGCGCGCGCGGCCGGGTCAATGCTGAACTCGTCCGCGGGGTACGTGGTCAAGTTCTGGGAGCTCACGTGCCAAACGAAACTCGAAGCGCCCGTGGCCAGCGACAGGAGTATTTGCGAAGCCGCCGTGGTGCTGGTTTCGAGAAACCCGAGGGTCCACACGTGCAGAATGTCCGTCTGTGACCGCGTGGAAGAAGAGAGCACGGGCCGAAGGAGAGAGCTATTCAAGGACAGACGGTACCACTGTGTGCTGTCAGTGTCTTGCTACAGCATAGGAAGTGGTCAACGTACTCTCAAGGATGTAAAAGGCATTTGAATATGTTGCAGTGGCGTATGTCCTGGACGAACTGGTTAGTCCCGAATCTCTACAGATGCTTGATGTCGTCTTACTAAGTTTTGGAAGCCAGTGTCTGCCGAGGCTTGTTAGCAGCTATTCATTCCGTTGATCTCGTCAAGGAGAAAAGGAAAACAAACCTCTCCCATTCTTCCATTTCAATATTAACCTTTTTCAAAATTGCCACGCTAGGCGGCCGACCAGATGATCCGACGTCTGTGGCCTTGAGCCGTTGCACCATGCATGTCAGCTCAATAAGGGCGCCATATCGAACGTCACCCGGGTCCTGGGCCGTGCGATGTAGATAAAAGTCCTGCACGACTCTTGCCGCCGGCAAGGGATCGACCGACGACGGAAGCCCCGAGGTGAGAGTGAGACTAGAGTCATAGGTGATTAGATTCAGCCAGGTCCGCATCCTGGCAATATCGTCCTTGGTGACGGCAACCTTGGCCGCGCCGCGGAAAGGGGCCAGCGCCAGTCGTTCGAGGTTGATGAAGCTAGCATATCGCAGTGCCAGACCAAAGACGGCCCAGGCGCTCATGTCGTTGTAGCGAGTCTTGATCTCGGTCCTCTGCTGCTGCGACAAGCCGTGCTCCGAGGGCGTAGAAGACAGGTTGTCTTTGCGGACACAGGGCATCCACTGAAGGTAAATCATGAGGGCTTGGATCGTGGCCACGCTGGCGTCGGATGGAGTTGGGGACAAGAGAAGCCGGGATATCGTCTTATCCAACAGATCTATTATCTCAAAATACCTGGGGTGCACGGAGCCGCCATGCCAGAAACGCGTTCCCACGGCTACAATGGCGAGAAAGAGTGCAGGACTTGATTGTCGAAGACTCATCCCGCTGTACCGAAGTCCCGTATCTAATACTGGTGCCCATGGGTGGCAATGGTCAATGTAACTGTGAGAGTTAGTTCGTCGTGTTTTAAAAACAGTACAAGACCTCATCGATTATGCCTACGTGTGCAAAGCATCTTGTGCTTCTTGAAAACTCAACAGGCGACAAGAAATGGGATCAAATGGTGAAAAGGCATTTTCTTGGTCACTATCGAGTGCCCCCAAGGACCTGAGAGTCGCGATTGGTGATACAAGTTCAAGACTGTTGATGTCATATCTCGAAGCTTGTGGTTCCGTCGTCCGGTCTGACTGAACCGACGGAGCGGCCGGATCTTTGATACCACTTACAGGCTCCTCGGTATTTCTAAAGGATTGTCAGATTCATATATCGACATTATCGAATAACTGTATAACTTACTTGCTGTCGCGTTCACTTGCGGAAGACGCCTCGACATGTCCTAAACTGCGTTCATGCGATGACTGCGTCCTCGTATACAAGGATCCCTTTTCCAACTCAGCTATTCGTGCCTCGTGAGTATTGATTCTAGGCAGATTTGGTAAGCCAGTCCATCCACTGGGTATATACAAAGCTGCATGTCCAGATAGACACACAACTCATCATCACAAACTATACCTTCTTTGCAGTTCAATCACAATATGCGATAATTGCGACGGCCCTATATCCTCGGGTACCGTCGGCGGCCGATCTGTCTCAAACGAACAGGTAATGGCATGACGCATGCATCGCTGGCAAGGCGCTTGGGGACGGGCATTCACGGCGGGCGGAATACAGCGCTGCTTTCGAGCGCGGCACGTTATACAGGCCCGGTTGGCCCTGGCAACTCTTCGTTCAGCGGCCCTGCTAGCCTCTGTGCTGCTACTGCTGCTGCGTCTATAGCAAGTCAGTAGGTGTAGTGTAATTCGGCTTGTTGCCCGACGATCCCGCATCAGAGGGAAAAAAGGCTCTCACCTACACTTCTGGAGTAGTGTCCATGGCCCGGAAAATATCGTACCATTGGGCTTGGAGGGGTGGGAAAAAAGGGCACGTAATTGATGTTGCAAATCGAGACGACAAGCACCAGGGCGCCCAACAAAGGACGCGGCAGGAAATCGGATTCGACCCGATTGATTACCCCCCAAGGGTCCAGCCAAGATACGGGTGGGGCTAGGGGATGGGCTTTGACTCTTTGAGGTCGCAGTGACTAAAGATAGCAGATAGCTTACAGACAAATCGGGGTATTTCTTGTCTGGGGCTAAGTCAGAAGCTTGAATGGATGCCAAGGTCGCCGAATATATACAGTTATGGCGTTTTGCTTCATGTCCGCCTCGTGTTAGGGCCGTTGGCTTGAGTTTGGACCGAGAGTGATTGTTAGATTATGTCAACTCTCAAATGGTCCCGACAGGTCAGATGTATCAAACACTTTATACCATTGTGTGGCCGGGAACGAAAATTTGATCTTATCCAGATACATTACAAAATCAATGTCATCGCTCTTATTCTTGAAATGTCTATACTTGTTCATGATCCACTGGTTTACATGCATCATCTTTCAAATATTGTCTGCGATACGGGCAAACAGACCCTTCTTGGGCGGCTCCGAAGGCAGAACCGCAGACGAGCCAGTCTTGAAATCCATATCCATGTAATCGATAAACTTGGACTTCTTGACAAACTTGTAACCAAAGAAGAGGACCACAAAGAAGGGGATGGGGAAATAAGTCGTGATGAAACTAGATGTATCGAACGTGCCCACTACAAACTCGATTAGTCAAGATTTCTTGGAAACAAAAATGTGAAAGTTTGACTTACGGAATGCAGTAAAACCACCAAAGATTAGTACAATCACGCACATGAATAGTCCATCTGTTTTTGGATATTAGCTGGTGGTCTAGGTGCAAGACATGATGTATACGTACAGTAACTCAAGTATGGCTGCCATGGAGCCTTGTATGCCAAAGTATTGCGATCGATACCCTGAGCCTTGAGGCCCTTTTGCCAGCGAATGGCTGTAAAGAAGATGCAAGACCAGGATATCATGCCGCAAATGGCCGTCATGTTGGCAAAGTACCCAAAGACTGTGCCGGCAGAACCCTTGGCACCAGCCATGAAGGAGAGCAGCGCAAAGACTGCGCCAATGGTGACTGCAACCCACGGCAGACCGTCTGATCGAACCTTGCCAATAAAGTTGGGGGCATGGCCGCGGGTGTAGAGACCATACAATGTTCGGGAGGATACAAACAGGTCAGCGCATCCGGCAGACCAGGCGCTCGTCAGGAGAACTGCATTGATGATCGAGGGTAGAACTGGAATACCGGCATTTTTGATGGCAATGACAAAGGGACTCTTGGCGGCAGTCGATCCGAGGTCCAACGAGGGGTCCGAAGGAGACACGAGCAGACCAATGAGGAAAGCGCTGCAGATGTAGAACAGGACAAGTCGGATCCAGACACCCTTGATAGCACTGGGAACAGCCTTTCGCGGGTTGGCCGTCTCGGCGGCTCCAATGGCAGTGATTTCGGATCCGATAAAGGCAAAAGCAGCACTAATGAGCACACTGAAAAATCCGAGAAACCGGCCCTTGGCTCCTGGTATCCCGTTAAGCTGTGTGAAGCCCCCGGTTTCGTCCCAGTAGTTAAAGCCGATAGCTTCATGGTTCGGACCGCCGCCAGCGGAGATGATGATACTGAGGATGATGAGGCCAACAATCGTAATCACCTTGAGGGAGCAAAACCAGAATTCCATCTCTCCATAGACGCGCGTGCCCGCATAGTTGACGGCATATACAATGATGAGGAATATGCCGATCCACAGAGCATTGTTGCAAACGGCCGAGGTGCAAGTCGAGTCGGTCTGCCCTGCCGGCGTCCAATACGACACGAGGACGGCCGCGGCGGAGATCTCGGCGGGCAGGACGACAATGTAGTTGTACCAGAAGAGCCAGCCCATGGCGAATCCCATCTCTGGGGAGACGAAACGGCCGGCGAGAGCAAACTGGCCACCAGCCAGGGGAAACTCGGCAATCATTTCTCCTAGGGCCACCATGACGGCGAACAGTAGCGAGGCCATGATGCAGTAGGAGATGAAGAGACCGGCCGGACCGCCATTTTGCAAGTTTGATGCCGTGCCGAGAAAGAGACCAGTGCCAATGACTCCTCCAATTGCTATCATTTGCCTACGATTCGATCTTGTTAGACGCGAGTCTACTGCCATCATTGCATGGAACGACTTACAAATGACGCGGTCGAAGGCCACGCTGCATGGCATGATCCTTGACCTCTCCCACGGAGTCGTCACTCTGCACTTGATCTGCCGCAGCGACATTCTCACTGGAATATTTGGTGTCCTTCTCCATTTTTCAGCGAGTGAAAGATGGCTCTTTGAGAGACTGGATTAGAGGAATGAATCGGGCGAGTAAAGGTTCAATCAAACAGGGAGGGGATCAGCCTCATCATATATATACAACTTCATCTCCATTTGATAACTCCCCTGCCTCGTATGGGGAGAGATTCGATCCTTCGCAAATGCATGGGTCCCTACCGAGGTGCATATCAGCTTAGCCTTGATGTCACCCGTCAGGGTTCCAAAGCACTGGGCCGTCTGGTATTGGACGAGCTAGACCCAAGCCACGAATTCCACAACTACCGATAGCAAGGGGAGAGACATGGCACGGTTCATAATGGGGCGACACTGCAAGGCACAAGAGTCACCAACAAAAGAATACGGAAACCTGACAGGGTCAAGTGGCAGGGTAGATGATAAGTTGGAGATAAGCTTCGTGGCTTTTTCCTCAACTTGGCAAATCAGAGCTCCGTCTTGTATCAGTTGCCATTAGTACACGACTCATGCCACCCGTTACCCACATGCACATACAAAGATCAACAGGCACCGTAACACCAAGTGGGGAGCAAACGTGGGAGCACTAAGAGCTGACTCTCCAAGGGCCACAGATAAGCAGCAGCGGCTGATCGGGCGCGGAGCCGGGGCCAGTCCAGGTTGGGGCCCACGCTGTAGCGCCGCACTTCCCGAAGCCTATAGTGTGCAGGCTGAATCGACTCGTTCAAGCCACATACAAGGAGTTGACGATATAGAACCAAATGCAAATTTGATCTCGGTGCGTTCTCTGGCTTCACCAGCGCCGGTCGGTTTATTAGAGTCAAAGTCAAACAAAGCACCGACTATTCTAGAACTTGGCCATGGGCAGGACATTGAGACCTGGTGTTTACGGGCCTCTGCCTACATTTTTCACTGACAGTCAAGAAATTGATTATGTGAGCTATAAGAAACATCTATTGAGTATGCATCAAAGTCTCCTTCTAGAATATTTGACTGACACTAACCCGCTTTGTTCCCCTGGTAGATCTTGCCACCCTGGGAATCGGTACGTTGCTCGCCTATCTAGATGAGATGGCCTTGTCACGCCACTAACTCTGCAAACAGTACCGGTCTGCGCAGGCTCGCTGGGAGAAGCAGTTCATTTGGTCAGTCCAAGCCATACTGGCAATTATATTGATATGACTTTTATTGATACTTCCCACAGGACCCAGAAGAGAGAGTGGAACTGATCAAGTTCATCAGAAACACACTTGACGAGAATGGTCTCGCTGAAACTCCCATAGTAGCTGGCGTCGGCGGTTCCAGTACGAGGGAAACGATCAGATTAGCCACAGCGGCTGCACAAGCCGGGGCGTGCGTAGACCCTCTCTTTCATAAATCCTCCAGATCTGATTATACTAACCTGATCACTTTTAGAGACGCTGGTCTGGTTATATTACCTGCATATTATGCTGCAAGTTTGAATACAGACCACGAACAGATTATCCAGTACTATGTCGATATATGCAATGCATCTCCAGTAAGCTATAAACCCAGAAGAGACCATCGTTCTCAAAAGCTGAGCGCAGTAGATTCCCTTGTTTCTCTACAATTTTCCTGCAAACTCGGCGGGCTTGGACATGTCATCGGCCATAATCGAAGCGGTTATTCTGCAAACTTCAAACTTGTGTGGCGTCAAGTTGACGTAAGTTCGTTTCTCTTCAAATGGTATCTGCATCATATATTGACCAGTCTATAGATGCGGAGGTAGCATTGCCAAGCTCGTCCGCCTCAAGGCCACCATTGACTCGACTCCATCGATCAATTCGTCGCGGCCGTATCCCTTTTTGCTCCTCGACGGACTCATCGCGGATCTGACCCCTTGGATGCAGTGCGGAGGGCACGGCACCGTCAGCGGCATCCCCAACTTTGCCCCTGCAGCCTCCATGAGGCTGTGGGCTTTGCTGAACAAGGCTAGCTTGAGCCCGGATGAGCAGCGCGAGGCAAGTCGGATACAGGCAATCTTGTCCAACGCAGACGTTGCGGCCGTGCCTGCAGGAGTGCGCGGAATGAGTGAGTGCCCCTCGTAGTCTTTAATCGTGTTTTAGCAAGCTGACGTCAGTTCTAGAGTACGTTTTGAACAAGCGTCATGGATATGGAATTTCTCCCAGACGACCAATGCTGCCGTTGAAGAGCGAGGAGGGCGAGGGTCTCATGTCACAATTTGCGCAAATGTTTGAATTGGAGGCCGAATATGCCACTAGATAAGTCAAAGACAATATTTTGTAGCAATAAAAAGTTGAAACAGGGCAACAAAGGCCGAGTTCATGCATAATATCACCCGTTTGTATCTTTCATACACCATGGCATGGCCATTGTTTCCATTGTAGTCCCTTTCCGGTAGCCATCTACAGTCAGGTTGACAAAGATGTACGTTACAATACCCTTGTTTCAATGAAAGTCATGTCGGCTAGCACTTATGTGGAGCCATTCTCTATATAGGTAGAGTTATCATATCAAGTGGATGCGCGAATCATGAGGCACAACAACGCAGACCTGCTCATCCCTGACAAGCCCGGCGCCGTCGATCAAAAAAGTTGTGAGAGTACCACGAGTATTGGTAGGTAGGCACTGATCCTTCACAGCTTAGACTATGGCTGCCAGTCCTTCTCATGTCAACATGGCCGATGTCATGCTGTCGAGCAGTGTAGAGATGACTGGCCCTGCGGGTCAAGAAGCCAGCCAAATGACAGTCCTTTGCAATCAACCCAAGACAAAAGAGGTAGGTGAATCAGTAAAAGCTTCGGATTCCCCGTCTTCTAGTGGTCCATTTGATGCCAAGTCCTTTTACAGTACTCCAGGACTAGATTGGGACCCTGAAGAAGTAGAGCAGGTTGAAAAGCAACACCTTGACGCTGGCTTGGCTGGTTGCCAAACGGGTCCAGACTGTCTTGTCTGCGAAAAACAGCTCAGGTTTGAAGAAATGTATGGAATCTGTGATAGATGCCTCTCGATTGATTGAAGTATCTGGACCCCGAAGCCATATCATGCTGAGCCCGTTGGCCACTTCAATGTGCAGTCGCAACGCTCCCGCATCATTGACTCCTCGTTATAGTGTAAGTTTTGGTAAAGTGATTACTGCTCGGAAATAAATTGAGTCATAACCGAAATATCTAGTATTTATAATGCTACCTTGAGGGGGTAACAGTCCTAGGTCTGCTTGTGGAACACAAAGAGCGCTTCAAACACCATGACAGCGTATCGAGTCTGGAATTCGAGAATGCTTGAGTCTATTCTATACATCTAGCTCTTGTGATATTAATACATTCATTATTCTGTGAAATTACTCTTTCGCATCAAAGTGACCTCCTTTTCCTCACTCGGGGGATCATTGACGCTTTGTGCCAACGCCCTCGCCTTGGTCATTCCATCCTTGACCATATTGGCGATACCCCATACATCAAAAGTGACCGCAAGGGCTCTGTATCCCGACTTGATCATCATGGGAACCATGTCAGGCGTTTGTGCACCACTTTTGAGACGGTATTAGCATATTATCTCTCTCCTTTGAGGAAGTATCCGTGTGGAAATGACTTACCCAAAAAGCGGCAGATTGTTCTTGGCAGCTGCCGCGCCAAACTTGCCCATGGCCTCCATCAGACCGGGGTGCGGCGGACCGCCCAGCTTGAGGGGGATGCCGGCGTCGGCCATGAAGTCGCCGGGGCCAAACATGAGGCCCGAGATGCCCTCGCAGGCGGCAATCTCCTCGACATTCTCCACGCCCTTGACGCTCTCGATTTGCGGAATGAGCACAATGTGGCGGTTGGAACTCTGCATGTTGAACGGGTCACCGCTGTAGAGAGAAGCGTCCGAGATACCCGGTGTGAACGTCCAGGGGCTAAAGGAACGTTGACCAATGGGGGCTGGACAGATGGGTCAGTGGATAAATCAAGTGAAGCAAATTTCATGATTGTTCATACGGTAGTAGCACTCCTTGATAAAGTGTCTGACCTCGTCCGCGCTCTCAACGTGAGGAATAACAATGCCAGCAGCACCAGCGTCGAGTGCCGTGGACAGGCTGACCTCGTCGTGCTTCGGTACACGAACGACAACCATGGTCTTTCCTTCAGAGTGATGCTGTGCAGCGTGTATAGCACTTTTTTCGCCATGTTTGTTAGTGCTTTCATGACGACGAATTGTCTCAAATTGGATCCGGCTTACTCGTGCAAGGTTAATCTATCAAACATGCCATGCTCGACGTCTATCCAGATAAAGTCGGGTTTAGTCGATGCCATGACCTGGATTTTATCTGTGAGTACGATATGTCGCTGATGCTCATGGCCGATTAAACTTACCTTTGTGACAAAAACACTGGGGATTCCATGAGCGACACCAAGTAATGTTTTTGTTGGATCCTCTTGAGCTTGACGGAGCGCTTCTCTGAGGTTACCAGGGTATGTCAGCAAAGCAGCACGAAATGGTGCTTTGGCGTGCAGTTCAGGCTGCTCCAAGTATGGTTTGTCAGCCATTGTTGTAGTCTGTGATGGAAGCAAATAGATGTTTGTATATAGGAGGACAGAGTGTAGTTGGTGAAAGATTATAGAGAAGGTTTAAACTGCAAGAATGGATGATGATTGGGAAAGTTTCCACGGAGCCAACCGGACACTGGTCAAACCTTTATAGCCAGATCAGAAACCACAATTGTATCTCGGGACAACGTGGTTCGTCATGGAGCAGCCTCTCAAAGGTGTCAATATCGAGTCAAGTCGGTAGGGACGGATGCTAGGGCCTGATGAGAGCACTAACTACAACTTCTAATATCTAGTGCTTATTAGTCAGTAGTAGCTATACACAACCAGGTCGATCGTCACGTAACGTAAAGGGTCCCCAAGGGTTCATGATGGACTTGGCAGTCGCAGATTTCAACAGTCCGACGTGCCTGTCTAGTGACTGCATGCTCTTGCGATTTATCAGCCGTCATTCAAGAGAATCTGTCACTAGTGGCATGGCCGGACGGACTCGAGAAGAGGTCCGGAGACTATTCATGGTTAGTCTACGGCTACGGAGTTAGAGTTTCGAATGTAAAATCCGGAGAGACTACACCCAGAAACAAGATCCTATGGCGTTTCTTGACCCAGGATGCTGGTTTAGCACGCGAGATGACAAAGCAGATTGGGTATTCACGGGCAATACGTCAACTATCCTCAGCTAACCACGTACAAGGTGCCCTAGGACCACTGTCAGATGGGCCACATATGAAAAGGGGCACTGCCTAGTAGTCTGAACGAGTGCAAAGTATCATTGATCCGGCCGGTAATCCAGTCACTACACCTGCTGATTAATTCGTCAGGGTCCAACTGTGAATATATTATATACCTCAGGAATGGCTCATGGTCTTGGAAATGCTCAACTGTGTAAAAGTTATGGAGAATACGATAAACCAACTTGGCCATGTCGTTGATAAAAGATAGATATATCGAGAATTGAAATCTCTTTCTTCTCGACATTTTCCTAAAGCGACCATTGCAGTCCCGTCAGGAAGAAGCCGCCCTTGGCAGAGCCAATATTCGAAAAGGCCCTTGGAAAAGTAAGCCGTTTAGTAGTCCCGGGGGGATGAGCAAGTTCAAGTTTCAAGCCTGTGAGGCGCTTAAGCCTACAACAGACTTGTCACCACTACTGGGTAGCTCAACGATCCATCCGTCCTTTTTCCCACCACCCAGCGCAAACAAATACAGTTTGAAAAAAAAAGCGCCAAGGCAGCTCTTTTTGGAATCGAGCCGGGCGTGCTTTAATTTATGACTAAGCCACTAAAGTTCTTGACATTGAAAAAAGTGATGCTCGGATCTGCAAAGCAAAGTACTGATGAATTACTTTTGTTGCACTCGAATTGAAAAGATAAGCCTTGTTTTCTTCTTCTTTTTCCCGCTCTCTATCAAGATGTCACGACAAGGGATAATCGAGCCAATCATGTCGTGATTATCTAATGTATGCAAGGTGGTGCAACAAGCGAAATGGGCAATCAAAAATGGCGGCGTCTGACTGCCTGCCGCAAGCCCCGTCTGGATTGGGATGCTTTTTATCCGAACTGCGCCACACTACACTAAGGTGGGAGGAGATCAGAGACATAACGCGAAAAGCTGCAGAGAGAAACACGTCGCAAGGAGAGATTAATCACTTGTCTCGTATATCATCTTTTTTGCTCGTCGTTCTCTTCTCAGGCGTCATCTTTTGCTCGATTCGTACCTTTTAATTCTTTTTTCTTAAGGACACCCGACACACACACAAGTCCCTCACTCGTGGGCTTGTAACCAAGCACGCACCTTTTCAAAAAAGGGGGGTTTCGCTTACTGATTACCCTGCTGGCTTCTCGAATCTGATGAGAGAAAGGGTCTGGATATTTTGAAAACAAAAAAAAAAAAAAGGACGCACCCAAGATGAGTCGCCATGACAGTGGTCCCGGCTCATTGAGCAAGCTGGGCAATAACCCTGGCGCTTCGATAATGGCATATTGTCTCGCGTCCATTAGCATGACATTGATCAACAAATACGTCGTGTCTGGAACGTTTTGGAATCTGCACTTTTTCTACCTTGCGGTTCAGGTAAGTCTGGCTATTGCCGATCGCAGTTCTGGTGAGATGCGACTTGATGACTGACCACTTGGATTAGTCCATTGTGTGCAGTGTAGCCATCATTATATGCAAACAAGCCGGTCTCATCAAAGACCTTGCACCCTTTGATGTTGGGAAAGCCCAGAGATGTATGTATTTTTTTCTCCCAATGCTATACACATCAAGTTATTAACTAGTCAATAAAAATAGGGTTTACCATCTCCGTCCTGCTCGTGGGGCAAATCTACACGGGCAACAAGGCGCTACAATTCCTCTCGGTGCCCGTCTTCACCATTTTCAAGAACCTGACCATCATCGTCATTGCCTATGGCGAGGTCCTGTGGTTCGGCGGGCGCATGACCTCGCTCATGCTCTTGGCCTTTGGCCTCATTGTTCTGAGCTCCGTCATCGCCGCCTGGGCCGATATCCAGGCCGCCGTCGCCGAGGCCAGCGGCAACGCCTCGCAGGCCTCGGCCACCGTGTCCACCCTCAATGCCGGCTATGCCTGGATGGGCATGAATGTCTTTTGCGCCGCCGCCTTTGTCCTCGGTATGCGTCGTCGCATCAAGAGCATGGGTTTCAGCGATTGGGACAGTAAGTTTTCCTTCCCCAGCTCAAGTCTGGCAAGTATAGAAACAATAGGTGCTGATATATTGATGAAGCAATGTTCTACAACAATGCATTGACTATTCCCGTCCTGGTGGTTGGAACCGTCCTGACCGAAGATTGGTCCAGTGAGAACGTGGCCCGAAACTTTCCCTTGGAATCTCGCAACGCCATGATGATTGGTATGATCTACTCGGGTCTCGGAGCCATCTTTATCTCATATTGCTCGGCCTGGTGCATTCGCGTCACTACTTCAACGACATACTCCATGGTCGGTGCGCTCAACAAACTGCCCATTGCCATCAGTGGTCTCATATTCTTCAATGCTCCGATTACATTCGGTAGCGTGTCGGCTATAGTTTTGGGTTTCATCAGTGGTTTGGTATATGCCTGGGCAAAGATTCGCCAAAAGGAAGAAACAAAGATGACGCTTCCGACGACAAATCCTTCCACCTCGACTGAAGGCCGGGGCAAGAAGGATGACGCGTAGACATCACATCACAAACCGCTTCTATAGACAACCATGTCCAGGACGAAATCAGACGTCGGATATGGACCCCGTGTCAAGCTCGACACAAGCGTACAGCAAGACAGTGAAACAGGATATATCTGTCAACTGCAAGCAGAAGACAATGACAAATAAACTTTGATTGATCCAAGTGACCTTTTTACGGATCTTATGCACACGCTATGCCAGACCCAAGAACGCCATCGCTGACGCTGTTTCATGTATTCTCAAGTTCTAGTCCCCCACCTCCAAAGACCCGCTATTCTATTCCTGTATAGCTATTCGAGAAAGAAAGAAGAAGAAACGGTGAGGGTAGTTGAAGTGAAAGAAAAAAAATAGTGTCAGTAATACAGCCCCACGCTTGAGAGCTGAGAGCAAAAAGAAAGGGAAAAAAGAAGCAAAAGAATGAAGAAAATGATGGAGACCAAAGTTGTCTCCAACCGCGATGAACAATGATTGTACAAGGCATGGCCCCATCACCAAATATGGATATCTTTTTTTACAATAAAAAAGTCGTAACAAATCGTGTCCTCTCACCTCAGTTCGCGTCATGAAACCTCTTCAGCTTCTGCCTCCTCTTTGAACTTTGGTCCGCCTTCAACCTGGATTCCATTGCGCACCCATTCCATGGAAGCGACTTTGTCCAGTGTCCACCGGCTCCTGGCTCGCTTGAGCAGGCCTTCGGTGACCTCCATGGCACCCTTGAGACCCACTGCTTCGAACTTGGCCTCGTCACCTTCGTGATCGCCGTCGTCGCCGGCGTATTTTATCCACCGCCAATCCACTCGAGCGATCCTGTGGCTTGTACGACTACGCATCCTGAGCGCATCGCTGGCTCCAGGGGGTGGATCAAAAGGTAGGCGCGCTTCTAGAAGTGCGTAAAGGAGGACTCCCATGGACCAGGCATCAATCGCTTTCCCGTCGTATGGCTGCCCTAGAATGACTTCGGGTGCAGCATAATCATCAGAGCCACATCGAGTCTCTAGTTTTTCGTCATCTGCCACACGGCGAGAAAGTCCCAGGTCTGTCAATGTAATGACCGAATCGGGATATGTAGCCCAGTCCTGATTTGGGTTTGCTAGTTGTTCTACAGGAACATTCACAAGAACGTCTAAAATAACCATGGTTAGTAACGAGAGGGGCCATCACATGAGAAAAGGAGGTTGAGCAAAAAGGAGAATCGCAAATCGAAAGTGTTTCCACTTGAAAACAAGCCAACAGCATGCACCTACTTTCTAGCTTGATATCCCGGTGCACTATCCGTCGATCATGAAGGTATTGGACAGCGCCAACAAGCTCGGCAAAGATTCTGGTCAGTAGTGAGGGTGTGAGTAGCTCTTTGTGCCGAGCAGCTAGGTCGAATAGGTCACCACCTGGACAGTAGCTGAGGACCAGTAATGCGCGGGTCTGCTCTATGTTCCAGGCTTTCAAGTGAACCAAGGACGGGTGATGCAATGTTTGCATAATTTCAAGTTCTCGTTTCAGGCTCATCTCGATTCGGTCTTCTGACGCGCCGCCTCGGGGGCCATGTTCGCAAACCTTGACAGCTACTAGAGTTTTGAGATCTGGTTCCGTAGCAATGAGAGATTTCGTGGTGTCGTGGTCGTCAATGTTCACTTGACTGGTCGCCAACACCACTCTACTAAATGTGCCTTCGCCGAGCTGCTTAATGGCGCGCCATCTCCTGAGTTTATTATCATGTCGCCCATACGCCTCAAAGTACTCTGCTTTTGGAGCTTTAGACTGGCTCACAGAGCCGTCGTTACTATGCGATGATTCGCTCGGTGGTGGGGTTGGAGGCTGTTGCGCGGGAACCAGGCCGCGCGCGGCCCCAAGGTTTGGTTCGCGCCGAAGAGGATTTTCGGTGGTTGCAGTCCGACCAGACTCGGCCCGGGCGTGCGATCCGGATACTGTAGTTTGCCTCTTGGGTACTGCCATGGGATCCGGTATATACTCGCTAACACTTCGATTGCGCCCATGTGTGTGCTCGCCAGCCGTGCCTTCTGCCCCTTTCAGACCAACGTATGCTTTCCGTTTCGTCTGGTTCGCCAGCGCTGCAGCCACAGACTCGCCATTGGTCGTGACAAATACAGAGTCGGGCATGGTCGCGGTGTGAGCTGCCTCGCGCGAAGGTGGTCGAGCACCGAGTCGTCTCCAAGGTCCAGGTGAATCACCCATAAGCAGAGGTGACGGTAGTGGTGTGAGATCGCCCATGGCAGCAATGAGAGGACTCGGGACTGCCGAACTGGAAGCAGAGCCAATACTATTGGCTATTGCCTGCTTGACCGAGGGTGTTCGCGATATAGGCCTGAGACTCGACGACGAGGTCTTGCGCTGGACTGACAGGCCTCCAGGAGGATTGTAGCCCGAGGGAGTGAGATTGCTGTGCACGTAGCTGTTGGCGCTGTCGTTACGACTAGGCATAGAAGGTCGAACGTCGGTCGTGATCTGGAGAGGGCTCTTTCTCCCGTCCAAATCGGCCGAAGAAGGAGGAGACTTGTGCAGTCTTTCGCTGTATAGTGGAATGGGATTCTCGGCGGCGACAATTTCGGATAAAGGCGGCGACGGCGCAATAGTGTGGGATTGGAATTGGTGTTGAGCAACAAGGTGTGTCGGTGGCTTTGGGCTCATGGTGTCACCACCAGCAGCAGGCAAAGGTTGTTGTTCAACATGGCCATGGTGGAAGTTGGCGTAGGACGACAGAGGAAGAGATTGGTTGGTGTGGATGTTACGGCGATTAATGTCCTCGACGGTTTGGCCTAGGACAGCCGGATCGGGAGAGTTTAGTAACGGGAGGGCGTCGGGTGCAAGCCTGGTACTCCTGCTGCGATCCACGAAAGCGTCCTGGGGCAGGGTCGGGGGTGGTCTGCTGCTGCTGGTCATTGTCGGCTTTCGGGGGCGTGGGATTCCAAATGTCGAGAACAAAACGGCAAACAAACAGGGCAGGCTTCCCACAGCCCAGCAGAGGCAGCAGAAGAGACTGGACCTGGACCTGGACCTGGACCTGGGCCGGACTGGAATCCCGCGCTGCTTGCTTTGCTTGCTGCTTTCTGCTGTTCTGACTAAGTTACCGGCCGAGGGACCAGACTTGCGTCTGCGATTACGGTTTTGGAGGGGATTTTTTTTTAAGAGGGGCGGAGCCAACAATAGGTGGTACTGGATACGGAGAAATCAGTGGCTGAGGAGAGCAGGTAGTAATAGCAATAGTCGTAGTAAATTACTGTAGGGTAGCGAATGGGATAGGTAGGTGGGCTGGTTCCGTCCGCATCCGTTTGGTTGTGCATGCGAGTGAGTGGACGTGGGCGTGTTCTGCAAGTGTGAGTGTACGTGCGTGCGTATGTGTGCGGCGCGCGCGCACGATGTGGGTGTAGTGTAGTAGGTGTGGGTGGGACAAGTTGGACAGTTCGTCCTTCCTGACTGTCTGTCAACCTTGAATTGTGACTCCTCGAGCTTTCTCTCCCTTTGGGTGCTGCTGACCTGACCTGACCTGACCTGGACCTGGCACCGTACTGGAACCTGCCTGGGACTCGAACCGGGGATTCACAACTGCGACTGGCCTAGCCGGGGGGGCAATTGGGAGTTCGAAATCGAAAGGTGCTGGAAGGCGCTGCACTTGGGCGGGATTGATACGGGGTAGCGCCGCAGCTATTTCATTAGCCTTCTTTGCTAGCCTCCCGCCCAGAAGATTGACTGCTTCCTAGGGCGCCTCCGAGGGGTTTAGTAGATGAATTGCTCTATGTAGCCAAATGATAGCTAGCAGGCTTGTGAGCTGCAGTTGTCGGCAAAAGCAAAATGGATCTAGTATGTAACAAGATGGTCGGTTGCAGATGTGCTGTAGTTGAAAGCTTCTTATTACTCGCGTTCGATGACGAGGTCGATGATAGTACGCGGGGCTCTCGGACCTGATCGACTACTTGAATTTAGACATGCAGGAAAGGTCAGTACAGATTCAAGTATTGTTGTATTCTGTATTTTCAATGAAATCTGCAGATATTTTGTAGACGACTGTCGGTACAAGAATTAGATCAGCTTTCAGGGACGTTTCATCAAGACCCTCCGCCCATACTATTCGTAGTTTTTGAACCCGTGGCGGCGATATTCCGTACCAGCAAGACGCGAGCACGAAAGTACTACTTTAAGATCGGGCCTGTGCTTGACTGGGCTGGTGGCTGCTTCGCGCGCCGGGACTTTGATCCTCACGAGGGACAAGCAAAGTGGATTGGGAGCGTCTTTGCGATCAATCCCAGAAGAAAATTCCAGGTACATACCTTGTCTAGATATGTTGTGAAATAGGTAGAAGGTCGTATCATGCAACAGTTGTGACTACTAGGTTACCATATGGTGGTTGTCGTCTCGTGCACCTAGTCAGTGGCTGACGACCAATAATCGTGGCCCGAGTTCCGTCTTACACGTTGCAGTCCATGTAATACGGACGGCGTGGGTAGTCCGTATGTCTTTGGCGTCGTCGTCAACCAAAGTCCCCAAAACTGTAATAAGTATTGTAGGTGGTTGGGCGTTGTGATCAGCGAGTTCCTTGCCTCTTCTTTTTCAGCCAGCGACACGTCTGTTATCGTGCCAGCAATTGATTGATGATTTCTACTTGTCGGGGCCGGCACCGAAAACCGAAAGGTCGACTCCAACCCCCAGGCTTCAGCTCCCAGTCTTTTCCAGGAACAAAATGTCAAACAGGAGTCCTAGTCTGATCAATCTCAGCGGGGTGGGCCAACGAGGGAGGGATCAGCCTTCTGGATATGCACGGTGATGTACTGTAACGTTGAACTCAAAAAAATTGAATGCAGGGTGGATCGTCTCTCGCTATCAATTGACCAGGGCTAGTAATTAGATATGCGCTTTCTTGCCGGACAGATATCTGTTCAAGATTGCGGTACACTGCAGTCGGTAAATGTAGCTTTAAAGTCAGGTGGTACGTTTGTTGGTAGGTATATGGACCAGATGTTCATGATAGATGAAAGCTTTCTTTTGCTTCTCGAATCTTCATTGAAATAGAAATATTCTTGCAGTGTTGTGAATCAGTCCTGGCTAGGGAGACAAGGGCATTCAAGGGAGGAATGCTAGAGGCAGAAGGTGATGGCGATGACGCTGTCTTGCAGTCGTCGAGTTGATCCCGAGGTTGGGAGGGGGGATGAGTATGAGTTGATAACCTCGAGTCTCACTGCATCCTGTTGGTCAGAATATGGGCAAGTCATTCGGGAAAAGACTGATTGACTGTGATTAGCGAGATGCAGGATGGATTTTGGGGATGGATTCGACCATTACCGACTTGTTGCGTCTCCATTATTAAAGAGCCATTACTTGCCATAGTATTCCACGATCCCCGAGTCAGGCGCTGCTTCTTTTTTTGACAGGGGCTCCCTAAAGTGATTGACAGGCCTCCCTCTGTTTATTTTATTTTCGCTCACAAGGTTAAAAGTAGCGTAGTGTATTGCGCGGCACGCGAATGAACCTTGGGCAGGCCCTGGCATTCAATTGCTCACTCTATTTCCACAGGGCTGGGTCGAGTACAAAGTACATTGCTCAAGAACTTACAAGGCAGTAATCTGTAATTGTACCTACATTACATACAAGCCTACCGACTCGTCAGGCCTAGAGTTCATGTTCAATGCATTTGCATATGTGACTTCTCCTTCTTTCCATAATTAGAACAGGTACAATTACACAGGCTCTGTTGCTACACCATTACAATTGATCGTGAACAAGAGCTGAAATACCTACACACACGCACTTGGACCTCTGGGGGATTGCATGTACCATTTTGCACTACTGGTCCCGAAAGGCGCAATTCAGATCGGGGCCATCAGCACTTTCGGGACACCACCCGGACGCTAAAAGTGGTGCCAGGCAAGCCCCAAGGCTCATGGTCCCAATACCAAATGCCATCATCCAAAATGTCCTTTCCTACTATCAAGAGGTCCGCCCTGGCTATCGTGTGCCATGGTATGCCATCGTGAGCCATCGTCTGCCATCTTGTCGGCCATCGTCTGTCATATGACTCTTGTGGCTTGAGAAACCAGATTACCCATTGTTGTCATTCGATATTGAACAATGTTCCAGAATCTCTAATATGGAACGACATTTTCTATTACTAGGAAAATTCTGCTTAGTCCCGTGGCTCACGTTTTCTTCTGCCGCTGCCGTTCCCTTCATTTCGTTTCTTTCATTTCGTGCCGGGGTATTTGGAATGAGTATGATCATCATACCACGGCCGCTATCCCAACATTAAATTTTCCCCATTGTGCTGCCACGTATGCCCGAGCCGAAACCTTTAAAAAAAAAAAAAAAATGCTTGCCAGTTTAACCAGTTCCTTTGCACGAAATGGAATTCGGTTTGTCTCGTTCGAGGTACACGGCGAGATGTGGTAATGATGTCAGTGTTGACCCTTGTGACGCCTAGACAGCTCCATTCATTCCATGAATCGCAGAAGCTCCTGGCGCATTTCGACCGACATCCGTCTAAACACCCACGAGGGAGGGAAAAAAGAGGGCTGAGGGGGAGGGGAAAGCTTTCGAGAAATCCCATAGAGATGGTTCTTTAGCCCCACGGTCTAGCTTCCTGATGTTTGATTGGTGTTCTGGCGCATAGTGACATGTCTTTCAGCTAGGTAGTTTACACAAGCCTATTATGGGATGTCATGTCCCCTTCCTACGCTGCGCCGTTACGTTTCCTTGCAGTTTTGCTACCTTGGTCTTTCAAATATGTGTGGGTGTATGGGTGTCTGCTAATCTCTCTCCATAATATGAATCTCGGCAGTGGCTGGATGACACCCATCCCAATCCAGATATATCTTTAGTTAAATAGTATATGGCAACATGGTGTGGTGCATTGTTCAAAACCACCCGACTGCATGACCGCATGCATCACCGTTGTCAGCACTCGACCATTGTTCTTTGTGACCAAAACTGCGAGCACTCGATACGGTCCTCCTGGGTAAGGGGGCTTCACAGTTCATTCTTGCTTGACTACTCCTAGTTTTGGTTGGTGCTGGTCAAGGCACAGCACGATCGGCAGTATACCCTTAAAATTCGGATCAGCTGTCCTCAAGTTTGTAATCAGGTGACCGAAGCAATCAAATACGATTCTTTTTATCAAAGAAATCATTAGTTCAACTCATCCCTTGGAACGTCGCCAACATTGATGGACAGCTTTGGTTTTGACCTCTTGCCCAAATCTTCGTATCCACGTCAGAGACGATGGCGGAAACGCCCGAGGTTATAAGCCGGCAATTGATCAATGAAAAGGCAATAGTGATTCATTGTTTTGCGGGCAACCCCTCTCCGGGAACATCTCACGGAAGGTGTATAATGTGATAGCTCAGAGATAATCAGGGATCTGGACATGCAAAGTGCCGAAAGGTCATGATGCGGGGAAATCTACCTAGGGGGTCGATGGGGTCGCATTTGCGCCTGTTGGCGGGTTTACTCTCATTCTGGGACATTGTTCATTGTTGGAAACTTCAGATTCAAACATCAGTGGAATAGGTACATGCGCGGTCGAATTCTGTCAACATGGAAGCAATGCAATCTGCACCACCGTTCAAGTTGAAAGACGACCCCATTGAGAATCAGCGCACGCTCAAGGTACGTGTGATCGGTGCAGGATACTCGGGCATCTATCTAGGTATTCGTATCCCACAACGGCTACGAAACATTGATCTTCAAATCTATGACAAGAATGATGGTGTTGGTGGGACGTGGTGGGTGAATAGATATCCAGGTATCGTACTTACCATCATATTGCCGGTAAAACGTCTTCATCTACTGACATTTTGCGTCTAGGTTGTGCCTGTGATGTACCGTCGCATAGCTACCAGTACTCTTTTGAGCCAAATCCAGATTGGTCCAATCTCTATGCTCCGCGGGCCGAGATACATGCCTATCTGGATCGCGTGGCCGAGAAGTACGGCGTGAAGCGGTTCGTGAAACTTCGACACGAGGTTTTGAGCTGCGAATGGGATGCCTCATCTCAAAAATGGATCCTGGATATTCGCCGTCTCGAGACGGGCGAAGTATTCAAAGATGAGGCACATGTTTTGATTTCCGCAAAAGGAAACCTCAGCGACCCGGCCTGGCCGAATATCCCTGGCCTAGACACCTTTGATGGCGAGGTGATGCATTCTGCCCGGTGGAAGGAGGACTATGATTTCAAGAACAAGAGTATTGGGGTCATCGGCAATGGCTCAAGTGCGATTCAGATTGTTCCACAACTTCGAAAAATCGAGGGGACTCAGCTCTCCTGTTTTGTGAGGAGCAAGACGTGGATCACAAACCCTTTTGGTGATGGTAATAAGCCTGAAAATATGAATATTTTTATTTCATTCGACTAACTTGTACAGTAACTATGCAAAAGCTTGGATTGGATCCGGCAGTGCTTGAATTCTCGAAAGAGCAGAGAAACGAGTTTGCAACCCAGCCGGAAAAGTTTCTTGCTTTTCGCAAGGCTATTGAAGCGGATGGTAATACAATTCACGCTGTAACCTTGAAAGATACAGATATGCAGCGCACTGCCATTGAATTCTGTCGTGCGGCAATGAGTGGTCGTCTGTCCGCAAAACCCGAGATCGCAGACTTTCTCATACCTTCTTTCGGCGTCGGTTGCAGAAGGCCTACGCCTGGGCCCGGGTATCTTGAGGCTCTTGTCGAGTCGAATGTGGATTTCATTACCGACCCCATCTCGGAAGTGACCAAAAATGGCATCATGCTCAAAGGGGGTAGACATGTCGATCTTGATTGTCTTGTTTGTGCTACCGGGTTCAATGCTTCGGCTCCTCCTCCCTTCCACGTCAAAGGAAACGGCATCACACTCAAGGAGAGGTTCACGCCATTTCCTGAAGCATACCTATCTATCGTTGTCGATGGATTTCCCAATTTCTTCATCATGCTGGGACCAAACTCGGCCATTGGGGCTGGCTCCTTGAACGTAATTCTAGAGTCCGAAGGCGATTACATTGTCAAATGTATCCGGAAGCTCCAGAAAGAAGACTATGCGTCCATGAGTATAAAAAAGGCACGAGTCGCTGACTGGTCCGACTACTGTCACACGTACTTCAAGGGGACTGTATACATGGATCAATGCAACTCTTGGTACAAGAGCGCCGGTGGGACAGGGGATATAGTCACGGGACTCTGGCCGGGAAGCGCGCTACATGCCGTTGAGGCGTTGCGAGCTCCAAGATGGGAGGACTACGAGTGGGAGAGCGTCGGCGGGGGAGAGAATCAAATGCGGTGGCTGGGCAATGGATGGAGTCTCACGCATACCCGGGTCACACCTGATGAATATGGTGGTGACCCTGCTTGGTATCTTGAGCCTCGCTTTCAGAGTGTGCCGGTACCTGGATTCCCGGAGGATGATGCAGAGTTCAAGTCGAAGCCATTTTCGCATTAAGGCGGATATCAATAGTGAACACGGTGGGACAAGTCACAAATTGCAGTCTTTCCGAAGAAGTCTCCAACATTCAGGATAGAAGCCCAATGATAGAATTGGCTAGCAACAAACTACCCTTCCAGATAAGTATCTGAACAATGACTGCAATCAATGTATTTGTGTAAAGAGGGGGGAAGGGAAGGAGTCCACCATGCTTCCGAGCTAACTGCCACCTCGGATCTTGACGTAACAACTCAGCCTCGGGCATTGTGAAATCGGGGCTCCATTCGGACTACATTCCGCACATCAGTCATCTCGCATTCCGTCACAGCTTGAATCTTGATTGTGTCCTGTTCCTGACAATGACAGACATCACGATGGTAGATAAGGTAGCGCGTTCTCCAACTACTAACAATGTCACCAAACGTGAATCACGCAACATTGACAAAGTATTTTAACCTAACGAGCAGACGTCCCAAACATGTTTCTTTTTGACACATCAAATCAATGTCATAAAAACTTGACAACACTTACTCGATACAGACATTTACTCTTTGAAAAATTGCCAACATGCTGCGAGTGAGAGACTCCTTGAGATCAAAGCGCCCCTTTCTTTGTGTTTCCTTTGTAGGCTGATATACCATGTCTTTTAGTTCTTTGGGGCTCTTTATTTGGTGTATTTCTTTGCCATCATCTCATCAGTCGGAGCTGGTCGCCTCGGTAAACTACATACGGTATCAACTCGCCATGTTCTACGCTGCGGCTCCCCCGAGATGGACAGCTATTGCTGGTACACATGCCGAACGCGCTGCAATGACTATGGTGGGATTGAAAGCCTTTGCAGGTCATGCATACAAATTTGTTCCTGTGACTAGCCGAGTTGATGTGATTATTGTCACATCTTTGCTGTGTCCTAGATAGATTTATAGGGGAAATGTTTGAAGTCACAATACAAGCCCAACAACATGGAGGTTTGTACGGTCGCAAACTCAAAGGGGTGTATAAGGTGCCGCCATATTTTTGAGAAGAAGAGATAGCTTGCATGAATCCATATTGAAGAACAATTCGAATGATTTCCTGGTATTAACAAAGATGATGACAGCCTGACGAAGACTTCAGAAGAATTTATTTGTCAATGTTTCTTCCTAGCTATCGACTCAGCAAAACCTCTATCCACAGGTTTTCAAAGTATGACAACAACTGCTTTGTTTTCCTGAACAAACTGTGTGTATAGATTAGGCTCCAATAAAAAACAAAGAAGTTGACATCAAGACAGGGAGCATGATTGCCTATATAATAAGCACAACTTGGTCACCAGACCCTAGAAACATCAACACGCAACTATTTGCACTGACAGAAAGTACTTGCATACCTACTAGTCCACAACCAACCACTGCAGTAGCTGAAAAGCAATCTTCACGATGTCTAATCGAACTAATCCAACTGCGAAGCCTCCGCCCCTAGGCAGGAATGCTATCGCAAAGACAAAGCCGACGCTGGATCCATCCAGGTCCCCAGCAAACCCAATACAACCCGTACCGCCAGCAGCAGTCCTCACAGGCCGGCCGCCACCAGCCAAGAGAAAAGACGAGGATAAGACTGGAACAATGACCTTTGAGGTAGAGATTGAGTTCATTGCATTCTGCAGAGAAGCACCAGCATATGATGCCACCAAGGACAAGGAATGTCCCTATGTCTTGATACCGGGTACCCAGATACGCATTCCCAAGAGTTCCTTGACAGGGTTTAGAGGCGCTCCTTATACTCTCCCCACACGTCATCGCGCACTCGTACCTGGTCAGCCTTTTGAAGATCTCGGTCTCGATCCTGATAACCCGAATTACATTCCCATCCGTCGAGGTGGAGGGGCCATGGATGGCTTTGACGAAATGTTGAAGGATTTGGAATCGCGCCGCGTCGACATCGTTCATGGAGGGCCTCGCACCCGGCTCCCGCCGGGCATGCCGGAAATCAAGGACCCAAACCTCCCGCGGTTCGCAGCGAATACGGATAACCGGTTACACCACCACTGGGTACTCGAATACAACCCCTCGGCCGCATTGGACAAGGAAGACGCGCACATGGCCACGGGCGAGATCCACGCTCTGCCCCTCCGGCTCACCACGCCCGCCATGACGAGGAGAAACGGCGACTGGGCCGAGCTGTTCACCGTGTGGAATCTGGTCAAGAAGCACTACAGAATCCACATCAACGACAGCTGTGGAATCAACGTCAACGTGGGCCTGCCCAAGAAGCGATTCTCCGCCGACGAGCTCCGCGACGTTGCCCGTCTCTGCTGGGCCACAGAGGGCATCATGTTACAGATTCATGGTCCCCAACGTTACCAGCGCAACGCGTTTCCATTGCGCAGGTGGTCGGCCTTGGGGCGTGGAATGACTGCAGAGAACTTTGGCGACGACCAAAAGACTGAGTTTACCCCCCGACGGGGCATCACGCTCCTAGAAGGTGATGCAGAGTTGAAAAAGTGCACGACCGAGGCCCAAGTATCCGGTCTACTGCAACACTCGGCGAAACAGCTGTCCTTTGACTTCAAGAACTATCATCCCGACTACTTGCAGAGTCAGGAATTGGCCAATCTAGTTGTTGATCACACGATTCAGTTCCGTCAAGCGGGAGCGTCCATCAACGGAGAATGGATCGCCCACTGGACCAACATTTGCGTCCGTAGCTTGGAGTGGCTGTTTGAAGATGAGAACAGGTCGAGGCTGGACACTATTGCCGATGGTTGCTTACTAGGAGAGAATGGCAGTGAACAGGACGCGGTAGATGTGTTGAAGGATTTTCTCAAGGTGACTGGATGTGGTGAGCAAAGCGAATACTTGCTTCGCACGGATCTAGAGTTCAGGACTTATGGTGGTACTCCGACTCTTACGCCTAACCCTGACTCTGCGACAGTCGCTGCTCCATCTGGTCCAACATCTTGATCATCTACGAACTAGCTGATCATCTAGATTAGACTTAAGAGAGGATTTAACGAAGCACAGGCCTCACTTATAGCATGAATATCGTGACCAAATTATACCCGAGGATGGAGCATGTATCATTATGCAATTTCTGATAATTCCAGAGTATACTCTTGGAATGTTAAACATGAGATGAAGCGTTTCCCTTCTCGTTGCAATCTGAGAGAAAGTGAAGCATGACATACGCCGAGTCATGGCCACTTTACTAAAAATTGAAATGCTTCCATCGTGCCGAATTTTCTTCCGTGTTCCACCCCAGTAATTTTCCCAAGCCTTGATCGCAACTTTGGGCTATAGTGTAGTTCATTGGCCAGCAAGTGAACAACTATAACTCGGCTCGCTCTGTAAACTCCCCCGGCTTGGTCGGAAACACCGGTTTGCTCGGCAGCGGTCTCTGCGCGAACCCGAGCGCGTCACGCAGACCATTCTCTGCGACCCGGGGCAGCTGGTTCACGTACCACCACTGCTCAAAGCCCCAACCGCCAGTCGTAAATACATAGACTCTGGCGACAATGAGGGAGCCGGCAAAGCCGAAAGGCGAGCAGCTCATGAAGCTCTCGGACGCCGGGATGTCCGGGTCCAGGCTGGGGGCCGCGATGCCGCAAACGGTGTTGACGAGGAGGCCGGCCCCGACGCCGTAGGTGATGGTCTTGAGCACGTGCGACTCGGCTGGTGTGACTTGTGACGATTTGGTGTAGGCGTTGAGTTTGGCCAGACCAATGACCAGAAGACACAGAAAGACCTTTGTGAAGAGGCGCATGATTGCAGCTGTCTTGACACACAAATACAGAGTCCTGATCCGGTATGTATCAGTTTTGTGCTTGATTGGTCCAAATATACGTGGTTTTGTATTCAGAGCTGAAGAAGACAAGTGCCCAGCTCCAACGTCTTGTCTTCAGCAAAAATTTCAAATGTGAAATGAAGTGGTCAACTCTAAAGTATCATTATTGATTGAGCCAGGTGTACTCGTACTCGAGAGGATCACGGACAGTCTAGGGGTTGATGACAGGGGTCTCGGCAGTTTCAGCTGTTTCCCATCCCATCACGCTCGGCCGGCATCGCAACTTGCAACGGCCAACGAGAATCCGCTCGGGCTCGGCAGAGAAGAGAGAGATTGTGTGTCTACCCGATACATCAATTTGAACTCTCCAGGCTTTCAGTAACGGCTGTCTCATGCGCTGCACTGACGCCAACCTCGACAAGTGCAAATGTTTGTAGGGCTGAGACAGGCTTGGGGTTCTTGGGATTAATGTGGTATATACAGGCTAGGTATATCGTATGTATGTGTGGGTATACTCCATAGTATTTCCCACATATACTGGTAGTTGCTTGTTTGCCTGGTGTGTTATAGCCGCTTGGTCACGCCAGAGGTGGCAATAATATTTTTGGTATCATCTGGATCAGATCTATTGGTACTTTGAATATTTCGAGTCTGTACCCTATATTTATCGTGGCCATGTCAAAATCCTGCCACGCGTTGTCAGTTATGGCTACTACGGACCTTTCCGGAGAACTCGTGAGCGACCAGCAGATTGGTTCCGGTCACAGCAAACAAGTCACTACATGTGCCTCATAGGAATTCGGCTGCCTGCCCATCCCCCACGGCTGGGAAACAGAAACAGTCAAGACAGTTAATGTCTTTCGCAATCCACTGAATAAGGATGACACCGCTCCCTGCGCGATGCAGGCACAGGTTGTGATCATTTCCCAAAAGACTCAATCACGTTGCCTGGCGACTTTCTACATTGAGCCCAAGATATTCGCCGAGAGTTTATCTGACGTAGGAATATGACCTTTTTGGGGGCTTTTGGTTGAGTGTGAAAAGGATAAGTCGGGATCGCGCATGCTGGTGACGTAGTTATCGACGGTGCTCGGCATCTCATTCAAGTCCCGTCGCGTCTTAGTGGTTACCTCGTCGCCTGCAGTGCCTGGTGATAGTGCACGCAGTAGTGCGCTGTCCACTGGAGAGTGCTGTTGCTGGGGAGCCCGCTGCAGGGATCCTTGTTGTAACTGCTTTTAGATGACGGGATGTCATTCTGGGGGTTGCAACAAGTGGGACGCAATTGAAAGACGAGACTCCGTCCCTCGCTCTATATCCACAGTAGTAATTAAGACGAACCACTGACAGCTTTCAACCTCCTGAGTGTCCAGACTGCCCTCGGCTCAGTGCTGCTTCTAATTCAGATGATACTAAACATTTGGGTGCCTCTTGTCAACACCGTGGCCCCCAAGATAGTCGATCCTCTAGACGAATCATCAACCCCTTCTCCAGCGTTAGGCTCCTGGATAGTCTGCAGCTACGAATCGTAAATCTGTCACAACGTTAAAAAAACACAAAACCCATCGGTCGGTCTGGAAGGATCGCAGCTCACATTGGGTATATACTCTTTCGAATCTTTGCGCCGGCCCTTCTCTACATCACTTCAACCATACGCTCTGCTTGTCGATGGCTTCCACGGGCAGCGAGGCCACTGCGGTCAATGGCCAACAAGATCACATCCTTCGCCCCAGACCTCGAAAGCCCCAACATTCTCAGGTATCAGACCTGGTCCGGGAGAATAGCAGCGGTTCTGCACATGGACTGCTAGCACCAGGGGGAGAAGACATCCCTTCGGGGGCGACTAGGTAAGCAAACAAAGAACGTGATCATTCCCATCTTTGTACTGAAACGCTGCTCTCCAGTGGGCGCTCGACCCCCATCCCCGAAGATGCGCCTCAGTCGACCAAGGCCCTGTCGAGTGCGCGCAAGCAGGTACGGGCCGAGCAGCGACGGCGACTCTTTCCCACAGTCGATTTCACCTCTCGATTGTCGCATTTCGATCCAGACTCGGACTACAGAGATTTCCATGGCTTCTTCAACCTCTTTTGGATTGGCTTGGCCATCATGGCCATCACGACGGGCCTGCGCAATATCAAGGATACGGGACTACCGTTGAGAGTGCAGATTTGGAGCCTTTTCACCGTCAAGCTATGGCATCTGGCCGCAGCAGACTTCTTCATGGTTGCGAGTACGGCTGTGAGCTTGCCTCTGCACAAGTTATTCAGGAATAGCAAGGGCGGCATGACATGGGCCAAAGGGGGCATGGCCGTCCAGAGTATCTACCAGGTCGTATGGCTGGCGTTCTGGATTGCCATTCCCTTTCTGTTCCAATGGACTTGGACCGCCCAGGTGTTCCTGGTGCTACACACCATGGTGCTCCTGATGAAGATGCACTCGTATGCCTTCTACAACGGACACCTTTCAGAGACGGAGAAGCGGCTACGCGACCTGGACAACCCATCTACCGCGTCCAAGGCGCCCGCCTACCAGTACCCGAGTGTTGAGAACCCCATGGGCACGCTGGCACACGACGGCAAGCCGCACGACGACGCCAACAGCGACTCGGACGGCGAAGGCGTCAGCCAGCTACGTGAGGACCTGGCGCGCGAGCTCACCAGCCCCATTGGCAACATCACATACCCGCGCAACCTCACCTGGGCCAATTATGGAGACTACCTGCTCTGCCCGACCTTGTGCTACGAGCTCGAGTACCCGCGTACCACGGCCATTAACTGGACCTCGCTCATTGCCAAGATCGTGGCAACCTTTGGCTGCATCTTCCTGCTGACCATCATCTCCGAGGAGTTCATTCTTCCCGTGCTGCAGGAATCCCGCGTGCGCCTGGACTCGGTCGCTTCAGCCACCGAGACCTTGCTGATCCTCGCCGAGACCATTTCCTGGCTACTGTTTCCTTTCATGCTGACCTTTCTGCTCGTCTTTCTCGTCATCTTTGAATACGTTCTCGGCGCCTTTGCCGAGATCACCTACTTTGCCGACCGCCACTTTTACGCCGACTGGTGGAACAGCACCGACTGGATGGAGTTCTCGCGCGAGTGGAACGTGCCTGTCTACTCCTTCTTGCGCCGACACATTTACGCCACGTCCAAGCCCAAGATTGGCCGTGGCATGGCCACCGTCATTACCTTTTTGATTAGCGCCATTGGCCACGAGATCGTCATGGCCTGCATCACCAAGAAGCTGCGCGGCTACGGCTTTGTGTGCCAAATGTTGCAGCTGCCCCTAGTGGTACTCCAAAAGACGCGATTCGTCCGCAACAGAAAGACGGCCAACAATGTCGTTTTTTGGGCTAGCATGATTATGGGTTTGAGCTTGGTAAGTCGTGTACATTGTCTATATTCATCACATACTCTGGCGCGCTAACCGTAAAAAAATGAAACAGATCTGCTCGCTTTATGTACTGGTTTAGAGGGTTTAGAGAGATGCCGTTATTGCCGAGACTTTTTCTGTTTCATTGGCTTATATATGGTTTGGGGAGCTATTGAGAGCTCTTGCAAGAATAACTTCACTCGGTCGTTGAGTCTTAGACAAACCTGTTTTCCGGATATATTTCAATCTGGACGGATATACCCCTTATACCCCCACATAGCATTTTTTCCAAGTGTTTTCACATACAATTCTCGCGTCAATACATTTCTTTCTTGTTCACAAAGTCACGCCACGGCGCAAGTGAGAGGGGATAGAGCATGTACGAGGCTGATATCTTGATGCAACGCATCAAAATAGTATTGTGGTCAGAAATACCTGACGCAATAAGTCATAAGGACTACTATCTCAAAAGAATTCCGTCATATCGTCATAAATACATCGGCTCGCTTCCATATCTCGGTGCCGATTTCATCATATCCTTGTGCCCCTATATTCACCCACTAGTCCATGCGTCAATCATCAACTTCCTCACTGGCGTCTTAAAACCACAAAATGAGTGTTATCGATCCCCGGAAGAAAAAACGCCTCGTAAATGGAGGGAAGCTTGTGATCAACCCAGAAACAAACCATCAACCTTATCCACCTTCCGGGGATTCATAACACCATTCCAAATCATTCCCAACCGACTGTATGCAATAAATATGTATATGTTGTATGTTTAGTTTCGTGGCTGCGTTCGCAAAGTCGCAGAAGGGAGAATCGAATAAGGAAGAAATACAGAAAGCAAAAAGCAGGAATAACAAGATATCCGTTCATTCGTAAGAGCCAAGCGCGAAGGTGTCGGGCCAGTTAAAGCCAGAGCAGTCGAGGAGAGCCGGACAAGATGGGCAAGTCTTGCTAACGATGCAACTCTGAGAAATGGGCCTCAAAGGACCATGGTCAGCATCCGCCACTGCTCATCGATTTACGGATGAATAATGGTAGACATGAAACGTTGAGTGTATAAACGTTCCTAGACCTCCAGAAGTTGGCGTCCTTGGTTCGCAGCCTTCTCATTGCCTCTCGGAATCTTTGGAGTTGTATCCTGAGCAGCCTAGCTTTCTGCTCGAAAGTTGTCGAGTATGGGGTTATTAACCTTTCTTTGCGTGATCGAGGTATGCTGACGAGAAGATACCACAATGCCCCGAAAAGGTTTGATACAACTTCGCTGTGCGAGCTCCGTCATAGCTCAAGGTTGGATGCACAACCATATCTCAAGGCCATGTCCCCGCGAAAAAGACGGAGAGTCCCCCTAGGACGCAACCCCGGCGTACGGCTCGCGTGTGTTGTAGATTTGAGGGGCATGGGGAGAGTACTGAACATCGGCGCTATCATAGGTTTTCGATTGCTTAACTCTGTAAAACTGCTGGCCCGAAAAGCTGTGACTGGGTGGCATGGTAGGACGGTGCTCAAGGGGTCGTCCCATATTGGCCTCGGCGTAGTGGGATGATGATCTACCACTCCTACGGGTGGACGGAGGTTCATCGGCATACATGGTGCGAACCTTTGGTTGAGTTGTCCGATTATTCGCGTCGACCTTGTATGTAAACGTCATATTCTCCGGGGATCGAGCCCTGCGGCCACGTCTTGATTGATAACGAGCATCATCGTCAGATCCCTCGTCAAAGTAATCTCGCCGAGCACGGAACTCATCGCCGTTCCAAGTAGTTGTGCGAGCAAAGCTAGGGGAGACTCCTGGTGCTGGGTACTCGGTATGTGCGCGATGCATCTTGGGCGGTGACGGTCGAATTGGCTCGGCCATATATTCAGGTTCCCTTGACTTCTTGTACGACGAGGAGACCTTGTCGCGAACTCGGGGCGAGTCGTTTGACATGCGGCGGCGAGCCGCAGATCGTGGTACAGGCTCCTCGTCCTCTTCGCTAAACAGCTTTTCCGCCATGTTCGCCATCGGAGGCGGAGGAGGAGCTACACCATGGTGTGCCGGAGGTGGTGTTTGTACTGGAGGTAAGGTGGAAGAGTAGGTCTGAACGCGATGTGTCTTGCCAGAAGCCTCCAGGTATGTCTTGGCAAAAGCGTACTGGTGGTCATGCTTGTCTTCCGTCCTAGGTTCGCGAATCTCTCGACTCTGTGCCGGGGTCTCTTTCGAGCGGCTGCTAGATTTGGACTTCTTTTCCTTGGTTATAGGGGTGGCGGGAGGAGGAGTATCGGAGTCCTCCTCGACATAAACGTTCTTGTGGCGCGTCCGCTTCTCCTCGGCGTCCCGTCTGCGCTCAGAATCGCGAACCTTCTCTGCCTTCCTCTTTTCTTCTTTGCGACGCTCCTTCTCTTTTCGCTGCCTCTCCTTCTCCTCTGCTTCTCTCATGGCCTCCTCCTGCTTCCGACGTGCCCTGTCGATCTTCTCCTGCATACGCGCATTCTCTTCCTCCTTTTTCCTACTTCTCCGGTCGTCTTCATGTCTTGATGGGATCTTCTCATCGGGAAATGATGCTTTCTTGGATCGCCTCGAGTCCCGTGACTCCCGCGATTCCCGCGGTTCGGCGGTATAGGTGGTATACTGAGGCATTTCCTCAAACGATCTTGGCGGCGTTCGAGTACTTGTGTACGGACTTCCAGCAGACCAGGTTTGTGACTTCTTAAGTGGTGGCTCTGCAGTACGTGTCCTGTACGGGGTCTCGTGCTTAACATGCACCGTGAACTGAGGGCTTCTGCCATAATCGGAATCGTATGAGCGAGGCGGCGTGCGACCAGGTGTAGCTTCCCGGTCGCGCTGTCGACGACGTTCGGCATTCTCCTTCTCCAGCTCGTTGGCTCTCACCATATCATCATACTTTTGCCTCTCATTCTCATCTGAAAGAATCTCGTAGGCCTTCTGGACCTTTTGGAACTCCTCCACCTTGATAGCTTTTTGCGCCGGGTCGGTTACCTTGTCCGGATGGCACTTGAGCACCAGTTTCCGGTAAGCCAACCGAATCTCTGGAATCTGTGCATTCTTGGCGACGTCGAGAATGGCATAGGGATTCTCCGGCAGTGTGAACATGATGAAAATTGATGGAGCTGGTTGCGATGGGCGGGCTTCTCTCGATGCAAAAGACACGGCTTTCGCGATAATGACAATCCTGAATCAGAGTAAATCGCTGCGTAGACGCGAACCAGTCGAGTGGCGGCAGCGCGGAAGAAATTATCGCAAAACAACAGTCGTATTGATGGGAACGGCCGCTTGGTGTTTTTAGCGTTTGGCGTTGGCACCCGGTGAGTGAGACAGGTTTTGGTGCGATCAAGGCTACCGAAACGCACGAAAGACAAGGCCGAATGAATACCTAAAAAGGTATGTAGAGTCGAGTCACATTCAATTAAGAACTGACTTCCATATAGAAGAAAGATGGAAAAGAGACCCGCATGTGCAGTCGGCCCCAATGGATTTGTAAAAGGCAAAAACAATTTGGTCGTCGGGTAGGCGAGTGGATTTCTGTTCAAAATCTTGATCCGGGAAGAAAATGGGACGGGAAAGAGAGGGAATGACCTCAGTCAGGCATCGACAGAAAACCCACGACGTGAACCTGGGAAGGAAAGAGGTAGGTCGGACGGTCAGTTGGTTGGTACGTGACGGGTATCAAATGGGACTTGGAGGTCAGGTCGTATGGGTAATGTATGGGCAGTCGAAGCGGACTATTGCCTCAACGCAGAATGGAACATCCCATCAATCGATCGCACGGGGGGAAATGGGGCAACAATCGATGTCGTTGCTGCAATTGAGGGAGGTGCCACTTTCGACTGGTCTAGTTCTGGGTGCATCTGATGCGTGCGCCCAGCAACCTCGCAGTGCCCAGCCAGCGTAGTGACCTAGGTACTTGGGACAAACGCTATGGGGCTGATCCGCGGCCCTAGTGCCCACTCACAGCACGCGCAGGGGGGCATGTTGAGGGGCAAGGAACCAACAGGACAAGAGGTACACTCGACCTCCAGCGCCTCACAGCAAAGAGTAAACCCTGTCAACGCCCTGGAGGGGGGGCCAACTGCGAATTGGTTCAAGTTGGTAATGTACCTGCAAGTTGTGTGTAGCACTCCCAGACGTCTTTCGTGCATTCTCCCTCGCACCTCAAGCCCTGCTGCTTTGAACCTAGAAGGACTCTGAACCCTCATTGGCGATCAGCAAGACAGGTTAAGACGTCGGTACATTACTTGTTCGCGGCTTAACTGGTAGGTACACGATGCGCTATACGCACTACTACTACATACACGGTACGCTATAGTGACGCGGGCCTCGTTCAATGGGGCCAAGACAAGCAAACGTGGAACCCTGGAAATCCTGATAAATGGGGGAGGCGGGCACTCTGGGCGCATCTCTCACGTCGTCCAGATCGCTCCTTGTGTTCCGTGTGATGGCTGAAAGCGCATGTGGAATGTATCTAGTGGCCTGCCAGGCTGTGCAGAAGGATGCTAGTAGAGGAGATCGTCTTGCTCTTGGACAGGACTGCGTAGGACGGTCAAGCGATTTAGCGTGCACGCTGAGCGATGCCGTGTAGTGGGGGGTGGTAGGTAACAAGAGGTAGCGCGGTGCACTGTCAAGTAGCGGCGGGCGGTTGTCCTTGGTCGGTGCTAGGCGTGGAAATCTCCTGGTGACACGGCCGGCTATACTAGGTACGCTGTCACCCTCTATGCAGGTCGCTTGGTCATGACAGCTGGTAGTATTCCATGCGAGTATTTTGCGCATCATAGGTACACATACTGCCGAGTTTTCATCCAATGACGGATGCTCCGGTCGCCTCCGGACACAGTGCCTGGGACGGAATGCCTTCTTTTCGTACGTACAGAAGGACCAGAGTGGATATTGCAATATAGTGAAAGCAGGTGTCAACTGCACTACACTATTGAGATCATTGCTGCTGTATGCACGGAATACTGCGGGTGGGAAAAGCCGAATGAGCGTTGGCGAGCAAACCCGAAACAGATTCAGTGGCGGGATGGGGGGCGCGGGATAGATACATGGTGAGGTCTGTATTGTGTATGATGCTGAGCTTACACGCGTTGAAACATGGTTACAAGTGAAAAGAGGGAGGGGTCTTTTGCCTGTACAGATCTTATGCGCAAGCAGGCGAGCAAGGGATCTGTGTATGGTTCCACTTCAAAGTTTACAGGTTGGACAGGAGTAATCAATACATATTATCTCTCAATACATCCCCGCATGAAAAGGTATCTCGTCATCCAGCGCAGAGAATATGCATTGTTTGTGCTAATGGGATCTTAGGTCATACTCGCCTTCCGTGTTATTCAGCGGCTGAAAAGTCGGAATAAGCGATCTGGTTTGCCAAAAGGGGATTTTCTAGTGAAGTGGCTCGAACCGAAACGAGAGTACAAGACGGGATATGCCATTTGATAAATCAAAACTTCTCTAGTTTCGGGCAGAGAGGTGCGGGAAGCATACGCTGGTGGCTTTTATTTATGCACTCACTACGGTCACTTGTCGTTCTGGTTCTACGGTGCCTGATCAGCAATGCCGCCTCTAATGTAGGCGATCAGTCCGTTCGTGGTGATCACCAACTTCAATTAGCATGAGCCAGAGCTGTGAAAGAAGTCCATTGACAGCAACAACGACACCATGATAATAGGCGATGGCAAATGGATTCGCTAGGCAGTAGGTATTTTGTCTGTGTAATTCGACCCAGGAATACATACGTACTTGACGAGCTGCCTAGGTCGTTGCAATCAAGTAATGTGTTTACCAGTTATGAGTGCCGCGCATGTTCCGCGGAGTCTCGGTGGCTTGGTAGCCACCCATGCCATCAGTGGCAATGGCGTTGAGAGGATTTCAAGAGATGGCGAATGTTTAAGCTCTGGAATTCAGCGCGACTGGGTTCCTCAGCTAGGATCTGGGGTTACGCGACTCCGACTCTATCAAAATTGAATCTAAACATTCCGCTCCTACTGTGATTCAATCCAAATAATTTCATGATTCTTTGACTGGAATCAATGTCATGTAGATGGGAATGTCCACTCCCAGCACCGATGGCCATGTCTGCCGCGGCAGTCGCAGGCCCAGCAGATCAGATCGCGGGGCCAAGATCCAGCAATAGCGGTGAGCTGCCACAATGCCCTCAGGCTTTATCTAGGTTGGGAATGTCTGGTATGGAAATGAAACTGCCCAACATCATGCAAACAATGATTGATTCTTCCTCACGAGATACAAACAATGGTTTGTTTTTTGCCCAGGCCTACGTACCATCATAACGTGACCGGCTAGCTCATAGTTGTCGTATAGAGGGAGGGGGCTGGTCATGTTTTTGATCACGGCTACGGGGCCAAGTTAAGGTTGGCAGACCAACATTGATGTACGCCTTAGGGATCCAGCTCGTGAATGTGCTGACTATAGGTCCCCCCCCCCATCGTCCACTATGGACTTTCTGCCAGGAGCCGTAGGTCGTTCCGGAATGCTAGACCCAACAGTCTGAATCATTCCAAACTGTGCACCGCGGAATACGACTCGTGGACTCGAACCGAGGTCGGAAGTCCAATATTCTAGAAAGAGAAAACACTAGCAAAACATATGCAGCTAGAAGCAGCTCATGATTGCTATTCGATGACATTGATACGTGACCCCACCTTACCCAGCATCGTTCGTCGTTCTCGAGGCACATCATTTGTCTCATCCTACGCATTTCCGTGACGATTTGGGCGCACGGCATCTATCCGATGAAAAGCTGTGCCATGCTGGCAGGATAAAGACTTGCAATTGCTTCAAAGAGCCTGAACAATTTGTCGTATTGGTAGCCCTGAGTTATGATGTGGCCCAATTAAAGTCCCTAGTCATTTTCTCTCTTCTCCCCCGGGTATCTGTAAGTGTACGGAATAGTCTCATGCAGGCCAACTTCTCGCAGCTTACGTATAAACTGGGGCATCCAATCAACGGGTCAACCACGGTTACTGGGCATGTCGCCTTTCTTTACTGTGTAGAGCCTGGCCGTTTCACGAGATGCAGTCGACACTGAACAGCTCGACTCCAACGATATACGTCAGACGTGAATGAGTCGTGATCAGTCGTATATTTGCAGCATTAAGCTTGCCCTTCCTGGCCACAAATGACATCAGAACTATTTAGACATATGATCACGCAACATGAATTTGAAAGAAGAATGATCAGAAGCATTGCAGTCCATTGCAGTCCATTGCAGTTGACCATGCCCAAGTCTCTGGCCGACGGCACAGGTCTGCATTCAGGTCACAACCATTGACTAGCGAGCGGCACTGTCATAGGCTGAGGTGGCCCCCCTCTTCTTGCCGTGATGTGGTTACACTATAGCTCATATGGTCACTGATGGGGGGCCTGCATATTCCAATGGAAGCTCGGTATTTTTGAAGCAGGTACCGAGCCCTAGGGGCACCGTGAGACCACCAGCTCAGGTGGTGGGCTGCACAAGAAGGATTCTTAAACGGAATCTGTAATCATGCTCCGGCTTACTAGTATATAGATGGCCTACTTCAGCCTCTTGTTGGCCCCCAGGCACGAACCTTTTCGAGAAAGGGATTGGCAATGGCCCTGTAGAAAATTCATGGTGTGGTCAGGATCGACAAGACGGTAAGAATGGGAACAAGTACATGGTATTCTCGTAAGTCCTTGGAAGGGGGTCTATGGACAGAAGCTGCGTACCCTATTAGTGGCCATCTTCTTTCTGTATGTGCAATGTGCATGTATGTGCGAACGAATAAGAAGCGCAAGACAGGGCAAATACGCGCCAGTTATGTGAGCTGCGGGACTTATTCACCGATTCAGTTTCGCCGATAGAGTTCAATGAGAGTCTGTGGAATCCTGAGCCAGCGCCTCGACGACCCTCGTCAGTGAAGGAGGACCCTTTTCGGATTGCTTCCTGACCCCTCGAAGAGAAGCAAGACTGGCCGAGATCTGCCTAGCTGCATTCCAGTAGAGGTAGCGTAGACGATCGACCATGCCATATTGGGGCGGTGAATCATGTGTTGTTAACTCTCAATTGCGCAGGAAGCAATAGGATTGAACCCGAGGACGAATCGCAAATCCATCGTCGCTTA